CCGAAAACGTCGTTTGAGATTGGGTTGCCTTCCTTTAGGAGTCGCGGCAGCTGCGTCGGCTGGATCCGCGGGCGTCTGCTCGGGACCGTCGGAGGTAATCTGGAATCGACCAACGTTTCATTGTCGAGGTGGTTGGGCTCGTGCAACAATCGGGATTTCGGCTGGATGCTCGGGCGACTGCGGGAAAAGTTCGACTTCAGAACATTGGGGGCTAGAGAAAGAGAAACGGAAACTTAGATCCACTCGGTTTCCCCATCGACTTCTGTTCCGCAGCTCGAAGCTTTGCCTGTCGAAACACGGCGCTTCCTCGTCGCCCAATCGTACCCTTTCTGCACTCTCTTGGAAAAGCTGAATGAGAACATGCTGAATCCCTTCCACAACAAGTGACGCATGCAACCTTTGGGTCATCATGACGTTATCTAACCTCCTCTTCCTCCAGATCGAGGCCCTTCCATGGCGTCAGCGAGGGCGACTTCTCCCTCCGCTTGCCCGGCTTCTTGGTCGCCCGGGAGAGCCCGATCTCCGCGAGGCGCCGCTCGACGTCACTGCAGAACGCGTTCGCGTCGTCGAACGGCTGCTGCAGCTGCTGCTTGAGCGCCACGAGCTGCTGGCACGTGACCTCCTGCAGGACGGTCAGCAGAGCAAGAAAGTCTTCTTTGTCTTAGTTGACGGCAGGAGGGCTGCCAGGAAACTTGATGGCGTGTCAAACGGCTGCCGCAGCTGCTGCTCAAGCACGCACCACGAGCGACTGGCACGCGAAGTCCTTGCGGGAGAAAGGGTGACGTCAGCCGAAATCGCACCGAGCAAACACTGACGACGTCAGGCTGAGGAACTCGTTTGCGTCATCGGACGGCTGCTGCAGCGTCTGCTTTTGCTGGCACGTGATCTCGTGCGTGGTGAGCATGACGTCAACGAAGTAGAGGATTATATTTGTAAGATCAGAGGTGACGTCATCTGGGGCTGTCAGAAGATGAGTGCGCGTCAAAGATGAGGTCACGTGAGCTGCTGCCACGTGACCTCCTGTAGGGGCTCCGATGCGGCAGCAAACGAATAGACGGTTCCTGCATAAGCAGAGGTGACGCCAAGAATGGATGCGTTTCCGGCCTTCAATGGAGTGCGGAAGCGGCCGCTTGAGCGCCCTCAGCTGATGAGCTGACGTCATCAGGCCGGAATGACGTCAACTGCTTGCACTCGCCAGCTTGCTCTGACCGAGTTCGTGCTTGTGAGTACCTCTCACGTCCCAGGCTCAGGTCTGCTCGAAGCTTTTCAAGAAGCTTTCACTCCAATACAAGACTAACCGTTTCAGCTTCGGAATCAAGTGCACCGTCTTGTCCCATGTCTCACGCCAACCTTACCAGCAGACGGCCAGAGCTCTGCTTCTCGATCAACTAGAAAGGAAGATTTCTTTACGAACCAAGACGTTTAGGAGTCTTCCCGATCGCCAGCACTGGTCTTAAAGGAATCCAGTTGTGCATACGCTGCAATTACGTCTCCAGTTTTGCTAACCCACCATAACCTTATCTAACCCGGGCTCGCGCGCGCTCGCGCCCTGCCCCGCCGCCCGCCCCCGGGACTCCTCCACCAGGCACCGCCGATGCGCGTCTAGCCGTCGGATCTCGTTTTCCGACGCGCCGACTTTCAAACAGTCCATCAACCGGCCGACCAGCTCCGGATACCTATCGTGGCGTCGAATCGCGTCTGCCTCGGGGTATTGCCCCGGGGAGCGGGTCAGGGCTTCCAGGGACAGAGGTGAGAGCGCCGGGGGGGACAAACTACCGCCCAGCGCCCCGGGGGAAAAGTTCAAGTTGGCGCCCGGGGGAAATGGTAAGAGCGCCTGGGGGGACAGATTTCTGCCCGGGGAAAACGGTGAGAGCGCCTGGGGGGATAAATTTCCGCCCGGAGGAAAGGGTGGGAGCGCCCGGGTGGAGAGATTTCCGCCCAGTGCCCCAGGGGAAAAGCTACCGGCCAGTGCCCGGGGCGATAAATCACCGCCCAGCGCCCGGGGGGATAAGTTACCGCCTGGCGCACGGGGGGGAAAGTTGAAGTTACTGCCCGAGGGAAGGTTGTCGAAGACGCTAAAACCAAGCGGGGAGTCTTCCTGGATTGACAAAGGCAGCCCGGCATACAGCGTGCTGTAGCTCGGGAGTTGAGGGGCGGAGGCCGATCGGGGCAGCGCTTCGAGGGGGCTGGTGGGCGACCCAGGACGGTGCGCTTCAGCTGAGTGCGTCGCCATTTGTCAGAAGCTTTGGGCTCACTTGTATTCGGCTTGGGTTGAGACGTCTCCAATTAGGGCCCCCTCCGCATTTATGATTAGGAAGACTCCCTTGTGTCCCTACATGAGAAGAAGGCTCGCTTTCTGTTGGAATCTCGGATATTCTAGTTCCGAGGTGGTGTCTTCCTGGGTTACGCTACTAAGCTTGCGTACTCTCAGGACTATCAGAAGATTGATCACCCTAAGATGTACGGGATAAGATCCATCCTTAACCGCATTTGTGGTCGAGATCATTTCCATACGGCTGTGTCGTGGACCTTCAGGCTCACACTCTAGATCTATTACCCTTCGGTGAAGCTAATTAACTTTTTCGTTCGCTATGGTAGAAGTCTACCATACTCTATCAAACCAGGCAGATCTATCATGAGTAAATCCTCCTTGAAGAGACTCTGAAACCATGGTCACAAGCTTAAGCACAACAAAGTGATATCAGCAGAAGAGAAGTTTCATTAGGCGTATGATGAGTTCTGTGGGCAAGACCAAAGGCCCTGAAAGATAAGAGGAGTGGAAGACCGGAAAGCAGTAAAAGACGCTTGCACAAAAATTCTGGCCATGGAGTAACGTTTCCGCTTACGCTGCTACATGTAAGGAAACGTTACATGTAGCGATGACCTGCTTCAGTATCAGATGTCCGGACAGGGACCTCATTTTTCTTGACGGTACCTTACATGCAAAAAGTGCCTTTTTGGCCGAACCTCAATCTGCCTTCTCAAGAATTCTGGGACTCGCCCGCGAATTATCCTTATCAAAGTCAAGATTCTCAAGCCTATTCGGAGGTTTGGAGGTGGTTCTTTGTTCTTCCGGAGACAAGCTTGAAGAAACGATCAAGCGGAAACAGAAGAAGCTTATTGTGGTTGAACAACTGTCTGTTGACCTCTCTGACATTAGAGCTTCATGCAGGAGCAGCTTTTACCAAACCTGCAAATGGCAGTGTGGAGAGAAAAGATTTCAAGAAGAGTTTTTTGCTTCTTACCTCAGGATCTTCGCCTCTCAGGACGGAATGCCGTCCATTACCGGAGGATTCCTCCGCCCAAGGGCGCTGCAACTGCATGCTTGCCACCTTCTCTCTCTGTGCCGGTGAGACGCTTTCAAAGGGCTGGCACGAAACCACTTTTGACTTAACGGGCGGATCCTCCTAGATTATCTTCTGTTGGTCTTATCAGAACCGGAGTGCGATGCCTAGAAACTGATTCTTGGAACTCAGAAGTCTCTCGAAGGACCGCTGGCCACCCTTCAGCGGTCACGTCAATCAGGCAAGGCACCTGAACCTTTAGGGGAAACCCGTACGGACGCGAATTAAACTGACATGATCACTCATGCAAAACGTCACATCTTGCTCGCCTGGATTGCGTGGACTTCGCTTTGTCCACCGTGGAAGGGAGAAAAGCAGATTCGCATCTTTGGCTTGCAATGATTCGTTGGACACCGTCAGATGCATACGTCAGAAGCATGAAACTTGGCACGTTCTGGTCAAGATTCGTTTGTCCCTGATATGCTGGCGAGGCGTCAAATCAAGGAAAGCGGAAATCTCTGGTATAACGCTTCTGCCCGTTTATTTCGTTCCTGTCACATCCAAGAAACGGAGTCATGAAACCAAAACGATTACGCGCACTCGAAGCGGCAACGGAAAGACTTGTTCTAAAGAAAACACGGGCTTAGCATGATCTGCACCCGAACGTGGGCAATCTGTTCGATTGCAGTTCAAGCGAGTACGAAGACGTACCAGTTGAAGATCAAGGCAGGGCAAACGGTCGACACATGACCCAATATCTAAGCAGCCATCTTACTTTGAGAACATGGTTCTTGCATTCGCAAGCTCATCTTGCCTGATCTGGTCGTCTCGTCTCAAACCTCTTTTCTGCGGAAAGCAAGGAAACCCGCCTTGGAATCCGGCAAAACAGAATGTCTGGTGGTCCTGCTAAACTTAGAATGAATAAGTCGAGAGTGGATGGAAGTTGGAAGGCGTCACCCCCGACAAAACGGCATCAGTGGTTCCTCAAGATTAGGAAATCCGCATTGAAGGCGACAGTCCATAGGCCTCGCCTTCGTCGTGCCACGTCAGCGCTGTCGGCTGACGTCATGTGAGACGTCCGAGTCATAACCTGACCGCGCCCGGCCTGCCGCGCACGCGGCCGCTTGCGTATTCAGTGCCCGGCAGAAACGTACCGTAGAACCACCTGAACCACCGACCCTGCGAGCCGTCTCATGCGGCGCCCGCCCTTCCGAGGAGCGCGAAGGCAGGCGAAGGGGAGCGCCACTTCGGAACGCTGAAGATTTGTGCTGTCCGGACGTGCAGGAGGCGTCCCAACCGCCTGCGTTGTAACTACATCGAGTGCCAGCAGACACAGAAGCTTCACTGACATCGATCTTTTGAGAGATTGTCAGATTAGTGTACTAAAGTTGATCCTTGTGAACGGGCGATCTCAGCGCTAGCGCAGCGTCCTCAGTGCACCGTCGTTTACACGCTTCTTGAGAAAAAAAGCGAATTTTTCTTTTGAACGAGTCCATTCTTCGACGTGTTCAGATGGCTGGTGGCCCAACAAAGCGCGTACTAACGGCGGCGGATAGAGCACATTTTACGAGACCCGATGACGCTCTCTGTGACAGGTTCAAGTAGCTGATCACTCGACCAGGCGGATACCGAGGACGGTTGGGATGGCAAAACCCGAATTACTCCCAAACCCTTATAGTAACGTGAATTGCAAATCCGCATGGAACGGACGAGCAGCCTGGAACCAAACCGCATCCGGGAAAGCGTTCTATTCTGACCCATGAGCGCGAATCGACTGACGTATGGAGTAATGGAAGGTCATACAACCGTAGCTTCATAGCTTCACCCTGCCCGTGCAACTGTGAAAGTCGTACCACTTCAAGAGTCTCTATTGGAAGAAACGGAGACCTGGGCGGAACAGGTCTCGGAGACATTCCAATCAAAGCTGGGGCCGACTCCACATGTCGATGTGTAGAGTAATTACTTCGTCCCAGCGACGTATTTACATTAGGAGCTTCATACCGCATAGCGAATGCTGTAAGACCGAGCAAATCATTGAACCGATTCCACTTGAAAGTCGAGGTGTCGAGTTCAATCAGATACACAGTAGTAGGTCATCTTCCACTTCCTTCGTGGTGGTTGGTCGCCTGTTATACGGATTCATCAATCTTCGTTTGGATATCATGAAGGAGCTTGGAGTATATGAGAAGTGTGTGGCGCTATCATGCCTCTCAAGATTGTCTTTGTTGAGGCACATATGGGACAGACGAGCGCTGCTTGGTTCGGTAAGAGCATACAAGAAAAGCCGTCCTGCTCCATCGTAAAGCATATGAGTGCCAGTTCCTCGATGGTAATATGGTCATCAAGTGGGTTTCTTGTTTTGTGGTTGGCGACGAGAAGAGAAGAAGTTGATTCGCGTACGAGGGAACGGATCATCGGCTTAGCGACTGATACGGAAAAACTCCGAAACACAGTCCGCCAGGTCCTTGTTCAAAGCTATCCACAAAGTACAGTTCAGAAAGCAAGCTGGTCGCAGCGGCATGAGAAACACTTCGCACAACCTTTTTCGGCAAGCAACCGGGTTTGACATGCCACTCAGCACGCCGCTTTCTGTTTGACTTGCAATGAAGCATGAGAAGCAAGCAATATTCCACTTGTATTCTACGATTTGGCTGTACATAAATGAAGAGCCGGACTACGGAGACGCCCGCAAGGACAGAACTGCAGCTCAAAGAAGGAATTATAGCAACCCATGATGAACGAAGAAGTGATGATCAATTCCTCTCACTTTCAGACGCATACGTAAAGACGTCACCGTGACTAACTTGATGGAACCACAGGCGAAGCTGTCCAGACTATCGCTAAAAGTGAAAAGTTCAGTGTAGATCTACACTGCCAGTCTGCATGATGTTCCGGTGACCAGAATTTGTATCGTACCTAGTCTGTTCGAATCACAAGGATTGCCAATTTGAGCTGTCAAGTGATGGCTTCTGATGAAAAAAGATGTGAACGCGTTTGCTGGAGCAGTTGAGCAGATCGACCCTGGTCTGTGTGCATGGAATCGGCAAAAGCTCTGAGTACGGTCAGTGCAACAGAAAATCAAGCGAAGATTTTTCCATGGGTACCTATTAGTATTTACATATAGGTACCCATAGTAGATCTTGCAGCACTGAGCAGCCCATTGCTACAAAGTTGAACTGAGTACGGGCGTATCCTTGATACGTAGGCAGTCAGAGCCTAGAGGTATCTGGGTGGATGTCACCGTACAGGTAAATCATGTCAGGTACTCCAGTAGCCCTACGTATCTTATGTAGCTGGGGCTTTCGCAGACTGAGAGGGGGCTCAGCAGCTGGTTTGGTTGTGCTGGGATCTCCATCCTGGTGCCATGATGTCACATGCCGTCACTGTCAACATTATCCTCTTGCAACAGCTCTTTAGGAGCCACCAATAGAATGTCGACTTTGCACGAAGGACACGACGACTTGAGTATACCGTCCCCTTAGGCTCAGGCCGCAATGAATTTGGGTACATAGGTACCTCAATAGCCTCAGAATAGGTACCTACGTGGGGTGAGTACTGGAAAATCCTGAAAGTCCTTGCCAATGCCTCGGTTGGGTTCTGTCCAGCACGGTATCTATTCCGGTTCCAACCTGGTTCCAATTGTCAACCATATTTATGTGACTACTTATGAACCGTCAGCCGTGATGTCAGCATAACCATTGGCCGGTGAACTGTGATATAGTCTTTCACCTCCTGCAGTGCGCACCTGCTTCAGGGGGCTGTCTGTACGTGCGGACACGTACGTTCACTAACCGCACGCGCGCCTAACCGTCTTCCTGTCGGGTTGGGGCTTTCCGGGCAACCCACAAGCTTCAAAGACGCACGACGGATGTGCCCGGTTTGCAACGTCATACTCGTCGGCTCCTGAAAGCTTTGGAGAGCAGAAGCACCGTCGATAAAATCCCCGCGAGTACTTTAGCTGGTTCTCAGCTGGTTATAACCGTCGATCTCTACCATTTTCGGGTACAGTGCCTCTCCGCATCCTTTGATCCTTTCCCTTGTTTTGCGAGGTAAACAACACCTCGATATTTTGTACATAGGTAGCTAGGTAGTACGGCATACAGATATGGCTGTGGCTGGATGCCGTACATGGTGTACGGTACAGTAATGGTACAATAAATGTAGGTAGAAACGAGATTTATGCCTTGCAATTTGCTCTCAGCCAGGCTCAACATAGGTACGCTACCTTCACAGGCCCTATAGTATAGATTCCTTCTGGTGTACCTATATCCTGACAAACTGTTCATCCAAATCCTATGGAAACTACCGGTAGTCTCATTGCGTACACGCACGCCCACCCGGTACTCGGGAGCTCGTACCTGGTTATACCTAGGGCTTGTGTCAGGTGGAAGGCAGGCTGGCAGGCGCAGCCTTCTAAGGTGCACTCAAGATTTGCCTGAAAGTCTTTGCCATTGGTTAGCTGGCTCCATAAAAGAAGAAGGGTGCATTCTGATTCATTGCTTCAGACACCGCCATCGAGGCGCCTTTCGTCATGGAATGAGAAGGGGCTTTGGGAGTTGACTGTACTTTCCTGTCCCAGCTCAAGAGTTTCTGCTGCACCACCAGGAGTTCAGGAGAGGAGGTAAGTCTGAAGTGATCTGAGAGTCTCGGTAGAGCGCTCGGGCTGATGCAGGCTGCTCAGCATTCTCATGCAGGACCGTTTGCAGCGCAGAGTCAGATTGATAAGCTGTCAATATTTTAGATCCAGAAGAAGTTCTAACTCAGATCACAAAATCTTTGTTGTGCAAGAAGAAACGAGGTGCATCGTCTGAAAGCACCAATTGCACCAAGGCTAGCGGGGTATACTGACCAAAAAGTCTCATCGAGGAACCGCACTGTCTTGATTAGCTGATCCTTCACATATGAAAGGGTCTGGAAATTCAAAGTTGCCGATATGCACCTGACGTGTGATTTCCCTACATACAGAGCTCAGGTTCAAGCAGTCACTCCATTCTGGTGGCTACAGCCCAAGATGAAGCACGCCAGGAACCCAGGGCATGGCTCGCTGGTGCTTGTGCCGCCCGCAACTATACTGCTGGCCTTGATGGTTCTGGCTGCGGTGCCAGTTTCTGAGGCCATGGCTACCTTCGACATGACAGGCTTCAATTTCCTTCCAATTGACAAAAAATACTGTTCACCATGGGCCAACTGTGGAGTGTACGACAGCAACCAGTACACCTGCTTGGATGGGGTGTAAGTTTGTCCAAATCCAGAGCCTTACCTTCTGTCTTCTCCTTTCTGAGTGGCGGCCTTGAGACACAATCTGGGGTTGTGAATGTATTTCGTAGGATCTAAACGTCCTTACTTGTGATGTGGTGAGGGCAGACCCTTCAAAGCGCTGTGCTTGGTTTCTTGAGAATCAACAGGTACTCCAAAAAACCCTAAGGCTCTTTCATAAGATACTCGGGTGAAAATCCTTGTGATTTGCAAACCTTCAAAGGCTGATGCATATCCGCGCCTATGGTTAAACTCTATGATCTGAGCATGCATTTTCACTCCTTCTCCACACATCCCTTCACAGATATCTCTGACAGGCAGGTGAGAGGGTGATTGCTATGAAGATTGATGGCTGATCGCTCAACGCTTGGAGTCAGGGAGCCAAAGCAGAACAGAAGTCACTAAAAAGCAAAGCTCATTACTGAGTATGTACAATACCATCTCAAATTGGTTTTGCTCATAGAGTTCTCGGTACAGCATTTCTTAGTTACAGATCGAGTCCCACCCCTACAATCTCAGCGTCCTTTGCTCCCTTGCCCTCCCAAACTGGCCAGCAAAGGAAGGGCTGGATGTGAGCGAATGTGCTAAGCATACGCTTTCTCATGTTCAGGCTCTGCCCCTTGGGCTATAGCCGCTGCGGGAGTGGGGACGACTACGCGTGCTACTTGGACGCTGCAGATGCGCCTGGGGTCACCCCAGCATACAGTTGCCACAATAACGAAATTGTGCAAACGCTGTTCGATGGTGAGACACTTATCCTATCTTCCAGGGAACCTTGGTGTAGGCACCCTCTGTTGTACTGGATCCAACTCAGCCCTGGAGCTTTGCTGATGGACATAAATTTGATCAGTTAGCATTCCCTATGGAGTTGATCAAGAGATAATTCAAAGAGAATTCTGGTCAGATAAAGGGGTAGGAGATCAATCATTCTTCAGATCCGATTATCAAGGATGCATCTGGCTGCTTATCCCTGCAATTCTGGCTGGTGCAATAGACCTGTTGGGGTTTCCCTTATTCCTTTCTTGAAACTTTTATATACACTCGGGGCTGTCTCATCTCCTATTCTCTCTTTCCAGGACCCTCTGATGGCTCCCAAGTAACGAACTGCGTTGGTAAGCGAAGGCCGCTGCTTTTGTGCCGATTGCTTGCCGCAACTGTCATCAGTTTGCCTGGAATGCAAACGCACCCTTCAGCATTGTAGTGCTCTCGAAGGCAAACGTGAGCCTAAGAAACGGATTTGCTCTATTGTTTTCGGCCTGAATGTCCTCAAACCCGGAATAGGCATGAATCAGCCGTCAACCTTGTGAACTTTCTCTACTTGCCAGAACATAACTTGGCGCTGATTTGCTACAGATTACAGCAAGGCGGTTCTGGATGCGGGCAAGTGGGACAAGGATCGGCTGAAGCAGATTGTAAGGGCGTTAAGAACAAAAAATTGCACACCGTGGTCCAACTGTGGATCCAAACTTGCCTACGACACTGAAGCCTATGACTGGTGAGTACCTATTTTGAATCGAAGTCGCGAGGAGAAAGATCAATCGAAAAGTACGTCAGTGTTTCTTGCAGGAGTCTCTTCTTGCTGTCAGCACAAATTCTTGAGGCGACTGACATTATCTGGTTGAGTAGAAATTGCGGAGTGAATCAGCTTTTAATCTTATAGTGGTTCCTTACGTGCCACTGGAGCTAGGCCCTTGTCCATCTATTTGCTTGCTTCATGAGTTGTAACTTGCAGAGACTCGTGAGTCCGCTGCGGAGCCTCATGGTGGAAACATCAGTGGCCTCTCGTCTCATTGCGAAAAAGTGGAATGCTGATTACGCACTATTGGCTTGGTTTACCATCCTGATCTGGCTGTTCACGTTGCTCGTTCTCTGAGAAAAGTGCCTTTGCGGTCTCTTGATGCAGCTTGAACGGCGTCCTCTGCCCCAAGTCATACTCCAGGTAAGATGCTAAACCATCAATCTGAGCTGTGTCCCCAAGTAATTTCTGGCAGTGCACTCATCCGTTTTCAATTGCTGAGACAGCTGTATTGAAGATCTTTGATTGGGCCTGCTCTTCTGAGAGTTTGTCCTCAACAGCTGGGAAACAAAACCCGTCATTGCTTGGAGTTTGTCACCGGACCGTCGTTCAGCACGGCCTCACAGCAATTCGCGAGAGCATAGGGGGCTGACAACAGTCAATCGCCTGCGTTTTCAAGCTGTAAAGAACGCATCAGCCAAGGGATTGACCAACACGCCGATGGCTGCAGGTGCGGCGTCTCCCCGAAGACATTCAAGTGCTTCCAGATGCAGGCGGACGAAGGCAACACCAACAAGGCCACCCAAAGCTGCGTCCAGAACGAGCTTGTTCCTGTTCCCGGAATCGACGACGATACTGCCTACACACGGTGCGAGGAAGGTCAGTGATGCCCTCAAACAGCCTAGCATCGCCAAGCTGGACTGAAGTCTGTGGAAGCTGCGCACGAACTGAATGTCACAAACTTTGCGCTCTCTCCTAGCAACAAATCTGTGGTTCGAGTAGCTCAAATATCTGTGTTGCTGCACAAGCGGCTCCTGTTCTTGCTTATCCTCTGTACCTTTACTTTAGAAGCCAGCTGTGCGGCTATATATTGAATTGACCAGACTTTGTAACACGTCGAAGCTTCCCCACTGCCAATTTTAAGCCTCCCTTGCTGCTCGTAGGAACAGAAGCTCAAAACCAAACCCCTCTTTTGGAGGCAGTGCAAATAACTCTGTCCACCTACTGCTTGAACGAGATTGAAGTTCCAAAAAAGCGGAGCCTGAGTATTACGAAGAGTGTGCGGCTGGACTCTCAAGTGCAGGCGCTGCCTGGGCCGGTATCTTTCCATTCCAAACAATGGTTGTCCTGCAGAGATGTCATCATAGTTTGAAATCTTTGCAGATTACGTTCCTTGCGACCCGTTCGACACCTGCGGCGACCATGACGAGTCCCAGTTCTCGTGCTACGCCGACGTCCTTGGCATGAAGGGCTTCTGCCGCTGCGGACAAGACGCTGTTGGCATGTCCTATGTGAAACCAAGGGGTGTCCAGAAGACCAACGTGTGCATCCAGGGCATGGTCCAGCCGGTGTCGCAGGCCAACCCCGAGAACGACGGCTCAGAAGTCTGCTTCTGCAAGAAGAGTGAGTGCTGCGGCACTGCTCTCGCTTTGAGTTCCAGTAGAGCTAGCCTGCTTGGGGTCTCCTCTTGTTTCTCTTAAATGCAGAGACTCCGATTCGATTTCAGCACGCACCAAAGCCTAGTACATCTCTTTTCAGTAAGGAAGATTCGGTGAATCTCCACAGCAAGGGATATGCAGCATGCCCTCGAAACCGAAAGTGAAGCCTGTCTCACTCGTCCCTGCAGGCACCGACCTCGAATTCGCAAAGAAGATCACTGTGGACAAGAAATGTCCGCTCTGGACCAACTGCCCCGGGCTCTGGGATCGGGATTCGTACGACTGCCTGAATGGCCAGGTATCCAATTCAGCTACGATTTTGGCCTTCGAACCAAAAGATACTTCACGCCTTCCAAATTTAGAGCTAGTTTAAAGCTAGTTCAGCTCTAAGTTCCACATGTTGATTCCGAGTCCCTTCGGATGAAAGATCTACCTTATTGAAGCACTTTGAATTCGAATCCCGTGTTGGGACTGTGTTTCGAGCTCCAAAACATCTTTAAGTAACCTTCTGAGCAAACCCCCTTCCTTGAATTCTCTTATTATCTAATTTCTGCTCCTTAACCCTCTGATTTTGGCTTCGTGCAGATATGCCCGACTGGTTTCTCCCTCTGCGGCACCTCCTGCTACGAAAAGGGCGGGGTTTACTCTTGCCATGCAGGGAAGCTGGTGACACCCGCCAATGACGATGACGACAGCCAGATTGATCGCTGCTACGTCGGTGCGTGAGCTATGCCTTCTTCAATCTCGCTTGTAGGTTGCTGCTCAGCAATTGGCACAATCGTTCTGCGCTATTCGTGAGTGAAGCACGGCTTAATTCGCAAACCAATCCCGTTGGATTCCGACGAGCAACTGGAAGAGTCTGCTCGTCGAAACATCAAGTAGTAAACGCAGAAAGCTATGCCCTTGACAGCCCTTGTTGAAAAGGGCCTGTCAACCAGATACAAGTCATCAGTATCTGGCAAAGCTGCCTCTCTCCAGAACTTGACCAGAAAGGCTTCCGAGTCGACTGCGCTTTTGGCGGTTTGATTGTTTCGCAGCCCCTTTGATCCTCTCTCCATTGCTTCTCTGGAAAAATTCTCGCTCCTTCTTCCAGGCCCTACCTGCAACAATGGCAAAACCCCATGGGACAACTGCGGAAGCTCCTGGGATAGGGACGCGTATGAATGCCTCAACGGCGCGCTTTGCCCCAGCGGCTGGCAGAAGTGCGGCGACGACAAAGCTTACGTATGCTTCAACCCGGGCGGCAAGTCGCCCGCCTCGTGCATCGACGGCAAGCTGGAAACCTCCGGTTGCAGGGGTGAGTCGTCCTTATACCAGCCTGCTTCTCCAGATGCCAACTGCCTGATTCTCCAGCAAGTGCTTGTAACACGGCCTTACTTCTTCAAAGTGTGGTTTTTGCCGGGTCTGGCTTGGTAAGGTCAGGTGCGTCTCGAATTCTACTGAAAAGAGGTTACTGTAGGTCTATTCAAGCTTAGACACGACAATCGTGGTCCTGTGGAAACGTAATTAGTAGCTGCATCTACCATTTCTAGCAAGGCAAGCGCGGATCCGTGGTTAAGCGGATCAAGAAGCACTTACATCCTGTGGCGAAGAACGATCACGGAAGTAAGGAGAGCCCGTCAGGATTTAAAGCTCGCCTTTGAGATCTTAGCACTCAAGAAAGAGTGCAAGTCCGGGGATTTCCAATCCAATCAAAGGCATTCAAGAGTGATTGCCCGATTAGCGTAGGCTATCACGTGGAAAGATCTTATGACTGCGTAATAAGACTATGTCATTTCTAAGGTATTCCCTTGACCGGTGAAGACATTGGAGAGACAAGTTTGGGATAGGCGAAATTCAGGGGTTGGAAAGGTCTTTCTTAGGGCCCTGAAGTAAAAGGCCGGCGGCTGACTTCTCTTCCACCGTCAATGTTCGCAGGTCAATCGGACGAAACTGTGATTAAAAAGTGCGCGCCTTCAGGTAAGCGCAGAGCTTCGATTCGCCTGGCTCCTGCGTCTTGCTGTCGGGTTCAGTGCGATTCATTTGTGAGGCGCGAAGTCATTCAGTCTGCCGCTTCTTGGGTCTTCTCTGATGCAAAGGCCTCCTACGATTTTCTTGAACTGAGACGTTCAAACTGAAGCGTTTTGGCTTTCGAAATAGATAGACGAGCGCTGCAGTGTATCTTCGATCTTTACCGCAATATGGTTGTTGTTCTACCAGGCTCGGCGTTTGTTATGCTCGTGCAACTTCGAGCACCTCAAGTGCTTCAGAGAAAAGCAGCCAAGGTCCTCTGTCTTCAAGCCCTCCTGGAACAGACAATAGCGAGCAAGCTATTATGAACATTAAGACAGGGGGACATGAGAAACGCAAGCAAAATGGACGATCGCCCAAAAGCAACTGTTTGAAATGAACATCCGACGCGTGCAGGCACCACCATCCAGCCCGCCGTTACAAAAAGCCAGCCCTCGTGCCCGGGGTCCGTTCTGTACACCAATTGCGAAGACGGGACCATCGACCTCTCCACTCACAGCTGCCTGGACGGCTTCGCGTGCCCCATCGGCATGGCGCGCTGCGGCAACAGCCACACCAACTACGCTTGCTACACCGTCGGAGGCACGCACAGCTGCAAGAACCACAAGCTGAAGTCGGGCGCAAACAAGGACGACGGGACCCAGGTCACCGCGTGCGAGCGTGAGCCCCTCCGCCGCTTTTCCCGGTCTTCGTGTTTCAGTCGTGAGGTCATGCATCGTCGAATCTCAGAAGCCGAACCCCACGGGCAATGTCTCCCCGCCGTTAGACTGACCATAATGAAAACTGCAAACCACATATCGTAAAAGTACAATTGGTGATGCCCAGTACGTACCTAGTGAGCCAGAACTCACTAGGTACGTACTGGGCATTCTAGTGCACGCTAAGAGACCGAAAGCGTCGAGGTCGAAGCAATGAGTTCAACGAAACCCGTTATTCAGCAACCACGTTTGACTGCACTTGGCCATTAAACAAATGGTTCTACAGAACGCTGAACTGAAGCTAATCATGCTTTATGAATAGTCGTTAACCGAACCAATTCTCAAGACGCAGAGAACACCTAATAATTGGATGTCGGGACGGCTGAACCGAAGCTCATTATGCTTTAGAAAGAGTCATTAGCTGAACCTAGTTCCACCTGGCCCCTACAGCCCCAGAGAACGACCTATGCCACCCCTGGACCAATTGCGCCAGTGACTTCGACCCCGACGTGCACAGCTGCCTGGACGGAGTCCTTTGCCCGCACGGCTTCTCCCGGTGCACCAACCCCGACAACGGAGTGTACGCCTGCTTCGACCCTAACGCCGACCCCGCCTATGGCTGCAAGAACGGAAACGTGGTGCAGCTGAAGGACGAACAGCAGTCTGACTCCACCGAGATCAAGTATTGCGCCAACAACGAGCTGCGTAAGCCTCCGGGCCTTCCTCTGATTGTCGGTCAGGTGTTTTGGAAAATCGACCTACTGAAACGTGGTGCATTCCCAGTGTACGAGCAAGTCGACCGCGAAAGATGATTGAAGGAAAGCGTAAAAGCTCTCGCTTACATGCAACAATCAGCTGTGATGCTCACGTCCCGCAGCTTCTGCTTCTGCATGATTCTCGATAATAAAGCCGTCATGAAAAGCAGAAATTGCCTCCGTACAGACCCTAGATGAAGTATGTGGAATGAGCACAACTCCCAATATAACGTTCCGTCTTCTTCAATCTCTCATGCAGAGCTCCTCAAGCTGATAATTCGGGAGGATATCATCTTCAAGATAACCTCCTCGTTCTGCGGCAACGCTGAGCCCTGGACCAACTGCGCCGGAGAGTACAGCACCGATGATTACTGGTGCCTCAACGGCCAGGTAAGATCGCTAAGTTCCCTTTCGTTTCTATTCAGTGTGGCTGAGCACAGTTGAGTTGACCTGAATCTATATGGGGTGGGCGGAACGTCTCAGTTTCACAGGGCATTATCTCTGGAGCTGCACCACCTGATTGAATGTGGCTGATTTACATTGTGTCTGCAAGAAAGACCGAACCCGAAATGCCTGAAAGCATTTACTGATGGAGACCTTGCCCTGATCTGGCAGCTGTGTCCGGCGGGAGCCTGGCGGTGCGGCCCCCCGAGCTCCTTCAGCTGCTACGTGCCCGGGACCACGTACTCCTGCGTCAACAACGCGCTGCAGCTCGGCCCCAACCACGACGACGCGACCGCAGTCGGGCCGTGCCAGACAGGTGCGCGACAAGGGGCGTAGGGAGTACGAAAGTCTGTGCGGCTCTTTGATGTTTGGTGGTTACCAGGGCACAACAGGCAGAACAGGCTACGGAGCCCAAAGCCGAAAAAGCCTCAGATACATTAGTTTTGATGTTACTGCATAAGGGATTCTATTAAACGGCTGAAGGATGGCGCCACGGCGGATTCGTGGCAAAAGACCCTGAAGAATCGATATTTAAGACGCCTTCATTAGTCGGACTTCCTATACTTGCAGGGCGGTAATCATCTCCAAGCTGGAAAACCGGAAGATCGACCTTCATATTCCGGCCCCCGTATGGAGTTCGCGTTTAGCAGATCTTCTTTAGCAAGAAGAAGGAGCCTTCCTTCAGTAACTTCTTCAACACCCGCTAATGATGCTTCTAACGCCGCTGACGCATGTCTTTCTGCTTCTTTCCGCAGCCGCCATCGAGTATTGTGCCCCTTGGACGAACTGCGGCGATTATGACAACACCCAATTCACGTGCCTCGATGGGAAGCTTTGCCCAATTGGCGATTCAAGGTAAGACCTGGTCAAGAAGCTCTCGTCAGATCGCTAAGCACAAAACCGACAAGATTGAAGCAGGGCGCAAAGAACGCCCTTTGAACATCTGAATTTTGTCCTTTTGACGTCAAGAAACGACGAGATTCGAAGAGAGTTTGTGCGTCTTCCGTTTTTGAAGACATTTGTATTGTTTTGCAATGTTGAATAAGCTCTATACTCTTAAACGTTGCTGAATCAAGTTGGTTAAAATGAGATCGGACTCGAGCCCGCTGTGTTCATTGCGAAAAAGCTCGTGTCTTGCGACTCTTGCAGGTGCCCAACCAACTTCGACGAAGGCTATGTTTGTTACAACCCCACTGCCGACTTCTCGTGCGCCTATGGTCCCCCCATCACCGCATGCTCCAATGGTGAGGAACTTCCCCCTGCTCCCGCCCTTTTCTGTTGCTGGGGGCAAAGAGATGGATTCTGTTTTGTTCCTCACCCTGAGAAGCAGCTACCAGTCAAAGTCAACAATGGTCTCATCGTTCTTGAAGAGATGGCGGCTGTCGCTGCTCGTCTTCCTTGCTCGCCAATGCTCCTTTCCAATGTCTCGACGAGCGTTAGGCCGAGAGCTTGTCTTGGCCCTTCAACCTCCAGTACATTGCATAGCAGCAAAAGTTCGGTTCTGTGACGTTCTGTACTAGGTCGAGACCCTTTTAGACCAGCAGATAAGGCTTCCATGCCTCGGTCGAACCTGCCCTTGCAACTCAATGACCTTGTTCTTTCGGTTGCTAACGTAAGCATGGTCCTCGGTGCAGCGCAAGACACGATGGCCGAAAACTTGCTGTGCAACGGAGACTTCGAAACGGTCCAAAGGAACATCGTGGGCTCGGCGTTCAGCACCATATTTGCCACTGACTCCACAACACTCCCATGTAAGCGTGAACACCTTACCCAAAGACCCTGATTTTCAATCCGGCCATTGTTCGTTCATAATCAGATGCTTCTCTGAAGGTAGGTCGCACCGGAGACGACTATGCGGGCCACTCGTCCTTCCTGATTTGGACAAGCGTTCTTGCAGCTTGTCCAATTTCAAAGACTTTTACATAGTGCAGAGGGGAAATTTGAGCAAGCCGGCGGGGGTCTTGTTTTGCTCAGCCAAAAAGTTGACATTATCACGTGGTCCCTATGCTTTCTAATGCGCACTCCATCAATCTGTTTGCAGGCTGGGTGGTAACACCCAACGGTGTCAGCACGAACCCCGGTTCAGTCGACCTTATCAACGGGTACTGGGGTGAGTCTCGCCCACATGCGAGCTAAAAAAGGAGCTACACGAGAAGGACCTGGAAGATGTTGCTTTTCGAGTGTTGAGGACCCTGCTACAAGCATCGTGATGAGATTGAATCAAGAATTATACTGTTTCCGCATCTGAAGACAGGCGTGGAAATACTACGGCCTAGACCATCGCCGCTTCCTTCTTAATTTGGATGTGCGTTCAACTGTGCAGTTTCCCACTCTGGCACTCGGTCCTTGGACATGGCGGGTAATTCGAACGGCGAGATCAAACAGGTAGGGCTGTGCTCACAAATTTCTAAGCATCACAACAGCACTGTTTGCTACTTGAAGATATGAGTCCTTCAGAGTCCAAAGAAGAGCTTCGTCACACGGCCCCTGGGAGACTTAAAAACCATCTGTTTTGAGTGAAGGTATAGATTAATCCGTCCAGCTCAGCGATTTACGCTTCTTAAGCAGACTGCTCTGCACAACAAACGTCGGTGTCAATCTCGCCAGAAGGATGTCCTCAATGAGACATTTGTTACAACCAAATCTACTGGATCGTCGATGGCGAGAAAAGGTTTCTGGGGTACTTTTCTGTACTTTGGTGCAACTGCTTAATGTTTCATTTTTGGTAGTGCTTCTAGTCCTGTTATATTCCTATTTCGCTGGTTTCCTCGTTCCTCCTTTCGAGCTGACTCCTCTCTCCGTGATCCGTTTTAACTGGGCCCGCCGTGCCGCAGACTTTCGCCACAACCCCCGGCGCGTACTATGACGTCACCTTCTACCTCGCCAAGAACCCAGATCTGGGCCCCGAGGACAAATTTATCCACGTCCTGGCGCCCGGCAAGGACGTCCCGTTCACATGCACGCTGAAGACCAAGGATGGCATCACCCGCACAAAGGACAACATGCTTTTCGAGAAGCAGACCGTTACGTTCCTGGCAACCGCTGAGCAGTCGACGCTCACTTTCTCAGAGCAGGACGCCAACGATGGCGGGTTCACGGGCTGCGCACTGGACCTTGTTTCAGTGGTGGTCAGCGACCAGAGTGAGCCAATATTGAGGGTGTTTTGAGGAATGTTTCTGGAGACGGCTGATTCACCAGGAAGTGCCGCTGAGAACACAGTGTCTTGACAGTATTGCAGATTCAGATGGCTTTGGATCCAGTCCATGAGGTGCGCTAACTCCAGGTCTCCTTAAGTTAGCGTCTTGAAAGGTTTCCGTATGTTGCTCCTGACGAGGTGCTGTCCGCTTCACCTCCTCGCTTGTAGTTTTCTGACACTGACTCCCCTTGTTATCAAGCTGATGAGTGTGCTGCTTTTTTGCAGGCAAAGTCAAAGGCATCCCTGCGAGACCAACCGTCACCACCCCGACCTGCACGAACAATGAGTTGGCGTGGGACAACTGCCCCGGTGTCTGGGACACCACCGCCTACTGGTAAGCTCGTCCTTGGATTGCTTTCTTTCAATCTACCTTTCTCAACAATTATTACGCCTTAAATTGTCACCCCTTTTTGTAAGCCAACGGGTAAACAAGATTCGAGATAGTCAGTGAAGCTTGAGCACGTTGTGAGCCCTCTAAAGCACTTTGGGTTTGGTGCACAACCTTGTCGCTTCCAAGTCAAAATCTCCTGAACGGCAGAGCAGAAACGGCCAGCAACAATCTTGTCGGTATGCGGAATAAGCATAGGAACTTGAACCACCTTTGTGCAGGTGCCTCAACGGAAACTTGTGCCCCGCTGGCATGCATTCGTGCGGCCTCTTGGGCTCGTACTCGTGCTACAACCCTAAAACGCAGTCATGTGCTGCCAACGTTCTTGTCAACACGCCAGGCTTCGACGACCAGACTGCCGTTGGTTACTGCGCGCCAGGTGAGTCAGGAGAAAAGAAGCCCCTGTGTGGAATGATCGAAGAAGCATCATCATCTAACCTACAAAAACGGTCTAGTCGATTCGGAGGAACGACCGGCAACTTCGATGCTCTTCGTGACTTCCTTATTCTTCTTGCTCGCAAGTCCAAGCTGTTGGCTGACGCTCATAGAAAAGCTTTTCATCCGGCCAGAATGCTTTTGACATCAGAGCTGGTCAAGTATCGAAATTACTGTAATCCGGTCTGACATTCCTGTCCGTTTTGCCATTCCTGACATGTTTTTGGTGCAGCTACCCCCTGCGTTCCGTGGTCCAACTGCGGGCTTCCTGACGTCGACTACGACACCAAGGCCTACGTCTGCTTGAATGGAAGGTGAGGCCAAAAGAAGCCAGAATTGTTGCCTGTCGTTCGCTCCCTTCTTAGATGCTAGATCCTTTCAGCCATAAAATAAGAGACTTTGGATGACTTTAGAAGCCCTTGGAGACACTTTCGGACAATATCGGATAGAATACTGCTTCTCCCCATCCATCAAGAACTACCAGTCAAAAGCTCGAATTCTTGCAAGCGAAACTTGCACAATGCTGATGCAATCACTTTAAAACCCCTCAAACCCTGCAGGCTGTGCCCGGCGGGCCAGATCGCGTGCGGCAGTGGCTACGAGTTTGCTTGCTACGACCCGAACGCTAAGCCGGCGCTGGTCTGCATCCAGGGATCCCTCATTCCTTTCCAGAACGATATCTCCGACGGGTCTGAGATCACCATCTGCCAGAACATCCGTGAGTTGGTCAACAACGACAGACGATTCGGTTCCCGCTTTTCAAATAACTAGCTTTTGGGACCGATCACTTGCTGATTTTCTCCACCTTATCAGGAGGATATCTTACAGAAGGCTTTGAAAAAGCCCCCTAGCATGGCTGAGTTGCAGCTCGCTGCGCGCAGCTTTACCTGGAGCGTTTGTCTGTTCCATCTGCTTCTTCAAGTACCCTATCATGAAAAGAAAAACGAATCTTCTATCTGTGAGCTTATACAGCCGTCACTTTCACTTAGAAACGTCGCCCCCTCGTATTTTGCAGCCGACATTCCGGCCGGCTTCTCCTACCAGCGGAACGCCGACTACGACAGCGTAGCCCTCACCGCCGCGGGCGCCTCACAAACGTGCGGAAACAAGGGCGTGGCCGGGAGGACGGCGGACCAGTGCGCGGCGCTCTGCGCTTCCACCACTGGGTGCATCATGTTCCAGCTGACCGGCCAGGCGACTTCAGCAACTTCTGACGACTGCTGCTATCTGAGGTCGGCAGCGACGGGATACAGCTTCACCGCCGGCGTCGACACGTACTTCATGCCCGTCTTACGTGAGTCCACGGCTGTTTAGTGAAAAGTTTCAGAAACTTGGAGATGATGAGAATTGAATTCTTGAGTGTTGCTTATTGTGAAGGATATGCTCAAGCGTAAGAGGGCAGGTTCGTCTTTGTTTCTCTGTTGACGTGTTTCCTCAGCTTCGAAATGTGTTTTCCCCCTGCCCCCATAAGCCTGCTTGTGTTTTCCCCCTGTCCCCATAAGCCTGCTTGCAGCTTTCACAAATTTGAACACCCGGGCACTCATCTACCACCGGCAGCCTTCGCTTAGTGTTCTGGAAGCGGTCTCCTTGTCCCGATGCCGACTCGGGCATAAGATGCATCGCTCTGAATCCAATCTGCGTGTTTTGCCCGCAGCCTATCTCAAGAAGGACTTCGCCTTCAACGACATCACCGCCGCGCCTTTCAACGAAGCGACGTGCTTCTCGGCCGGGAAGGTTCTCACCAACAAGCTTCAATGCGAGGAGGCCTGCCTCGCGACCAAGAGCTGCGTCGGCTTCTCTTTCGGCAACAACGGCGTCCGCGCCGGTTGCTGCTGGCTGAAGAGCGCCGCAACGGGAGAGGCAGCTACAAATAACGACGTGGACTTCTACAGGCTGTTCAGAGGTGCGTGAAACGTCAGGCATACATTGATGTCTCCATCCCCAGTAGGATGCACTTTGGCTACGGCTGCGAGGACGAAAGTCAGCAATGCACGCAGGAATTCCGCAAGCATAATGAAAATCTGGCTTTTAACTAACGGGGCGGAAAATCTTGAAACATCAGGAGAGGAGCAACTTTTTACATTCCTTGCAAAATCTTTGCTTTTCATAAAGCTCGACCTCAATCCTGAGAGTATTTCAGCGCCGTTACTTCCCTCGAAGTACGGATGAAATGCCACGTGGCGTTCTTACAAGGCATGAGATGTTTACAGGCGCGGTCGTGCCGCCCGCCAACATCGCCAACCTGCCCGTAGCTCAGAGGTGCACTCCCTGGACCAACTGCCCGTCTGAGATGTTCCCAGCGTCCGCCGCGTGCTTGGACGGTCAGGTGAGGCGTTTGTAAAATCAGGACATTTTGTCAGAAGGTTATAAGCATAATAGAAACGCAATAGCGTTGTTTGAAGTACGCTTTCGAGATCAATATGCTTAACCTTGGAGCATCGCAGGTTCTTTGACCTTCGAGGGTAAGAGTTCGTTGTCATCCTGCGATTGAACATTCTCCTCCAAAAAACTTAGGTAGGTTAATCAGGTGAAGAGATGTCTAACCGCAGCCTAGTCAGGCTTGGTTAACGGTCCTTTCTCCTTTCTCCTACAGATGTGCCCAGCAGGCTACGAGAAGTGCGGCGGGGCCAGCTTCGGTTCCAACAGCTACCACTGCTTTTTGCCCAGCTCCTTCAGCATGAGCGGAGGCGCGGTCAAGGCCTTCTCCTGCAGGCAGAACACGCTGATGATGACGGCTGTCGCCAGCAGCGACGCCACGCCCGTCGACTTCTGCAGATCGCGTAAGGCTCCGTCGCTAAGTCCATACGACTTCTTCGTTGTCGCATGTCAGAGTTTGGGGGATCCCTGCTTTCGGGAGCTACCGCAACCGCTGGTGCCCCGTGCAGAATGCTCTTGCAATTCTTTTTACATACAAGTCCCTTTTCGAATATCAACGTCAGGGTCTTGATCAAAGCGGCCAGGCAAGTCTCAAGGATGCCCTGACAAACCTGCTCTAGGCTTTTTCTCTTGTCATTAAACTTAGTTGCAAACATGGATGGGATGGAGGCCATAGGATGGCCGTTGTTGATCAAGCATCGCAAAATGTTCCGGTCTTCGCCAGTTCTCGAATCTGGAAAACGCTGACCGGTGCCTTCTCCCGACCCACTGCAGAGGCAAGCCAGCAGTGCGTTCCGTGGACCAACTGCGAGCCTTTCGACGCAAAGGCGTACGCTTGCATGGACGGGCTCGCCTGCCAGATCGGACAGCTCAAATGCCAGAAGGACTGCTACAAGTGAGTGGCTCAAACAAGTCTTGGTCGCATAGAAACACCAGACAGAAGCACCTACTTTCGTTTGCACGCAGGGAGAACGCGTGCCATTTGAGAGCTTTGAGCCTCAGTTTGCGGGCTAGGCTTTCAGAGTCCACCAGCTTGCTAGTGTACTCGTTGGAGGCCTGGAGTTGCCTGGTGTCGCTTTAATCAGAGCATTCTGCGCATTTGGCCGCACGTCCAGTCAACGAAGGGGACTTTCACCTTTACAACTACTTGTTGGACGACTTATTTCGCGGACTTTGCTGAGAAAGCGCTTTGTCGGCAAGCTTTTTCCCTTACCGCCGAGCAGACGTCTCTGATTTTCTCCAGCGGACATTCGTGCTTACTGACGCTAAAATTTGCTTCTTCCCAGCCCGACTCAGTTCGGTTGCTCGCCGACGGGCCTCACTCCTGACCTCAGCAAGAACAACCCGCTCAGCAGCGTCGGGCCCTGCCAGAGGGGACAGATCATCGTGCAAGCCCCAACATCGCCGGTCTGCGCGCCAGGAACGACGCCGTGGACCAACTGCGCGCCTGCGAGCGGGAATTACTGGTGTATCAACGGACAGGTGAGGGCGCGATGTTCATTGTTTTGCTTTCCTACCCGCTTGCGTTGCTGGCGTGTGCGAACGGATGACCGCGACTCGTAATCTAGTGCGCATTCACACCGTAGAGGATGTGATAGATGCCGACAGTTTGCGATTTGCTTATCGAGGCGCGGTACAACGCACCGGGAGACTGGTGCAATAGCCAAAAGGGCCTCCGTAATTGAACAGTCGAATACCTTATCTTAGCTTCTAATTCAAGCCGCTGAATTCACGTCCTTGACACCTTCAACGCACGAAGTTGATCCGCCTGAAAAGACTGCAAATGTCGGTCTAGGACTCCCCAAGCAGAATTGTTTGGTCAAGTTACACCATTGAGACGACCACAATTGATACTCATGTACCTTGACATTACCCAGCTCCAATACATCTGTGGCAGGTGAAGGGTCAAGACCCTGTCAGCCGCCCTTCCGCTAACAGCTGAAAACCCCTTGCAGAACTGCCTGGCCGGTTTCAACCGGTGCGGCACGGCCTGCTACGACCCCAACGCGTACGGCTGCCAGAACGGAGAGCTGGTACAGCCGGACGAGTTCGGCAGCATCGTTTCGGACGGCTCCCAGACCATCCCGTGCGGAGATCAGAAGGAGATTTTGCTGCTGAAGCTCCTGGAGAAGCCTCCGTCCGTGGACGTAACGTGCACGGATACCCTTTGGACCAACTGCGTGCAGCAGTACGATGCGAAGACCTATTGGTGCCTCAACGGCCAGGTTAGCTTTCTGACCTCAAACATCCGGAAGAACGGCTCTTCGTCAAAGTTGCCAGTTTGCTACTGGGAGCTGCTAGCTCGAAACCTCGCTTGGTGCCTGGAATCAATGATGCCTTCGACTTCAATATGGTTGGCCTGATCTGGAAGGGCGCAGAAGCATGCATTTCTGAAGTGAGCTTGATGTGTCAAGTACGTAGGCTGTTTGGTTTGTTGGAAGCAGACTCACATTCAGATGGCTTGCCATTAATGGTATAATATCTTCGCTATTTAAGGATTCGTGGATGGAACAAAGGAATGATGAAGCTCCATCAAGGATTCCTTGATCAGTCTACTGTTAGTGTACATTCCGCGCAAAGAAGGCACGTCGACTCCATCTTTCAGCTTTCAGGATCTGCGACATAATGTATTCTTGTCCTTTCTTTCCAGATCTGCCCCCGTGGTCTCTACCTTTGCGGAACTTCCTGCTACGACCCTACCAAGTATGGCTGCAAGAAGGGTGAGGATCTGCTTTCATTTAACATTCATCCCCGTCCATCTTGTCAAGGATTCTGGGTGCGGATAGTAGAGATTGCACTGTTCGCCTCTAAATCCATGACTCCTGGGCTCTAAATTCAGATCCGGCTGCATGCGCCCGGGAAGGAGCGTTGCTTTGAAGGGTGCTCAAAGCGTCGCCCTCTTCCAAACCATGTTGAGACTTGTATGGAAAATGAGAAGGGCTTTCGTGATAGATGGGACCAGGCTTATTCCTAGAGTTTTTCTTGTTGCTTAGTTCGATTCCTGCATACTCAACTCCATATATACACGGGGAAGACGCTGAGAAAGCGAGTGTTTATTGCTTCCTTCCATCCGACGACTCTCGACCCGACTTTCTGTCAAAATGAAGACGGAATAAGAAAATATCAGGCTCAGGCGGTAAAACTCCATCCTCTGCTCAGGCGTACTTTCCGGCATGGGCGACACAACCAGCGACGGAACCGAAGTGGTGCCGTGCCTTTCTGCGACCACCCAGCTGAAGATCACAATCAGGAAGCAAGGCGGAGACTCCTTCTCGGCTGCAGACCACCAGGTAAGAGCGTGCAACTTTGAGGAGTTGTGGCCCCTGAAAAGCGGTCGAGGAGACCGCGCGGCAAAGAATATCAACGCCTTGGTCAGATTCTAATCCATGCAAGTCTAGGTATCAGTTCACGTAAGAGCCGCAGATAACATTCCAAGTAGCTGAAGATCGATTGAGATCCGACGCTCCGGTCCTCCGAATTTGAGGAACTCATCCACATTCAAAGCAAAGAAGATAAAAAGGTAAAAGAACGTCACAAGATGATCAAATTCGGCCAGCCCTAAACAGAATTTCGGAATTCTTTCCCGCAGGCCATCGTGACCGCGCTCTCCAACCATGCGGGCGCGGGCGACAAGACCGCGGTCTCCGTCGCGCTCCTGACGCTCGAGATCGGCGGCACCATGGACATCGCCAAGGTGGGCGTTCCGCTGTCCGTCTGGGAGGACCGCTGCCTGGCGCTCCTGCGGGCGGAACTCAAGGCAATCGCGGACAGCGTCGGGGCGGACTTCAGCATCGACCCGATCGGTCTCGCCGCGCTCGCGCCGGCCGGTTCCCCGGCCCGCCGCCGCGCGCTCCTCCAGGCCGTGACCAATAGCACCGGGTCCAGCCTGACCATCCAGTTCAGCATCCAGAGCAGCAACCAGACGGAGGTGAGGCTCTCAGGAATCCTTTCTATCAAGATTTTGGGTTTGCAGTGAGCGTTACACTCTTAACATTGTACTATTACGGCCCTGCCATTTGAAATCTTTCCTCCTAAAACGAAGCCTGAGCATCCAGTTCAGCATCTGGAGCAGCAGCCAGACGGAGGTGAATTTGTTGGAATCTGCGTCCTTAGTTTTCAAGCTTTCAACCTTTGAAGATGTAAAGTCTTGAACTCGCTTGGACCAACGCCTGCCTGCTTGACCGTTCAAGCTTATGAGCTTGTGATTCGACCGGGCTTTCTGCGTGGCCTTGCAATCAGCACAACTGATCCGAGCTTCGACAAGCGAAGGCTCTTGGTAAGAAATAACAGCGGTTGATGGGCCTCAAGATTCTCTGATTCTCAGACCAGAGATTGATCGACCTCATGCCGTTAGTCGAAAACATGAAACTGACGGTGACGTCATGCTCGCAGGCCGGGCCCCTGGCCATGCAACTCCAGGGCGCCCTGTCGCCCGGCGGTGTCTTCGTCAACGCACTGGCCGCCGGCGGCATCAGCATCACGAACGTAACCGTGGCTCCCAACGTCACCGGAGGTAAGCGAGAAAACCCCTTTACAACGAGTCCCCAGTATTTGAATTTCTCAGGCCGCATGTTTCGTAAAGCAAAGGGATTAGAGCTTGCCGCGGTCAGCTTTGCTTAGAAGCGAGCTGAAGTGATCCTCATCTGACGACTCGGGATCTGTCTGGGCTCACACAAGAGCGACATTTTACGGAAAGAGCCCGGCTCCTCGACACTCATCTCAGTTGATTGCAGTACGCTCGTAATTGGGTTCTACAAGCAGGCTTTGAAGGGAAAGCACGTTCAGCTAGATTCAATCGCTCTTGGATCATGCGTTCTAACAAAAGTGCTTTGATTCGCGAGAAACTTGTGGTGACCCTGACAGGTCTCTTCAGGATTCAACGCGGTCCTCTTAAGTTGTAATACGCGTTACTCAAAACACATGTTTCTGATACACAATGCGCTCCCGCTGTGCAGCCAACGTCATGGCGACTGTGACCCTTCCCGTCAAGAGCACCGACGAAGCCAAAGCTCTGGTGGCCACCCTCACGCAGCTGGCCGCCTCTGGAGCCTTGGACAGTGAGCTAAAGGTGAGTTAACAGGCCCTTTCTGCTGAAGTCTCATGCTGGTAGTGGCAGTCTCTTGCTTGACGCTAAGGACCTTACATCGGGCAGATTTGCTGGGCAATATATTATGTCGGTTGGGGCGCGCGCGCGCCCCTTCATTCGAGTTGCATCTTCGCGGGGCAAGTTGACTCTGGTAGCAATGGCGGCCAGTAACTCTGTTGTGGCCAGTGGCTACAGCAACAAAGCCCATTCGGCAATGCCCCATCAACTTTAGACTTCCGAAGTAGCACTTGAAAATTCCGCAGATTCTTCATGAGGCCGTCGCAGTCAGGCGGGCTCTGCGCGCGTCACACGATGCGGAAAGAACTAGGGACGGACTGAATTCCGAACAGATGCTGATTGAACGTTTCCAACCTGTTGCAGACACTGGGGCTCAGCGGCACCATCGGCACCAACGCGCAATTCTCCATTCTGAGCCTGACCCCCGGAACGGGCTCTAACATCACTACCGCTCCTGGTCCGGCCCCGGTCCCTGCGCCCGCGCTCGCGCCCGCACCCGCGCCCACCACGACCGACAAGAAGAGCGCCGCGGCCGGCCTCCGCGTCGACGTGGCCAGCGTCGCTAGCGCTGCTGTTGCGATCGCGCTCGTTGGCGCCGTTGTGGGTTTGTTCTAGAAGCAGCAACGCACGAGTGGTGGTGTACGTGGGAGCGCAGGAGGTCGAGAATGAGCCCTCGGGAACCACGGACGCCGCGGCAATGATACCCTCCAAGTTTGGCTCGCAATGATGGCTACGCGGCTGTGCCGGCGCTCTTATCTATATTAACGCGCAGCTTCTGAGTTATAAGGACGCCAGCATCGGGTGCGAGCTTGCTTGAGGAAGCCCTCCGGTTTGAGAGAGAATGAGATGTAGACGTGTTTGTAGGATTTGATTTGGTTCGCCCCTTCGAACGCAAACCGAGACTTGTGCCCCGATTGATCATGGGCGCTGGGTGGAGCTAATGGGGATCGATGGCTGCTGTAAGTTTACTAGTATGGTTGAGCTATTACAGGTAGGACGGGCGGAACATAAGGTTGGGTGGGCAGATTTAGGAAACTTAAAGAAGAGGCGACGCATACTCAATTATGCACTATTCGCCCGAGATCAATGCCTGGGACTCAAGCTGGGACTGCTTAGATTGTTGGTTTGACTCCAAGGACTTGAACAATTAGGAAAGACTGCTAGGCTGTATTTGAGACGCTGCCCCGCTATATCGAAAGATAATATTGGTGGCAAAGAGTTGTCCGTACCCGCAAATCTCATTGTGCATGATGCATGGTCATGTGCGGCTATGCACGTCTATTAAGGGCAAGCAGCGACTAATTGAGGGACTCATCGCTGCCAAGAGCACGTTGAATGCAACTTAAATTCCCTTGAACATCAAGATCTCATGACACCACGTTACTGAGAAGATCCATAGGCAAAATGATATCATAAGTATTAAAGACTCGTCAACTAAAGTTCAAAAGCTGCCGCCGATTGACTCACGTTCAGTCAACCTCACACACGGTATAGCTGACCTTATCCCGCTTCCGTCCGCTAGGATCTGTCTCGTGCTTTTCTGTGGTCCATTAGAGACCAACTATACTATCACAAGAAGAGCTATTAAGATTCTTTCATACATCTCTCATACTTCAAAGCTCCGATCCCCAATACGCCGGAGAAACACCCCATCTCTCAAGAAGCAATATGTCCAGCATGATAAGTACACTTGGTCAGAACACCGTTTAAAGACAGGGGGACCTGCAAACTGCATCACATTTGGACTCGCTTCGCTACCCGATAACATTTACAGCAATTCTCGTCCTCTCTAGTCGGAAGCGTCGTCCTCGGACTCCGCCAATGAAACACGTGGACCCCGTCGCGGGGCCCGTCTTGGCCCGGCAGCAGCGACCTTGCCGCCTGCGCCGCCTGGGTGCGGTCGCCGCTTCCGCTCGTTGTTGAACCAGTCGTTGACTTGCCTGTTTGTTAGCGAGTACTTCGTGGCCAAAGCTTGCTTCCAAGCGGTCTGCACAGAGGACCACATATCGTGCTTAGTGTAAACAGATATGAAATCCTCGAAATGGTAGGCATTTTAGAGTAGGCTTTTCATTCGTTGTTGGTCAAGATAAAAAAAGCGCAGACTTGGGAAGGCCGCGTCTGGGGGCTAAACGTGATAACGTCTTCTTAAAACCAAACGGAGCAATCTGGACCTTTTTGAAGGATTTCAAGTCCAGTATTGAGAGAGTCTTCGACGTCATCCTGGTTGACGGTGTAACCGAACTTGCAGAGACGAAGTGAAACGGGTCCACGATCCAACCTTGCAGAGCCTTCGCAAGTTCCCATATCCCCCCATTCCTAAAATCCAAGTATTCAGCTTTGAAAAACGGACCCAGACCCTGCCAAAATTGCCAACTGAGGCATGTCGCCCACGCAGTCACGCGGAATCTGTGGAGAAAACTCGTGGGCTTAACGTACAGGTCTCTTCGAGAAGCATGTCGAAACGCAGTCGAGACTCCTTGCAAGGTCCCGACCGGTGCGCTCTTTTCGAACTCGCCTTGCATCCAAGCGTTGCGCTCCTTTAGAACTCGTCTACCCTTCAAAACTCCAAAAGCTTTTAAACCCCTGATCCGGAGCACACAAAACCCTGCGGTTTCCCACGAACCCTCATCAAACGCAAAAACTCTTTAGAACGAAGCCTCACCGACGGGTACATTTCGTGCGCGTACTCTGCCTTCATCTCTGCGCGCGCGGCCGGCGGCAGGGGCTCGTTTCTATCCTTCTCGTACAAGTCGGCGTCTGCTGCTGCGATCTGGTGTCCGAATTTCGCCTTGAGGCTGTCCTTGAGCGTCCGCTTCTCGGCCGCGGACAGAACGTAGCAGCGGCTTTCGTCACCCGGCACCTGTTCAAGTGCGAGTGACGTCACGTGAGAAGAGCAGGGGATTGGGAATCGCTTAAAGACAAGCGGCTGAAAGAGCGTTACGACTCCTTGAGGAGATGTTGGTTGTTTCGCGGAATTGAACTGTGCCTGGTCCTCTATATACTCCGAGAAAAGACGCAATTGAGAAGACGTCCTAGACTGATCCACCGCTTTTGCAAACCGTTCTTCGGATGGTGTCTGACGCAGCCAAGTTCTAAGCGCGTGGCTCTGGCGCATATGCAGACGTCATATTTGAGAACCCAAATTCATGTGCCACCTGAATGACATCTATCAAACGTCGTCTGCATCAAAGGCAAGTCTTTTTGCGCGCTGCTGCTACCTGGCGGACAAAATAGAGCGTCGACTTTTGTGAGTTCGCAACAGCACGACAGAAAAAGAGACAATTCCGGCTTACTGGGTGGCTGCGGGGGGCACTGACCTGCTTCTCGTCCGGCTCGATGCTGTCTTCTTTCACTTTCAGGACTAGCTCCAGTGTGAGAGCGTCCAAACGCTCCCTGACGGTCCGGGAGAACGCTTTCACGTCCTCTTGAAGATTCTTGGGCACGTGCTGCCACGTCTTCGCCTGCAATTTCGTCGGGTTGTCTGAGCTTCCAACTCTCTTCGTGACATGGGCGCTTGTTTTGATTTTGAGCCGAGCTTCGCTGCGATGATTTAGTTGAACGGATGACTCAGACCGATTTGAATCTGCCCGACTTGTTCTCGACGCTGTCCCGCTTCGAGGCCAAAGGGCGTTGCTTCTCCATTCCTGTTTATGAAAGTTTTGCTCCACAGCTTGCCCGTTGTGCGAGCTAGCCAATTCATAGTCGATGAACCTTCGCAGTCTCTCAGAAATCAGAGAGACAAAGGACACATAAATTTCCCATAAAGCTTGCATCATCCGACTCCAATCAGAACCGGTGAATGTTTCATTCGGTAAAAAACAAGGGACACTTGGACTCGTTTAGTCACTCACCAGCATTGCGTTCAGCTCATGCTCTTCCCAATCCCGCTCTTGTCCCTTTTCCTGCCTCAAACCTCCGAAATCCCCCCAGGCATCGGCGCCTTCAATGCACAGTTTGAAACCCCCCTCAACATGTTCAGCATAACTCGGGTGCTTTCTGCTGGGTGCTAGCTGCTTCGAAACAAAGTTCCAATCGTGATAATCCTGCCCCTGTTGATTCGACGAGAAGATTTCGAACGGGCTGGAGGTGGGCACGTGGCTTGACGGGAACGAGCTTATGGCATCCAACCATTCCAGAGTTTCCGGAATGTTGCTTGGAGCTATTTGGCTGCGCGCCATTTCGGATTCAGACCCAATGCTTTTGCCGTCAGCATGGAGTGACGTTCAACCGCTTTACCGAGGATCTTACAAAAGCATTGTTGATGGTCTTCTAATAGCTGCCGGTGGAAGACGGTGTGATTCAAAACCGCTTGATTGCGCACTGAAGGAGCGAACAGTTTGAACGCTTTGCATTGCACACGGCGAGAAGGAATGCTCAACGGAAACTGGAATCCTTTGTCGCTTTAAACGCACTTCGATCCGACGCACCCCTGAACAATGCAGGCTCATACGCAGACGACCTTGCGCTTGTATTCAACAAGACAACACTTGGGCAAAACTCGCACGCGAAAGTACGACTAAGGATAGGGCCTCAACGACTGAGAGAGTCTCAGGAAGGAGTTGACTGAGACGATTTTCAGAGTGTCAGAGCCTGCCGTGGTGGAGCTTTTGATCGTGGTTAGGTTAAGGAGAGAACCTTTGCGGTGAGACCACTGATCGAGATGCCACTTATCGCTCATGTCTCAAAAGACTGCTGCATCATATACTTCGGAACATTATTAGGATTCGCCCTGAATCCGGTGAAGCATGCCGGATCTACTGTACTTTGTATAAGGACAAGTGGTCATAGGTCTGCTCCGTCAGTCTCAACGTTTCCGGTCAACGGTTGGAAGTCGAACGGCCACCGGACTCCGGAAAAGGTGGTCGCCCGGACCGGCCGCGGAGCCCGGCCGCGGTGGCCCAGAAAGCGCCCGGCGATCCCAGAAACCGTTGGATATGGATGTCTGTATTTTCGTTCATCTGTACCGTCGATAAAAGTCCAGGAATCTAAGGCGCGCTCTTCACCGTCCGTGGATGCGAATGCGATGATCGACGGCCGAACGTTTTATCTAGAATGTTCTGGAGAGCTACCTATACTAAGGTTGGCGGCAGGGCGACCGTCAAGAGCTTCCGACCAACTCGACAGTCTCGATATCAAAAGTTTTGAGGAGCTTTTCAGTGGCGCAGCACTTGTCTCCATCATTCTATCCAAGGTGTCAAGGTTGCATTTTTGCAGAGAGGCCTGCAGTAAGTTGCAGTTCAGCTCCATCTTTTGTAATATCTTTGGCGAGGAACAAGGCACGATGGCTGCTTCCGCAGCGATGACTCGGGCAGGGGCTTTGGCGGGTCTGGCAGCAGGCAATGTGGCGCCGTCGAAGGGGGCAAGCAGCGTAGTGATGCCCACACAGGTAAGCGGAGAGTAAGGAGAGTACAAGGAGAGTACAAAGTGTTGGCCTTGTGGGGGGTTTCTCCCCTTGGTGTCTGGTTTTGTTCTTCAACTGGACGCTTGATTGTGTTGAGAATCAGGGGCAATGCAACAAGTATGTTCAGAGAAAACGAGCAATTCCCTGCATTGGCGCCTCATTTCTTGTTATTTCAACTTAGGTCATGCTTTTGACGGTCTCGTCATCGGCTAAACGCTTTTTTCTATGCTTTGTGCAGCCGTTCTGCGGCGCTCCGGTCAGAGGCTTCCTCCAGGGGCGGAACCAGCTTGCCCTGAAGCAGACAGCAAAATCTACGCGGCAGAATAGGAAGGCGGGGGTTGCAAGGGCTGAGGCCAGGGACATTTTGTTCGACACAGCGTCAAGGGCTGCTATGCAAGCAGGCATTGACAAGCTCACAGATGTAGTTGCTGTTACCCTGGGCCCACGAGGTGAGCATGATATCAGCCCTTCAATATCTCATTAGCTGCAGGGATCTCTGTGGAAACGAGGGGCAGGCCTGCTTTTGAGAAGCATGTTAGCGACTTTTGAGGTTTGCGAGACATAATGTCAGAGGTTGGTAATGGTGGCGGGATCGTATGCTGACATAAAGCGCCAGAGAAGAAATGCCTGGCGCTGATGTCGGTCTACTTCTGGCATTCTGATGGTAGGGTGGTACCGCCTCATCCCTTGGTTCAGCTTCGGATCTTTGGAAGAAGTAGGCAGAAATGTCGGTTGGCAGGTAGAATGCCATACATCTCATTGCTGAAATTGCCGCCTTATGATGCAATGCTGAAGAAGAAGACACCATTACCACTGCTTCCATCGTGCGGTCAATTGGACACTGTTGCAAATTATTCCAGCAGTTGTTCGAGAACATAGAAAGCAATGGGGAAAGTAGTGGGACTGACCCCTGGGAACTGCATCGCCTGTAGTATGATAATCAGGCGCTTGCCCTTGCATCACCTGTAATGTGATTATCAGACGCTTCTCTTTTCCTTGGTTGTCTACTATGATACTTTCACAAATACTTGAGGTTTTGGAGAGCAATCGAGGCACGGAATTTTCCTCTCTCCATTGTGGATTGGTCTGTCTTACAAGTTCTCACTCCCGTTCCTCTTGTACCACCAATCTATCAGCTTTCAAAGGACTTCCGCTCGGATTGGACCACCGAACTCACTGGACGGAACTTCTCCCCTCAGACGGCTCTGCGCTACTTAAAGATAAGCAGGCAGATTCACAGCAGGCTGGCAGACTTTGGCAGATAATCAGGCTTCGTCTTGATAGTCGGCGTCTGACGCGCTATGCTTCCTTCGCTCAGGACGGAACGTTGTGCTGGAGGATTTTGGGGCCCCGAAGGTCATCAACGACGGTGTGACAATTGCGCGGGCCATTGAGCTCCCCGATGCGATGGAGAACGCAGGAGCAGCGCTGATCAGGGAGGTGAGAAGCGCAGTGCTTATGGCTTCATGGTATTGCAGCTTAAGAGAAGTGCAGCCCTGAGAGGAGTCATTCGGTCGTGCTGGCAATCAAATCGAAGAGAAAGGGGCAGTGGATCAAACTCCTGTTGCTGGGGCTCCTCAGTCCTCCTGCCAGTGAAGAAGGGGTTGGCTAAATCACGGCAGCCTTGGTAAGCCTTTCGAAGGGTTGAGAGTGCTGTCAGTTGACTAGCTGAGGCAGATTAAGACTCAATTTATGGTGTACGTGCTAGCGATCAGGAAGCAAAACAGCAGCCCCGCCAGTCAGAGATCTGTTCACAATGTAGACGCCTGCACCCTTCAATTGAATGGACGGTGCCCAAGTTCACAGGAGCAGTGTGGCGATCATCCCATGAAGCAGGTCTAGCTTCTTCTGCAATGCTCAGCTGATCAGAACAGCACAATTCGAAACCGTCCCATCTGGATTCAAGGACTCTGGCTCCTTCTAAAGCTGATCCTCTTTTTGTGGTTTCACGCCACCTTGTATCGGCCAGCTTGTTCTCTATTCCCAGTCCCGAACCATCATCTTTCCTTCGTCTTTCAACCCAGGTTGCCAGCAAAACCAACGATTCTGCGGGCGATGGCACAACCACTGCTAGCGTGCTGGCGCGTGAGATGATCCGGTTGGGCCTGCGGAATGTCACGTCGGGTGGGAACCCTGTGGCCATCAACAAGGGTATTCAGAAGACGGTGGCGGGACTTGTGGAGGAGCTCGAGAACAAGGCGCGGCCGGTCAAGGGGCGCGCCGACATCAAGGGTGAGCTTGCGTCAGCGTTGGATCTGGTCTGCTGTGCTACACTTCGCTGTGACTTTTACTCTCTGCTGTTCTGTCTGCTGTGGTCATTCGTCCTGCTGTGTGTATTCCGTGTTCTGGTCTGTAGGGGCCTCGGCGTAGAGGCAGGGCTGGTCGAGAGCATTGGGAAACAAGTTGCCGAGACCTGGTTGATGGGATTGTCGTTCCTTTCTGGAGCACGCAGGCAGTGGCCCTCGTTGCCAGTCTTCTGTCTTCTGGCCCCTTCACATTCTGGGAATATTGTTCTGACCAGCATAAGTTGGTGTCTGCGAGCAGTGGTTTTGGGCTGTTGTCAGTCACCCGCTCCGAGCGAAGAGATATCCCGCTGTCAACACGTCGAATCAGCGCAGTCAATTCACCAAAGTTGGCCGTTCGGTTCTCAGTTTTCTACGCCAACATCAGAACAGTAACCAGATAAGCATGTCACGTTATTGACGGGGGTGGCCAGTCAGCCTGGCTGACCGCCCCGCGCTTTTTGGGAGCGGCTATTTCCCACGCTGCATAGTCCCGCGCGAACGTCATAGATCATCACGCCGCCGCGTTGCAGGCCCTCGGGCCTCCGCGGCGGCGGGGTCGCATATTCCATCACCGTGAGGAGCGGCGTCGCCGCAAGTACCTCTTTGGGCAGACCATGCGACCCACATTTGTGTCAGCCCTTTGTTATTCGTTGCTGTTCTTTGCCTTGCTTCTGATCGGTCACTTTCTTTTTGACACTTTCTGGTGGCATCAGAGGCAGGGGGACCCTGGAGGATCCAAGTGCAAAGTCGGCAATCCGAAAGGGGTTTCGACGAAAACGGCAGCCTCTCAATTCATACCGGTATGAAGATGCCTTTGAGCGATCTTCACTCCGGCACGTGATCGGCTCTTGCGTCGGGAGCTTAGGAGTTTTTGAACATTCGTCCGTCATTCAACCTCGGGATTTTATTTCGAGTTTGAAACATTCTTAGGTAACTTTAAAACGTCTTAAATTTCGAGACGCCACCCACGAGCTCTGCCTTGGACTTTGCAGCTGTCGCGTCCATCTCTGCTGGCAACGACGACTTCGTCGGTACCATGATCGCCGACGCTCTTGACAAGGTCGGCTCCGACGGTGTGCTCTCCATCGAGTCCTCGTCCGGCTTCGAAACAACCGTCGAAGTTGAGGAGGGCATGGAGGTACGTCCTCCAGGCCAGTCGATTGTGTCCGTTGTCTTTTCCATCAGCATGAAGCGTGTTGTTATCATAAATTTTGAGGTTGTGTTCTCAATTTGGCAGCTTGCACTTCCATTTGGTTCCAGACGAGCATCGAAGTTGAGGAGGCCACGGAGGTAGGGCCTTTTAGGCTCTTCCGTCGGCATGGAGCGTCATCTCATCCGAAAGTCAGGTTTGAGCTGATCATTTGGCGGCTTGTTGTTCAACCCAAATCTTTACGGCTCACCCGGCTGCATGGAGCTTTCCGTCCGGGTCAGGTCTCCGTTTCTGGGTTGTCTTAGGGTCGTTTTGACGAGACGTCAAAGGGTTGAATTGTTGCGTGTAAGCGCAAAGACGAAGAGTCCGTCGGAAAACCCCACTTCGCGCTTTACATCTCCTAACCAAAGCCTTCTTTTCCGCTGTTTGCCCCCAGATCGACCGCGGCTACATCTCGCCCCAGTTCGTGACAGACACCGAGAAGCAGATCGTCGTCTTCGAGAACGCGCGCGTGCTCGTCACCGACCAGAAGATCACCGCCATTAAGGACATCATCCCCATCCTAGAAAAGTCGTCCTCGCTCAAGGCGCCTCTGCTCATCATCGCAGAGGACGTCTCGGGCGAGGCCCTCGCCACCCTAGTCGTCAACAAGCTGCGCGGCGTGCTCAACGTGGCCGCGATCAAGGCGCCCGGGTTTGGAGACCGGCGGAAGGCGCTGCTGCAGGTGGGTGAACGGAGGACATACGGTCGACATTCGGAGGCTATTTGGGAGGTTTCATTTTCTTGATGAAGGGTTGCGTGTTCGATAGATTGGGTTTCCCAACAACGTTCTGGCCTATTCAAATCTCGGCGCTGCTTCGGGGCTCCTGCACTTGGGTTGACGGAGGACATACGGTCAACAGTATGAAGGAAGCTTGGAGTTGTGAGCTTTGATGAAGGTTTATGAGTTCGACGAATCGGCTTTGCCCGCGAAACATTCTGTCCTATCAAGTCTCCGGTTTTGTAAGGTTGGTCGGCGAGTTGGCAATGTAACGACGTGTCAGCTTCGTTCCTCCTTGTAATGCGGTCGTGTTTGATGCCTTCGACTTTGACCTTCTAGAATCGTGTTTGATGCGCTCGTGTTTGACCCTGATTCTGAAGTTTCACGCTCACCACAGGACTTCCATCCTGACCGGCTGCGAGTTCGTGGCATCGGACTGTTACATGTCACCATGCTCACGTGCAGCTAACCCTCACCCTACCAGATTCTAGAGCCAACGTTTAAAACCCAACCTTAAACCCTAAATGTAATCCTGTTCTATTCTTGCAGGACATTGCCATTTTGACCGGCTCTGAGTTCGTGGCCAGCGACCTAGGCCTTTCAGTCGACGCCGCGACCGTGGACATGCTCGGGACCGCCCGCCGGGTAACCATCGAGAAATCGACGACGACAATCATTGCCGACGCCGCGTCAAAGGAGGAGATCTCGGCGCGCATTGCGCAGATCAAGAAGGAGCTCGCGGAGACGGACAGCGTGTACGACACGGAGAAGCTGAGCGAGCGGATAGCCAAGCTGTCGGGCGGCGTGGCCGTCATCAAGGTGAGGAGGACGGGATCGATAACCAAGGATCTGAGCTGCGAGGGTTGGATTTCTGTTCGAGTATTGATTTAACAGTCGAATTTTATGAGTTTCGGTTGGGACCCAGGGCTAAGCGGATACGAAAGCTGTTGAAGCCCCTCGTCGCTGTTCCGAGCTCTCGGTTTCGAACGGCGAATCTTCGCAATCTAGCTGTAGTTGTAGTTGGGACTATGTTGGCTGTGTGGCGGAGCATGGATTGATAGTGCGGTTCCTAGCGACGATGTGAAGTTGCGTGGTAATGCGGCCGTCTGGCGACGGCGCTGTGACGTCAGTGTAGAGCTTGACTCGTTACAGTCTTGCTTTTGGACCCAACCCTTCAAATTTTGCACTCATTGTTGTAAAGGACAGAAATTCGAGCTTCTTACATCAGTGACACTCCAGCCCCCCCTCCCTCGAGGTGTTCCTCTTAGGGTGGTGCTGCCACCAACGTGAAGCTCTGCTATTGTAGGACGTTTAAATTGTCAGTCTTAATGTCTGCACCTCGTCCCCGCAGGTTTGTGCTGCTGTTGAGATGAACTCGGAGGACAGAGTTTTGGTGTTTATGGCAAATCATAAACACCAAAACGTTTGTAACATGACCTTTAGTAGCCCAAGTCATTCTCCGTGGATCAATCACACCTTTGCATTGGCGGCGCAGGTCGGTGCCGCCACCGAGACGGAGCTGGAGGACCGCAAGCTGCGCATTGAGGACGCCAAGAACGCCACGTTTGCGGCCGTCGAGGAGGGCATTGTGCCCGGCGGGGGCGCCGCCATGGTCCACCTCAGCACGTTTGTTCCGTTCCTGAAGGAGCAGATCACTGACCACGAGGAGAAGATTGGGGCCGATATCGTGCAGGCGGTGAGGGGTTACATTCTGTTTCCTTTGATGTCTCCCTCTTTTTAGTACTAGTGGTTAATGCCGTGTTCAACGGGCCGTCGTCCTTTACTGATTGGTCATTGGTTGAACGCTGCATTGCCCGTCTGGATTTCCGGTTATTGAAGTGATGGTCCTGCCTCGTTCTCGGCGTGTTTCGAAATGGCGCAGAGGTCTTGGGATCGCGAGACGACGTTCAGTCAGCTGTAACAAGTGCGCCATTTCATTCGCCTGGACGGTAATTGCACATATTCTCTACTAGACGTTTCCCTCCATGAAATTGCGTGACGCTGTTAACGGAGTGCTGCCACAGCGATTCATTATATATCGTCTTCGATTGGTAGTAGGCGTGATGAGACAATCTCAGCAGAGCAGCCCTTTTGGGTTGGCAATGACTGCTTCCACACACGAGATTTCTGACCTACTATCACGAACAAGCTCGCTTCGAGGGTCAGAGCCGTTGATCTCGACCACCTGTTGCTTCAAGTATGAAGCTTTATGCTATGGCCCTGTCAGCAAGGACTGCTATCTCGTGACCGTCACTTGCTTTCGTGGCATCCTCGCGTCAGCGTCAGCGTCATTTCCTCGTTATTCGAAGTTCGGGCACCCAGAGTGGATACAGTGATTGACAACGAGAGTGAGACTGCTTTTCTCGTCGTACGGAATGACGCCTTGCGAAGCTCATCGCCGTAGTCGAGCAAGTCGCAGGGCGGCCTGAGAGCCAAACCTCCTTCCTTCTCGTTTTCCACATGCCTGATGAGCGGATACCTCCTTACCGCTGCAGGCGCTTTTGGCCCCTTGCGCACAAATTGCCGAGAACGCCGGGACCGAGGGCGCTGTCGTCGTGGAGCGGGTGCGGGACAGCGACTGGGAGGTGGGCTACAACGCCATGAGCGGCGAGTACGAGAACCTGTTCGATGCTGGTGTCATTGATCCCGCCAAGGTCACCCGGTGCGCGCTCCAAAACGCCGCGTCCGTCGCGGGGATGGTGCTCACGACGCAGGCTATCATTGTAGAGAAGAAGCAAGCGAAAGCAGCGATGAACTTGCCCGGGCCGGCCATGCCCATGATGTAAGCTTACGGACATTTAGGACAGCATAGACATTTAATAGCTTAAAGATTTGACAAAATGTGCGGAGTCAGCATGTGTGCCACGGAGCTTCAGGGGAGCTACTCGTAAGTGTGGCCCAGACCGTTGACGCAAGAGCACTTCAATTTTGCAACTTCGATAAGGTGGAGACGCGTTATAAACGGTGCAAATCTCGGAACGTGCAGCATCTCACGAAGACAGGCAGCCTGTGCCCATGTGCAGGCCCGAAATGAAGTTCGCATCAACTTGATGTTGATTCAAAGCGATCCTCCCTGCGGAATGCACACCATCAACGTCGAACTCAGAGATCGCCTGCACATATATGGACACGATCCTTGAATGTCATGCTGGAACGCCGCATTTGAAGCTTTCATTGAAGATCAACGTTGAAAGCCTATAGTGTGTGATATTTAATAAGTCATGCTATATATAAGTTGTGCGCATATGTGTGTCTGCAATGGCCAGCTCACTAGCTTTCTGATCCCGCAGCGACTCAACTATATGTGAGTGCAATATATGCGATTCCACATGTTCGGGGCGAGCTATATGTAAAAATTGGAGAGTCCTTTGCGACGATCCTTGCCTTTCACGGCCCGCCCCTCGAAATTCGACATACTCGTGCGTTTGCGGACGCGCTTCATCTTGCGGAGCAGCAGGAATGTGTCCATTCAGGAGCTTGCATTAGTGTGATCCAAAGGTGCGCTTTCACAGGTTGATAAATTCTCAATCATGCTGTCACACACTGCATTGCACGTGCACTGAATAATACATCTTCACTGTGTACTTCTGCATGCTCTGATTGTGCCAGATTGAGCGCCTAGCACCCCAACAATGACAAAGTGAGAAGGTTGTAGAGAGAAGCCTTCATAAATGTAGGGCTCCTGCATACACATTGAAGCTCTATATTCCTAAAGTCCCGGTACATCATAAGCTAAAGTACATCGGACCACTTTCCTGTCCTACTAAATAAACCCATTAAAGAATGCCTTATCAGGCTCGTTACCTGAAGATACTGCTTATCGAGCTGTCGTCGTGTATCCTCCACACTGCCTCCCCAAGGAGGTTTGCAACCGAGAGGATAGTGAGCTGCGGGAAATAATTCTCGGGGGCCAGGGGGATGGTGTTAGTGATGATGACCTCCTGGAACAGCCCCCCGGACAGACGCTCCACGGCAGGGGGGCTGAAGACGCCGTGCGTGCAGCATGCGTACACTTCCCGGGCGCCCTCGGCATGGAGCAGTTCCGCGCCCTTGGTGATGGTGCCTGAAGAAATGGAAAGAAACCATAATGAACCATAATAAACCGTAATAAACCATAATGAACCATAATAAACCATAATAAACCATAACAAACCAGGCGACTAAGCGAACAGTTAGTATTGGAGTACGATGTATATGAATGAACGCGGCAGACAGGTCCAACTTGACACAACCAGATCAGAAGGACCTTGGCTTTCCAGTCATCTCGTCAGGCCGAGCGAGCGCAAAAGAGTACAGCACGTTGCATGTGGTAAGACGCACAGTGAAGCAGTAGAGGGCGGTTACCCAACAAGCTGAGGGACTCGGGGACTAAAAGGTTTTCTCGGTGGACTCTCTCGACTAGCTAGGCTGTACAGATTGATGCAAGGATGGAGTGGACGGGCAAATGAAGCCATGCCAATGCTGCTACTGAAGCATCTCTTCAAAGCAGGCGCTTAGGCAACCCTCTGAAGTGAAATCGAGTCGTCACAACTGAAAATGTACTACCGCCAAACAGCAGTCTCGGTTGATGTTCTGTGTGGACTGCGACTGCCCGTCAACCAACGGCAGGGATCGCCAAAATTGCGATAACCTAGCAATCATCGCCCCAGAAAACATCATTTCTAAGCCAAGGCCAGTAAGGTTCCACATGTGAGATCCTGACGATGCGAAAACGGGAAAGGTGGTGATGCGAATGAGGACGAGCCCTCACCAGCCGTGTCGATCATGTCATCAACCATGACTGCAACCTTGCCCTTGACGTCTCCGATCAGATTCATCACCTGGAGCGACAAGAATCTTCACTCAGATGACAAGAATTTGCCGCTTGTTCAAGGTAAGGATTGCCGCAAGAATTACTCAGGGATGGCTGTCCATATCTTGGATGGACGCTGCTTGGGCCCACGAAGAAACTCCACTGCCGAGGTTGCTGCTTCAATAAGGAGAATCGCCGCTCAAATAGCAGAAGAACGGCTGCCAATAAGAGGGAGAAGCGCAGAGCACCGTCTACAATGGATGACTGCTTTAGCAAGAACGATAGAGTGCACAGGCCACCCGCAGAGGACAGGAGACAACACCGCCTCCTAACACGTGTATCAAGATAGCAGATGGTCTCGGACTGCGCCACCGACAGGAAGCGTCCAGAACAACTACGTCCTTTCCTTTCCGTCCGAAGCGTTACCCCTTCAGTTATGAAAGAAAGTTTAACGCCTGTCAAAACTCAAGACGAGCCGAGGGGCCCAACGTCTGTAAGGTATTGACTGTCTGCTCCATAGCTCCATATACAATGCCAAGCCGGCAGATCTTCTATCAATCAATCCGGCCTATAGGAAGCCCCTTTCAGAAAGTACTATGACAAAGCCTCCACAACGACTTATTCTGACGGGTTGAGTGGCAACAGCAACTCACGTCTGAATCATCATGCGTGCGTCTCGGCTGGTCCTACAGTTATGCAAAAAACGCACTACTTCAGTCGCTCTGCCGTTCAAATCAACACTCAGTGCAGCAGCTTTGCCGGAGAAGGAGTGATGACGTTTCACCAACCTAAGGCCATCCTTGACAGGCCTGTACTCAAATCCACCTTCGATTCCTCCTTATTTTCAGCCTCAAAATTTTTGCCAACTCGGAGACTTCTAATGCTTACCAATGACCTTAAGTAAAAGGTCCAATGGGACCGAAAAGACCCAGCGCTTTGAACCGGGATCATCCTCATCACCTCATCTGGACCGCCCTTCCCCTCAACCATACAACAAGATCTCCATCCTAAGTCGAAAGCAATCGTTCTTCACCTCAGCGACGTTGTGGCTTTGCCTCCGCTTGTCAATGATGGCAAGGGGCGCGTCTGAGAGCTTCTTAGCGAACGCGCGTGCGCGCGCCACGCCGCCGACGTCGGGCGACACAACTACCAGGTCGTTGCTGGAAATCATCTTGCTGGCTAGATAGTCCAGAATGACGGGCTGCAGCGAGCAAGCGGCTCCAAGTTTAATAAGGTCGTTCGAGAAATGGAGCATGATGTCAAGGACTGCCGCCCAACATGACGGGCTGAACTCCTTAAGGAGAGAGTGCATCTCAACAATGCATTTCTGAATCTTAAGAGCTAAGGTCCCCAGGTTCAGGCTTTCAAAACCTTGGACTTCTGAAAAGGGAAGAGAGCACGAGAACGAAGAGCCGGAACCCACAGGTCTATAATTATCCGTGCCGACACATTCTAACTTGGCACCAGACCTGCCGACGAAATCAAGTAACAACGAAACGCCTGCCAAGCAGATCTTACTTCAAAGTGGACAGGATTCCTCCTGTCTGGCCATCTATATAATGAATTGCAGTACCCTGAGCAGCATCAATCCGTGGTGTCGGCAAGACCGAAGCAACATGAGGTCTACCCTAGCACTTCATCAGCATGCTCTTGCTTCAAGCCGATGCTTATCATACGCACTGACGGTCCACCCAGCAATCCAACCTCAATTCCGAGCAATGTGACAGCTGTCTCATGCAGTGACGGAAAAGCCTAAAAGCCCACTACTCGCTGTGCCCACCTGTCCATACACATGGTCGACGGGGATGTCGAAGTAGCCCATGGCCTGGCCGGAGTGCAGATCGCACGCCAGGACGCGGTTGGCCCCGGCCTCAGTAATGAGATTCGCCACCAATTTAGCGGCGATGGATTCACGACCTTGCGTCTGCAGATTGCCACAAGGTGTTCAACAAAAACTTGACGTGATGAGAAGCGGATCGCTTCCGTCATGACATACGTTAGTTCTTCCAGATCTTGAAACTGTGATCCAACCGCTGAATTTCCCATCTACCAGCTCTTTGGCAGCATAGATTCCCGCCCTTGCATCTGCGGAAACGGCACAAGGTGTTCAACAGATCCGTGAGGTGATAGAAAGCGGATCGCTTCCATCATGAGATATATTCATTCTCTAAATGTTGAACGGGGATCCAGCCCCTAAAGGCACCAGTTACCAGCTCTATCCAACTTTCTCGATCCCAGCCGCTTGAATACTACATACCTAACCGCCAGAAAACTTGCCGTTTTGGTAAGACAGACCGCATCTACTCAGCTTTTATTGAGCGCGTCCTTTATTGCATCTGACATGACCACACTTACATGCAATTTAAAAGCTCACCTTGCGGTCCGCGCGGGCATAGCCAAAGTAGGGGATGACGGCCGTGATGTTGCGAGCGGAGGCGCGGCGGCAGGCGTCGATCATGATGAGCAGTTCCATGAGGTGGTCGTTGGCGGGGGGGCACGTCGGCTGCACCAGAAACACGTCGCACCCGCGGATGGACTCCTGCACCTGGACGTAGATCTCGCCATCCGCAAACTTCTTGATTTTGATGGGGCTCAGGTCGAGCCCCATGTAGCATGCAATCTCCTGCAGGACGAGAAAGCACATCAGCTTAGTAGTTGGTTCGCAGGACGAGAAAGCACATCAGCTTTAAGTGATTGGTTTGATTTGGTTCTAAGCACTCTCCAGGAAAACCCCAAAATCATCGGATGAGAAGAAATTCTGCTTAAAACAATGCCAGCGCCGTACTTGCAGTTGCATCTATGTCGGAACTAAACTGCTTCGCGGAACTAAACTGCTTCGCTTTATTTCACAAGGATGCACCACGCAATTCGTACTTTGACTAGGCTGCGTATCAACATCAGTATCAACTACTGTGTCCTGAATGTATACAACTAAAGCAGGCACTACATTGCCTCTCCATTTTTGAAGCTAACGGGCACAATGCGCACGGAGCCCTAGAGCAGGACGTCTCTGAGAAATGTGGATTTTGTCCCACCGACATCCGGTTGCATCACTTGGTAATTACTGGTTTGATCAAAGAGCAACTTCTACCCGTCCATTTCAACAGAGTCTCTGATTCAACCAGAAATGACATCCTTCTGGTGGAGCACCAACGCTACAAAGTTTGGTTGACTCCCACTTTCCAAAGCTGAAAGTTTACCCTTCCAGTGGCCATGACATTCTACGATAGCCCCGGGCCTTCAAAAGGGATCCAACTGCAAGAAGCGATCTTTTGACCAGAACCTACCTGGGCCAACTGAGGATTTGCCGTCCCAGAGAAGATCCTCAGTCTGCTGTCCGCCCTGGCCTTCTCCACAGCTATGTCCTTGAGCATCTGTGGCCCCAGATCATTCAGATTCCAGTTGTTTTGACTCATTGCTGGGACCACCGGAGACCTCCCATTTGTGGCAATTGCATGAACCTGCAAAACCAGACAATATCTTTAGCACCCTGAAAAGGCTTGTGTGGCTTCAAGATAGAACTGTCAGATTGCAGGAGGAGCCAAGGGTCTATCTCACTCCGTCAAGGGGTAGCAATGCAGGATAAGGTGAGGACTTACAAATCATGCAGCAATGTGGCCAGATGTTGAACAATCTGAGACCGATCTTGAATACTCTCTTCAAAAAGAGGGAGCCAGCCAAGAGCTGCTATGTTGTTATACCAAGTATTCTGGATTAGTTTACCCCTGCTGATGCACATCTTCTTGGTGGTAATGATCTGCCAGATTGTTAACAGTGAATAATCGCAAGAAAAGCTCACTGTAAGCGTTCTGCTCCCACCCACGCCAAACTGCCTTTCCGTGCTGGGCCCACTCAACTGTGGGCCAAAGAATGGCTTCGATGCCTGGCAACTCCGGCCCGAGGTTGATGCTGCAAGGCCTGCATACTGTCTCGTGCCAGAGGGCTGAGCGGACGGCTGGATGTAGGCAGCAAGCCCACAACTGAGGGAACTCAGGGCATGCGCTTGAGTGACCCCGGCCGCCGTCATTGCCGCCCAAGGAGTATGAATGCCCCAGTCACTTTTTTCTGGACGATTGAAGCAGTGAAAGCAACGTCCTAGCGCTCACCTTATCGAAGGATGCGTTTGAGGCGCTGCTTTGAAGCTCTGAGTCCGACTCTCACTGTCAGACTCATGGGCTGATCTCAGACTTCGCTTAGCTGTCGCATGGCCTTCAAGCCTTGTGGGGGGTGCATTTGCCAAATGGCCCGGCCCCCTGGAGCAATGTCTCTATGGTGGTGTGATTCGCTTCCGGGCCTTCCCGGCTCTTACAAGAGACTTTGAAGTATCAACTATTTCCAGCCGTCCGATCCGCTTTCCAAGCACATTCAACGGCCAAATGCTGCTGGTAAAGGACACAAACTTACCGAGGTGGTGGTGGGACTTGAAGGAAGCCCCCAATTGGCTAATTCTGCTTCGCTGGTGTCGTGACACTCCCTCCAATTTTGATCAGCAACTTGGCAAGAGGAGCCGCAGCTGTTCAGTCTTGTCGGGTTGAGATGCTTTTTTGATTGAGCCTGAGGGCCTCTGCAGGATTTCTAAGTTCCTCAGGATCCTGCATCATCAGAAGCCGCGTGAACGATGAAGTTGTCCGTGAAGGACGAGGCAGCGGAGCTGCAACTAAAGTTGGGCAAGAAAGCCACCTTTGAGGATGCAGTCAAGAAGCTTACGATGCTTGTTGCAAACGAGTATCTTGTGGCTGACCTTGAAGCACGAAACGCCGTGAGTACATGTCTTGATTTTGGGGCTCTTTGTCAGATATGTGTGTATGATTAGTGGAACGTAAGGGAGCTTGCCGGTTAGACATCAAGAGTCTCCCAGTAGAATGAAAACGTGTTGTCCTTTCTGTTGCAAGGTACAGTGTGATGGTGTTGATCGGGATCAGCTCATCATGGCTTTGATTGTTGTTTTCCCACGCAGATCGACACGGCAGTTTCTCGAGTGGCTACGTTGCTTCAGACACGATACAGTGGCGATTCTTCAAGAGGTGACTTTTGCGCTGTGCCTTCCGCTAATCATGCCCTTCGCCGTCAATTTATTTGTCAAGGCGCCTGGTGCACCTCATGTCTCGGGGTTTAGCTCAGGCTGTGGCTCTCTTATTCAAGCCGCCGTCATGTTTCTCAGTCGGTTGTTGTTGAGAGATGTTATCTGTCTGATCATGCGCCATATACCAGGGTGAACTGAATTTCTGTCGTGAACATGACCATGAGTGTTGGCTCGCTCAGGACTCTTACCATTTGTTTTTCCTGCCAGGGTTCTGGACTGCAGGAGCTACGCTGTTCGAGGCTGCCGCCCAAGTTGTAAAGATGGGAGATCAGAAGAAAAAGGTGCAGAAGTATCTGGCGAAAGCTCACGAGTTCCTGGGGGAGGACGAGCCGGTTCAAGCAGAAGGCAAGCAGCTCAGCCTATCATCTACATTCTTTTTCACTTTCGTAAGGAACAGGATACCCAAAGCTCGAGGTCAGAAAGTTAGGAGCCCGTGCGTGTTCTCTTAGTGTTTTGGCTATGCTTGCGGTGGATATCCAACCGCGGTGCACTCTTCCAATGGTGGTGTGGTGCCATGAGAGTAGGTATGTCCACTTCATTCCTCCCTGACCTTTGTGGTGTTCCCTGCGTGTTTGAAGCTGCTTGCAATCGCACTTTACCCGTGTGGATCAGCTGACAAGAAGTTGCACATCAGCTCCATCACAAGTGAACCCTTGACTGACAGCTCTCTTTCTTCTGCAGCATCTTTCGCGCCACAACCCCGCTTTCTCTTCGAGGGGCAGCTCTCGCAGGACCCGCCTCCCATGCGGGCGCCAGACGCTCAGGCCCTATTCTCGTCAATGTTTGGACAGTTTATTGGGGTCGAACCAGACGACGTCCCCATGGAGCCCGCTGATGAGGTTGAAAGAAGCCCGTCGGAAGCGACGTCCCAAGAAGATCAGCCTGCCATCGCAGCCGAGCAGCAAACCCCGGCCGAAACTAGACAAGGAACGAGCCCCTCCAGTACAGACCAAGCTTCCGAGTCTCCTGCTACGGACAGCTCACAACCCTCAAGTAGCTCTGAAACCCCCCAAACTGAAGAGCAGACCGCTCAAGGCGGCACCGATAGACAAGTGCCGCCTGAGGAGGCCACCAACCGGGAAGACGTCTTGGAGCTGCCGGAGTGGGCCGAGGCCCTCCGTGCTCCTAATGGGGGGCTATTCGATCAGCTGCGAGGGGACACCCCGCTCGACCGCCCAAGCATCCAAGGAGCGCTGCAGCGGCTGCAAGAGATGCTGCACGCAGGGAACGCAGCGGTGTTCCCGGGGCTTGAGGAGGCCCTGCAGGCCAGTCTGGAGGATGCGGGCCAGCGCTCCAAGCAGCGGCCAGCGGCGGCCAAGGATGAGGTGGGTGTGACGGTGCTGGGCAGATGAGTTACGATTGTAGGAGAACCATCGTCTGCTGCATTTGGACAGCAGGGTGCATTGCATGAAGCAAAGTTTGGTGCCTTCTCCTTGGTGTCCTACTTTGTCGCAGTGGCAAGGGGTGGGAGTGCAGGGCAGCATAATGCGTAAGAGCAGTTGCTTCCGAACGTGAGGGGGAACTGCTGTTGCCACAGCTTTGTGATTGTCCAACGCCTGACTGCCTGTACCAAAAACTTTGTTGTATCTTCTCCAATGACGGGCACTCCTCCGCAATTTCTACCCTCCCTGCTATGGAAGTATCTCAGCCCGTCTGGAAGAATTGCTCAGAGCCAGCGGATTCAGCGAAACGGGATCGTATTAGTTCGTTGCTTTGCTGGCTCGTCTTACGGGCGTGTTGACTTGAGGTGACTTTAAGGTCAAGGAAGCTCAAGCCTTGCCAAACAAGAAGATTCGTCGAAGTCGTTGCATGTTCACACCGCATGATCACGTGCTTCAGTCCCATCTCATTCAGCCCGCACCTTCAATCGCGTCCTCATCTCCGCATTACAGCAATTGCCTCAAGTTGGCCCTTCTGAATATCCTCACTACACCATTTTCCGTGTAGATCTCAAACACAGCTCCATGTCTTTACACTGACCCTGTTCGCTTCAGGTCGAGCGACTTCCTGTCATGGACGTGGACGAAGCCAAGCTGAGGCAGTTTGGAGCGGGCACCCAGTGCGCCGTTTGCCGGGAAGACCTCGTCGTTGGGGACAAAGTTCAGCAGATGCCTTGCAATCACCTGTTCCACCCGCCCTGCCTCGCGCCGTGGTTGGAGGAGAACAACTCGTGCCCAATCTGCCGGTTCGAACTGCGGACCGACGATAACGAGGTGAGGGGCCGTCGGGGCGCTGACGGGTGCGAGGACTTATCTATGTCAACCGGTTCCCAAGTTGAAAAGCGGAAACGAGCTGCCTTTCTGTATACCTTGGATCATGCTCTGCCTAGAAGCTCGGGACCCAAGTGAATACTGGTTCTCGATGGGGAGCCAAGCGTTGCCCGTGTTTTCGTTCTTGCTGTCCAGAGTCCGTGGAAAAGTTCCTGTGTCTTTTCGTCCTGCAGTACGAACGGCGGAAAGAGCGGGAGAAGGAAGAGGAGGAGGATCGGAGGGGGGCTGAGAATGCTGTGCGAGAAGGTCAGTTTATGTATATGTAGACAATACTTGTGAAGAAGTATGGACTCGTAGCCTGTTTCAGAAATCGATTCGTACACTTGACGACAGCATGTAGGCAAAGACAGGTCACCATATGTTTCACCTTCATAGAGATACAACTAGCAGGTCCATCATCCATGTGTACAAGTGCCTGCACGCATTGGTCACTTGTACGCCACAAAATCGTGGAGCTTGTTGACCACACAACATGCCGCTGCAGTAGATGTGCGTGATGTGGCATGCCATCGCCATTCAATTGCGGTTTGTGGGTGATCATGAGCGTTGGTTGTCATTGAGTGACATGTGCGAAATTTCTGCAATTTGAAAACCACGACCCACGGATTCAAAGTCAAGTTATTTCGAGAGGCGAAACTTGTATGCACCTTGCGGATGTTCGATTTAAATTGCACACACACTTGCATGGGGCATGGCTGCTCAGTGCCCTGTTTTTGTCTTTCAATGAGTTCAACGTACATCATTGCTTGTATATAGCTCAGTGATGGTATTACGCATCAGCAAATAGAGCTTTCTCGGAGGGCCATTGCAATTAAGCCGGCCTCGCGAGCATACACACACTTAACTTGCAACAAACTCCGACCAGTTTTGCACTTGCATATAACGTACACAATTGCACATCCTTCCATCGCACGTTCACCTTAGGCGGCTGTGTGCTTAGTTCTGACGCATATCCTTGCATAACATATATCACCGTGAAACTCTCAATGTCCATGGGGCCACCAAGGGCCGCCTAAATATCTGCCTTAAAGGAAGCGTCCTGAGACCCGGAACGCCTCGGCGACCAGCTGGCCCGTATGCCAGTGGTTTGGTCGCTAATTTTGGTACACGTGACCAATTTTTTGGCGACACAAGATGCGGAGTTGCTGCGAAGGGACCGCCGGAGCACCACGTGGGTAGACGCCCTCTTTAAGCTCCTTTCTGCCTTCAGTTGCAATCGTTGAAGGCTCTAAGTGAAGCTACGACAACATCTTCAGATCCAACTCTAAGACATCCTTTCTTTGTTGGAAGGGTGGCATCAGACAATTACCAGGGTGCTGTCAACGATGGGAAGCACAGACCCTGGGCCTAGGAAGAAGAAAAAAATGATACTGCGAGCTTGTTTGGTAAAATGCTGAAAAGATTTTCAGCAGATGTATGAAACTTACAGCGTCACAAAGTGTCATGCCAGCCTCCAGAAATAAACTCGGCACAACCTCTTCATTTGGTGTGACCAACTCAGCTACCAAACATGGCTAGGTCTCTAAGTATTAAGTAACTGTCATGTGCAATGATCTCACAAGTTCATGTCTAGTCGATGTTCAGCTTGTAATTCTGCCGTGAGATGGGGTTGAGGACAGTGGGAGGTCCGCCCTCTCTTGTCCAGCCATGATCAATGCGCCTTTCCGTCTCGGCTGCCCATTCTTTTGTGTTTGTGTGAGGAATAGTACCTGCCAAAAATGATCTTGGTTGAGGAGCGGCTCCTTTGAAACTAATCATTGTTGGTCATTGGGCATGCCACCAGAAACAATACTGCCAGGCTTTGCTGTGCTTGCAGAGCAACACTCGCTAGGCAGAGCGCCAGGCTGAGCAAGCGGTGAATGGATGCAAACAAACATTGGAAACCAGCAGAAAATGAACGAGTCCTCTCCTTTGTGGTGATCAAGGAAAGGCCCTGGCTTATTGATGTCAATAAAGCACCCGAAGAAACATAGAGCAAGAGCTCGCAAACTTTGATAAGTTGTTGCAGGTAGACACTTTGCCGCATCTCTTCAGCGTTGGACAACTTCAGGGTATCCTTGATTGTGCGCTGCATACCTTTACATGCATCGCACCTTCACAATGACAAACTGAGGCAAATAAATGCCACCTCAAATATCCAAGCTAGGATACATATATGTTGTTCAAGGAAGAATCCTCACCCCCAAAGATCTTCACATTTCTGGTGAGATGCCAAAACACCCCTGCAAATGCGAAGGAGCCAATAAGGCCTGGCAGGATCTTGGCTGGACCGAGCATGACTGCAGATGGAGCCCGCTTCCCTGAGGATGCGTAATCTCTGTGTTAAAGGCTTCCTTTCACGTGGCACTGGAAGCTCTGACCAAAATCCGAAGGCCTTCTACGCTTGTTTGACGCCCCAGATACCAATTTGAATTTGCCTTCCTGAGGCTGAGGCTTCACCCTGATTTGAACGTGAAGTTGAGATAACCATGAATTCTACTCCGGATTTTGCCAACTCCGATATTTTCGACTGTCATTCATCGATGAGGAATCCAAATTCCGGTCCCTCCCGGTACTCCACCACCTCTGTGCTGGCGGGATCACCCGGGCTACATTGTGGAGCAGCTGCAGCCCTGGCCTAGCCCCGGCATATTAATGAAGGCGGCCGGAGTACTCGGGCCGGTTGGACCTTGGCCCGGGGCTTGGTCACCGGAGTCCGGTTACAACTTGTGCATTGGCCATGTTAGGATTTCCAAACCGGACCCGGGACAGGGGGGTCCGGCCGCCAAGAAAGAACGGATAGACTGAGATAGTGGCTTTCACGAGCTCGGGGTTCGCCTCCCGAGACCAATTGCACGACCGGTTATCTAGTCCGTTAGAGGATAGGTTAGGTCAAGAAGTGTCTCAGTCGTGACTTGAGTGCACGACGAGTCGTCCGCTGGCATATAGCCCGGTAGAAGCAACTTTTCGCGCGTCCTCGTACGGTAAATTGATGCAAAAATCTGGAGTTGGGAAATTCCGGAGTTGAATCATGGTTATAAGTTGAAGCCCCTGCTGCTTCGACTCCGAGATTGTGGCCCAGCAAGCAATGAATGTCAGCATGTAGCATATTGGTCAAGAACTCAGAAATCCGCTTGCAAGATACCCTATACGAGCTCGCATGCACTCGCAGAATTGAGTTGGTCGATAAAAGTCTAATATGCCGTTTTTCATTCTGCAACTAGCAACTTGAACTCTGGCAACTTCTATAAGAGTGACAATTCCTAGTACTAATATCATCGTCATTTCTCGATCATTATAAAGTCGGATTGGGGGACGAGACGATCATGCACAAAATCCTAGCTGACTTCGGCTCACATCTGTAGAGGCCTGAAAAGGTAGTCGAGGTGTTTCGCCAGCTCTGGCGCAGGTTTACCTAAAGGCTAGAGCATCGCCCATTGAAGATGGCTGTGCGTATTTTGCATATGAAAACAAGGCACGGATGGTGAGGTTTGACTCCACTAGATGTTGATGCGCACCGGCACTCTATGGACAGCCGTGGATTTGGGCCACTTGACCCAGAAAACAACTTATTTAAGGGCAATGCGCGCACCGTTGAGCTGAGAGGTCATCGGAAACAGGTAAGCTGCAAATTCCTGCGTGCGTCTGATGATCTTTCAAAGTACATCAAAGCCACCACCACATCTGGACATTGCTCGCAATTTGAATTGGGTGAAAGGTTCCTCATCATTATTGCAATGCAGTAAGGCCTTAACTCTCTCCTATCAAATATGTAACCGTCAAGTCAATTTTCTTCTGAGAGTAAAGACCCGCTTCTTTATGGTGATTGGACCGAAGAGCCATACTTCTCGAGAGTGTGGGGTGAAACACAAATGAGACACTTGCTTTCGCAAAGCCGGAGTGCTTCAGTAGCCTATATTTGGATAGAAAAAGCTCAACATTTATGACAATGTGGGAAAGTGACCACCAGCAGGGCACAGTCAGTGTTCTGCTCTACGATGTCCCCCCCCCAAGGAAGGGCTTGCTGTTCCTGTCTTGAAGCATTTTCAGCAACTAGGGGGCAACCTTGTCGATTATACTCGTGTGACGGAGTTGAGTTGGAAAGATTTGCATAGTCGACAAGGCCCAAAAAACTTTTCTCTTCCATCATATTGTGCAACAGCAATCCTGTCACGATAGCGAACAAGTGGATGGGGGAATACCACGCAGAGTAATGCAGAAGCCCCAAATTTACTTCCCACCACTGCCCTTACGTTCTTGTTGGTTCCCCAAGCTTATGAAACGCTTGTCCATTGAGTTTCTAATTCTGGAACTCAACACCGTACATCCACAGTGTCAAGGGGTGGCCTGGAGTGGTGATGGAAGGAAGCTCGCATCGACCTCGTACGACACTACCGTGCGGATCTGGCACCTGGAGAGCGGAAGCTTCGTGAGTGCCGCACTTTCTTACTGCCATTGCCAAGAGCATCATCGACCAGTTTTTCATCTGAGTAGCTCCTGTTTCCTCGTCTTGGAGGCTTGCTTGACTAACGCGTGTGGTGTTTCCTTTTCCGCAGTTTCAATTCAAGGTCTGCCTGCTTCTGGTCTGGTAGAAAGGCTGGGTCATGCAATCAGTGTGCCTATTGTCCGGCTGGAGTTGTCTGGCTATGTAATCAAAGCTGAACCAGTCTCTAAAGTTTCTGGACTCTGGATCTGATATTCTCGATCTGGCCATCAGATAGCGCCTCTTCTTTCTGCAAGCAAACTTCCCTTGGTTCTAATGCCTTCTGCATGGCGCAATGTTCAACTCTGATTCTTGGGAGCACAAAGCCCTCATGTTGCAGAACTTGACCTCCAGAAACACAGGCGATTGATTACACGTCACATTTACATAGTTCGCTCCTTTTCTCTGGTGCAGAACTTCAAGCGAAATCAGGAGCTAGTGGGGCATAAAGAGGCGTCCATCCAGGTAGCCTGGGACCCCACCCACCATGACAAGGTCGCCAGCATCGGGGCTGACGGCTACGTCAGAGTGTGGGACACGCGAAGTGAGTCGACCCTCTCTGATCGATCTTAGAGCAACAGTGAAGGTCTTTTAAGGCTGTGCATGAGGAGGACAGACGGGCTAGGTCAGGGTGTGGTCTACTCGAATCCAGTCGATGAGTGTCAACTGATACTGGAAACCTGGTAGTCAGCATCTGCGGCCCGGGTACTTGCATTGCCTTCCCTTCCTATGTGCGTACCAGTTGGAGCGTGCAGGATAGAGGTTGCCTATTCTATGTTCTGATGGGTACGCAAGTTTGGAGGTACGCACATAGCTCTGATCGAAATTGTTGATTACGGCGATGGTTGTTCGAGGCAGTGCATATGGAGATCTGGTATGGGGACTTGGTTCTGCCTTTTCACCTGACCTCAATCTCGAATATCCAGCAACTTTTGCCTTCCACCTGGATCGAAAGTGGCTACAAGAGAGTCGGGGAAAAGTCGCTGTCGAAGATGTCCCACTCAAGCATATGATTGTCTTCAGAACTTTTGCTGCCCCCTTTCATAACCTGCATTTTCGCCTGGTCAGTACTATCCCCCCTTCTTTCCGTCGTCATACTATGAATACTCCGCCTCGAGTTCAACACAAGTCCACTTTTACTCACTTCACATGCTACTCAATTTGACAAAGCCCCTGCGACTTTTGACCGTGGCTTTTCACTCATTGCGCTCTCTCCTTCTGCCAGGTGGCAAGTGCATACAGGACCTTAATCTTGGCAACGGCTGCATAAACTTGGCCTACCGGCCGGATGGAACGCACCTGGCCGTTGGCGACAGCGTAAGCTTCGACGCCGTCCGCCGTGTTTTCGTGCTCTTGCGCGAGACAAAAATGTCGTTTCAAGCGTTGTGCCGTGAAGCAAACAGTTCATAGCCGGCATGGACGTTTGACGCATCACAATGACTAATTTTGAGCAGAAGTGTTCCATTCTGAGCGGTCTTAGCAAAGGCTGACTTTAGGGTGCCAAGACCTCCCAAGTAACATAATGATTTCACTGAAGGCAACACGTCCTCAACGACGCGCGTCATGGTTTTGCTTGACTCGACTTGTTTTGATTATCACCAGCGCTGCCCGGTTGCGCAGCAACAACCGGGGCATTCTGCTCTATAGCAGCTCGCACGTCTGTATGTTTCTACCTTCGAGTTGACGTCTCAATTTTGAATGTCGAGACAGACCGAGATTGTATCCAAGTTAGTAACAGCCCTCGTGACAGCCGTCTCTGATACGAGTAACAATGCACAAAAGCGTCCGGGAGAGTCCCCTTCAGATAATAAAGCTGGGCAATCGTTGACGTCCTATTTTTGCTGTTGCCTGCTCAGAAGGACGTCATCTCTTTCATCGACACTCGGAAGTTCAGGACCGTCGAGTCCCGGCAGTGGAAATCAGAGGTGAGAAAGCACCTTTCGTCTTGCGGAGCGTAGTGTCTTTTTCCCGATCCGCCCCACGGTGCACTTCCTTGCTTCCGCTCGTGCACACCTGGCAACCGCGCTCGATATTCTATGCTAATGTGCAGGAGGTTCTCCAGGTTTGATCCACTTGGGTGCTTCTGACTAAACATGCTGTGAAGAACAGCGACAGCCTTTCCTTAATCTTATCTGATGTCACCTGCCGGTACTCGCCACCTGATTTTTGGTCACCATACAACAGCGTTGTGTAGCTCAAACACCATCGCTTGCTCTCAAGGGGCTTGGCATTGTCCAATGCTTGACGGGACAGACTGGTCGCCCTATTCTGGGCGATTTTTATTTGGACGGGCAAACCCGGGTTTCAATTTTGGGCTATCTGATCCAGTCTGCGGCCGCAAGCATGCGTGTGTAGAATTTGTCGCGCGCGGCTCGTCTCCTGATGGTGCTTTTAATGGGCGTCGAAAGCCGACGCGCTCGAGCAGCCGCAGATTGGTTCTATGAGGTTCAAACTTGAAAGCCGGGTTTGCCCGTCCGAATTTAAAGCCGTCCAAAACGGGGCGCACCAGTATTAAAGAAGTGCTCGGAGCTCAGATTGTCATACGAGCAGCTACAGTCGTCGCCGAGGTGGGGCCTTGTGTGTTTCCGAGCCCGTTGCTGTGAATTCCATCTTCTCACAGACTGTGCGCCTCTCCTGCTAGGCAAACGAGTTCATGTGGGATAGGACAGGCGACCTCTTCCTCGTCGTGAACGGCTATGGTAAGCCCCGTCTTTCATAGATCCTGGCTCACTTATACTAGGACTCCCCTCTTTGGATTCCAAGCTCCGACCGGTTACTGTCTTTGCTTGATCTTTATAGAAACGGGACTTGCAATTTTCACGGAGGAGGACCGTACGCCACTATAGGGCGGATCCTTGTCGAAATGACCCCGCAGGAGAAGCGCAGTGTTTCAGAAACTGTGTCCTTGCTGAGCGCTCGCTCAAAGCGTTAATGACGGTATGCCTTCGCATGTCTCTGCTTGGTCCCTTGGTTTGCCTTTCGTTCCCTCTCTTGTTCCTTACTTTCGCTCTTCTCCGTTGTGCATTACCTTTTTGGACCTCGTTACCCCGTTACCCCGTTACCTCTTTACCCGTTTACCTGCGGATCCTATTCGCCTTCCACGATCGAGAGCCCAGAGCAAACGCTCAATACTGTTCAAATGCAGAGGAAGAGGCCAGTTATTCTGTGCGGTCGTCCGCTGACTCAGTCGACGGCTTTGCGTACTCGTTACTTGCACCCTGTCCTCCCGAAAGTGGCCTCCAAAACCGGGCTTCTTCTTTTAGAAGGTCGCCAACCCCCTGTCGAGACCTATCATCGATGACGTCAGGAAAGAGCCGAAACATCCGTCTCGCGACGTCGTGCCCCGTTCGTCCGCAGGTTCGGTGGACGTTTTTGCTTACCCGTCCCTCGCGCAAGTCGACACGGTGACGGCGCACACGGGCAGCATCTATGCGATCGCGGGCGACAAGGCGGGGCGGCACATGGCCATTGGGGGCAATGACGGCCTGGTCAGCATATGGGACCTGTCGGAAATGATCTGCCTACGGACCATCACGGAGCACGAGTGAGTCTTCGCTGGTTTCAGGGTGATGGATTCTACTTCTTTGGTCGGATCTGAGATCTGATTTCAGGTTTCCGGGGCTTTGGGCCTGGAGTCAGCATATGGGACCTGTCCGAAATGATCTGCCTCCGGACCATCACAGAGCACGAGTGAGTGCTGGTAATAGTCATGCGGCAGATGGCGAAAGTTTGAACATGATTTACTCGGAAGTTTCAGCTGCGGGGTGGCCGACGTGAGGTTCGAAGCATGTGGGACGTGTCCAAAGGGAAGAAATGATCCCCCTACGGACAGTTACGGGGCACGGTTGACACTTTGCTGGTTCAGTGAAAAGGCTTATAGTCATGTGTGGGTTGCGGATATATATTTGGTGTGGGCTTGGAGGTTGCGGAGGTTGAGCGCGAGGCTCAGGGGCACCAGATCCGTGTTTTGGTGCCACGTGTCAAGCGCGTCCTGATTGAGAGACGCGGTTTGTTCAGGTACAACATCAGATCGATTAAGATCAGTCCCGACGGCAAGTACGTGGCATCCGGAGCCGAGTCATTCATTCTGGTGGTGAGCTGCCATCTTGCCTGGATTTCGGCTACACCGAATTCTCAGTTCTGTAGGATGGTTATTGCAAGTCGGTCAGCAGTTCCAAACGCAAAAAAGGGTCGCCGTTAAGCAGTTGCTTTGCCACCAGTGGTATCGTGGTGGCAGTAATACGGCAGGAAAGAAAGGCACGACTGCTCATTTGAAGGGTACGAATAAGAGGCTGAGTGAACTGGCCAGATCAGCTGTTGATCCACGGTAAGCTACACCTGTCCATGTGGATGATTGTTTCAGAGGAATCATTGCTTTCCGGACTCGGTCTCTGTCATTGTGAGCACCGCAGCATTGCCCAATGCTGGATGGCTTTGGCGTTAGGGGAAAATGCATAAATTTGGTGAGTTCAGGACATGTTCATGACACTTTCGTATTGAAGATATAGTTTCGTTCTGCTCTGGTTGATGGTTCGCCGCCCCTTTTTTTGCAGAGCGAGTTGGAGACCGCCAAACCCCTCTACAAGCTGCCGGGGACGCAGAGCCTCGCTTGGCATCCGTCAGAAAATCTGATTGCGTATGCTGAATACCACGACTCGGACAGGTCAACCCCAGGTCATGTAGCAGTGTTCGGGTTTTCAGGGCAACCAGCCCCATACGAAAGTAGACCCGAGCCTCGGGCGGAGCCTCGGTTCAACTTCAGAATGGAGAGCAACTATCCACCCAGGAACCATTACATGGGTTACGGCAGGTCTTATTATTAATTCTTTGATCAAAAATTTCTAGTGAAGGTAGGTACAGTAGCGTGCATGACCGACTGTCAGGATCTGCAAGTGACTCAAATCAGGTGGCCGCGCTCGCTTTCATGACCGTCTCTAGTGAACATGATGTGGTCAGTCTCCAAAGTGGCATATGCAATCATTGTAGACTGTGTGGTCTATAAGAATCCTTATAGTTGCGAGCGCAAATATATGGATACTGACGTGCAGCTATTCTGATATTGGCAGACTGTATGTAAGCCGGTTATTACTTTTTTGTGAGCAGCTGCTGGCTTAGTCGGGTGTTCTCCCCTGCACATGCAAATTTGCTAGCCTTAGCAATGTTCACAAGGGCCGGCGGCCGGCCCCCACATGTGCACACTGCATGACGGCCCACATGCATGCATGGAGCAATTGCCGTCACTGGCATGCGGTTGACTCGAACGCACTTTGAGCCTAGTCACCCGATATTTAGTACGTCATGGGCCTGATCAATTGCACTGAGCTCGCGATCTGAGCTAGCATCCTTTGATTGCATGCGCGCCCGTTCATAGTCTTCTAGATGCACTCAAGATGTGTGTACGTAGACGCAAAGACAAAGCTGCATGCATCACTCACAGCAAGAGCCAAAGGACCGCAGTCTCCAGGAGACACTTTCGCAATCCGACGACCATCCATGTATAGTTATCAGCCAAAGGATCAAGCGTAGCCGTTTCATCAAGTCTTTACAGAAGCTCAAGAAACCACAGCGACTCATGTTGGCAAATAGGAAGTCAGACGGCGATTGCGTGCAAAAATCTACTTTTCACATCAGTCTTGCCGCTGAATGCTGTTAAAAGGACTTTTGAACGCCAGTTACAAAAGGGGTCAGGCTGATACCAAGCTCCTGTTGTATCCGTTCGACGTTCATCGAGATGTCCGCTGGGCTGACAACCCCTCGGCTCACCTGCACAGACGGAACCGGAAATTTTCGGAAACTGACGGAAACGGAGCTTGATATGGTGACTGACAAAGCATTTGAGAACGTTGCCCTTCAATTGACGGAAAGGTAACGGCCCCGGAATGCCGAGGAGTGGATAAAGAAGACCAAAACTCCAGATGTTCGAAGTTTAAACGAATTGACCGTCTGACAACGAATAAGAGCCGAAAGGCAATTGCGGAGTGAACGAGTTCGTGCTGTTGAGCTACCACCTTTTACCAAAAGTGCCCGGCCCCATCTTCTTATTATAATAAAAGGACGAATAGCTGCACAGACTTCGTTAGAAGAAGGGTCCAGCGTAGAGCGGAAGCACTCACCGACGCCGCAGGGACTGGCTTCACGAGCTGTTCGCTGTAGCCCCTCTCTCGAGCAACCGCGAGCGCCATGTCTACTCGGGACAGCCGTTCCGGCCCGCCTAGGTTGAATACACGGTGCGGGTAGGGGTAGTCTGCGGGCGGGAATTTGGAAACCTTGGATCAATCGGTTGCTTCAAGTAGCCGAACAGAATGAGACGAGTGGACGAACGCTTTTGACCGCTGAAACATAACGATGAAGCGAATGAGGCGGGAAGATTTCACGAGGTCGGGGACACAGATAGTCTAGAAGGCATCCAGGAGACAGCGCATCAGCGCCTCGACTAAGTTGAGGGTGGAATCTCAACAATTATGATCGGGTTGAATGAAGCGGAGCAAACTTCTTTCGCAATAAAAGTTCTCGTGCGATTCACTGTGTCATACGGTGTGAACCTGTAAAGTTGATCAGTGGCTGCATCACCAACGCTCCGACCCTATCTCGCAGCTGCAGGGGTTCGCCGGGGCGAGGGGTCTCCCGCTCGCATGCAAGTTTCTTCGAGAAATGAGTCCAAGCACTATCCGTTATCCGCTACGCACAGCGTAGCTGGTGAGCAGTATGGATCATAGTCGCCCCAAGAAGGAAAGCACGCTTTTGGACCCAGCCATGTTATCTGAGAGTCTCTGGCGAATCTTCGGATTTAGAGCTTTCCTCCAGTTTAAGCATCGCTGTTCCCAACCCACCTTGTTCAGCACTTTCCGCGAGCTTGGCAATTGCTGCCACGACGTCGCCCACGTAGACCGGATTCCGGAACTCATCTTCGAAAAAGCTGGTTTCTTGGCCAGACGACAATACGCCGTCCATCCACTGCAGCAAGAGATGCATGGCCGGTTTAGCCAAAGTCGGGTTGTGACGGTTCAGCTTCGAGTATGGGCGCGGAACTGGGGGCGCCAGAGCCTTCGCAAGTCGATTGCACGCGACTCTCATGGATGGAAGAGCATAAGAAGTCCTCGAAGAGTGTACAGTCCTCTAAAGATCGTGCGAGCCGCTCCTTCGAGCGACTCCGTCCAAGCAACTCGCGGACAGAGCAAGCGGATTCCAAGACACATTGATACTTGGAGTCCCGATTCGCAAAAGAAAACAGCCTCAAAAAAAAACAGCCTCACCTTGCTCGCTGGTCAGGCTGACAAAACATGACGCCCATCAGCTTTCATCGAGCTTCACTGCCTTCGACGCCCCCACTCTTCACAGTGGAGAAACGCTCCAATGCAACATCAAGTAGAAAGCGCCTGAAGTGAGTCAGTTGTCTGAACTTACTGCGAGAGGGAGGGTCCGGCCAACCGGCATGAGGGGTGGTTGTGGGCCGTAGATGATGCTGCTTCTAAGGATTGCATGGTTGGGGTAGCTCTCTTGTAAGTGCCGTTCAGCTGCCACCTTGGACTCGCCGTATGTGTTCACCGGGTTCGTCGGGTCGTCCTCGTGCCAAAATGGCTTATTCCCCTCGTACGCTGCAGCAAGAGGAGATATGTCTGGTCTTTCAGACGCAGGAACTGAAGTGGTTAGACCAGGATGAATCTGTTGTCTGCTAGAACGATGCGGCAATTCTGGCCAACTCAGTGAGCAGGTAGGCTGATGATGACGGCGCCGCATGGCCAGTAAATGCAAGAGGTGGACCCATACGGAAGCGCATTCGAGCATCAGAAAGGGAAGTTCTTCTTGGCTGTGTCAAAGCTGAACAAAAGTTCTGTCTTCCCTGTGACACAAAGGGGACTCAATAGGGAAAGAACGGCGAGTTTATGATACTATGTGCCTACAGTGCTGCCTAGCTGAGGCAGGCAGCATAGAACCAACAAATGTACTTCATTTCCTTACTTTGATCGGTGGATAAATGTATGAACAGCGGTGGCCTCCTGCCATCAACTGCCGCTCGCTGGGTCAACCATGTTGTCACCCTAGAGGGTACATTAACAGCAAAGGCCCGGTCCCTGTCGCTTTCGCAGTCCCGCGGTTGAGAGATGGCCGCACAATTGATGACGACGTCTGGCTGCAGTTGAAACAAGTCGTAAAGTTGTTGGAGCTCTATACTTTAATGCCCCAACTCCCTTAAGGCAGGGAAGCTTTCAAAATGCTTTGACCACCAAGCATTCTGAACTTACAAGCTTCCTGGTTGTCAGCTCGAGCAGAGAGTAAGACCCACAGCGCCCAGTTTGAGACTTCTGACAGCAGAAGGAAAACTTCAGACATGTGCTTTCAAAAGGCCCTCGCCATCCTTGTAAACTTCTTTCAAAGAGAAGGTCTTTGGGAAATGTCAACTTGCTTACACCACATCCCATCTGCAAGGCCCTCTCCTCAAGGAGACCTAGACCCCCCTCCGTTGTCAGGTCAATACGTAGAGCTGCTGGCAGTACCCCCCAACACATGGCGCCATTCGGCGTGATCTCCGGTGCCACCTCTTTTGTATGGGTGAACAACACAGGATCACCCGCATTCAGAAAGTGGTCAACCACGAACTGCCCGAGATAGCCGGTGCCCCCAAGCACAAGGACCTTCATTTTGCCGCATGAAACTTTTCCAGACGGCTTCAGCGATAAAGCAAAGTTTGAGCTCGCTGCAGAGCCCCTGTCGCTGAGCTCAGGGCTGAGCTGAAGAAGCGGTGATGCTGTAAAAACTGCCTGTGACCACCTCAAGTCCCTACTGACGCAGGATTTGTTCTGACTGCGCTTCTCTTACTGTTTTAGAGCTGACGACTTGAAATGCGGAGTGAGAGTGTGCTGGCAGTGGAAGTGTGTTGGTGTGTGGAGTCTCTATTACCGTAGAAGAGAACGTGAGACTTGAAAGTCCAAGTTGGAACTCAAAATGCAGTCGACGAAACGTTGATGATCACAGGCCGACTTGAGAAGACTCTATCGACCACAGATGGCGGCATTGGCAGCCAATTCGGGTGCCGAAGCCCTTGGGAGGACACAATGCCTTCTTTGCAAGCTCACAAAGCGGAAAAGCCAATGGCAGAAAGAGTGGACTTGCGCGCCAATGAGTGGTGCACACTCCGGAGGCTTTTCGAAAGGAAGAAGGAAATGCTGCAGACTTTCCACTGCAACAACGGCTCAGGAGAGAGTAGTGTCTGTTGATGGAGGTGGTGGTGCCAATGGTGATCCTGTGAACACACTTAGTCAGCAAATTGGTCAATCTCAAAGAGCAATGCATGTTCGAGGAGCTCCAATAGAATTTACAAGGAGAAGCCTATTGCAGACTGCGGCTGTTGTGGGTGGATCCATGCTGAGCTTTGGAGATGGGGTCTCCTTAGCTGGGGAAGCATCTTCAGTGGTAGAAGTGCGGCACATGAGCAATGACTTTGGGGTGAGTATCGCAGTGTGCTCAAGTTTCCAGCCGAAATGCTGCATATGTTTCATCGGTGCAGCAATTGTAAGTAAGGAGCTTTTCCCAGGGTGCCTTTCAATTTTGTTGACATTGACACTTGCTTGAAACTGTCTATCCTTGGTGAAGCAATTGTGGTCCTTAACATTGCCACATGGGACCCTTTTTCAGAAGTATTGAAGTTTGGCATCCTGACATATGGATCTTGCGCTTGCAGACGCTCTTAATGAAGACAACTTACAATGAATTTGCGGCAACCAAGAAATTGCCAGAAGCAGAGATCCAGAAACAGTTCTTCCGGTTGCGTCAGCAGGAGTACCCGTACTTCAAGGAGTCTTCAACCATGTCGTCAATACAGTGGGTCTCCTCAGCAGCCTCTGATCAAATCTCAATGGAAATGTTAAGCACTTTGGGCCACAGCTCCCGTAGTAGAGCTAGGAAAGCGGTTTGCAATTCTACGTTTCTATCTTCCTTTTAGCAAGTTGCATGCAGCTGTTGGTCTGACTGTGGAACTGTTGTTGCAGGAAGCCTGGTGACCTTAGTGAGGTGCCATATTTCAACTTCGTATCATACATCCAGGTGCGAGCCCAACCAAAAGATTCTTTAACTGCTTTCATTAGATGTTGAGAATTATCATCTTCCTCAGAATCAATCCTTTGTCTAGGGGCCTTATCCAGCAGCAAGCCACGAAAAGACCTTCTCGAGCGGAGCCTCTGCTTACACTGTGCCCTGATTGCCTCTTGGTGTCCTTCTGCAGTGGAAGATTGTTGCGAAGCATCTGAAATCAACTGAAGAAAGAGCGGTGAGTTTTTTTGAGTGCTCATACCAAGTGCGTCCATCAAAACAGTCGAACCTGCTCACAACCAGGGGGTTTACCTGCCGATGCGAGCAAGGGGACATTCCTCTTGATTGTCAGTATGCTTGTCGAAAGTTCAACTGACAAGCATACTTCAGTCTTGTGGTTCTTCCACACAAGCTGCTGCAGTACATTTCGTAAACCCCCACATTAAACTCGAGCTTTCATGCAGGACTTCAGCACGAAAGTGGGGAGGAGCTTGTTAGAAAGTCTGCGAAGCACGTCAGCTCCGGATGCAGGTTCAGCTGATCTTCGAAAACAAGTAGATGACATTCTTCGCAAGTTGAAAGCCGTCGGCTATGTGGAGGATTACACCGTTGAATGGAGGGAACCTGGTGGCGAAAGCTTGGCAGACGAGCCTGACTTGCGGATACAGCTAAGAGTGAGGGCCTTCCTTCAGAGATCTTGTAACAAATCTCATCCGGCACTTTTGGTCGCAGTTAACCGTTCTCTTTCCGCCTCAGGCTACTTGACAGACTTTTCTTTCAGTGGTCCAGAGCTTCCTCATGGTCTTGTTGAATGAAACTCAAGTCCGTGTTGGCTGGCGCCAGTGACATGCAAGGTCCTCTCTGCAGCGACCAGCCGACCTCCAAGGCTCGCAGCTGCTGAGAGCGGAGGAGGGCAGCTTTTGGCAGGTGAGAGGCATCATCTTCGGCTCAGCTTGTCATCCAAGCGCTCGTTTCGCACTCAAGCTGTTAGGATGTGGATGCAACAAGTGGCCTTCAGGCCGTGCTTCAGGCGGAGTAGCCGCACTTCAGGGAGGCTCTAAACAGGTCTTTGTGCGGTGAACTTGAGAATTGCGCATGGCTTAGTTGCCTGGTAGTCAATCTACTCCCCGGCTGGACCTTGCTTTGAGAGAGAGGAACCATTTGCAATCGACTCCTGAATATGACAATCTCGAGGTCGACATTGTTGACGTACGAGTCACGACTTCTTTTTCTTTCGCGCTTCCATTTCGCAACTTCGTACGCATTTCCCTCTGCAGAAGTTTGCGTCCTCCATTCTGCAAGCACTCTTCGAAGAGCGCGGGTACGAGACCGAGGTCGACGAATACTTTTTCCAAGAGCAGGTGCGTCCTTCGCATGCATCCCTCTTCTCATGCTTTCAGGAGTGCCTTCGCGAGCCTGCTGTCTACAGAAAAGCCCCCTTTGAACGTCCCGTTTGCATGTTCGTAGACCCATAGAAACGACCACCTTAGCTGCACGGATTCGAGGACGTTGTGCCTTCCTTTGTGCATATACGATCAGATCCGTCTAGCGCCTTGGCCAGTTGCTGAAAGGAAACGACGTCTCGGAAGGGTGGCCAGAGCTATGAGGAACCGACGTCTTGAAAGCCTCGTTGTTTCTTTCCGCCGTGTTGTGCCGTTGCCTGCCCGCGTCATATAGTAATATCTGCAGAGCTATCGCATTCAAAAACCGGATAGGCGGCTCTAGTACTGGTTCTTCGCGAATCTTCGTGTAGAGGATGGAGATCCGTCTAGCGCCTTGGCCAGTTGCTGAAAGGAAACGACGTCTCGGAAGGGTGGCCAGAGCTATGAGGAACCGACGTCTTGAAAGCCTCGTTGTTTCTTTCAGCCGTGTTGTGCCTTTGCCTGCCCGCTTCATGTAGCAATTTCTGCAGAGCTATCGCATTCAAAACAGGATAGCCGGCTCTAGTACTGGTTCTTCGCGAATCTTCGTATAGAGGCTACTTAAATCCTTCGTTGTCTTTCTTCAAAAAGTCTCAAAAAGGTTCTAAAGCGTCGCTCGTTTGTTCCTGTTCCAGTGGCAGCCGCCCAAATCGTGGGCCAGCCAACTCCTACTTGCTCTCGGGGATCCCTTTCAAAAGGTGAGAGCTTCCAACGGGAGGCCATGTACAGGAAGAAGATCCGTGGTTAGAACCACTGTTCGCATCTCTTGAGTGGTACGAACATGCAAGTTCGATGCATCTTCTAACCCGAGCTAGAGGCACAGAGAGGCTTCAAATGGAAGCTTCTCAGGTGCAATAATATATGTTGCTTAGCTTTCGCTCTGCTCGGTTCTCGTGTCATGCGGCAAGAGACAACAATCAACGTTAGTCAATATCGGACCTTCTTATGGCGCAGGTCGACGTGCCGTTTGATCCTGACATCCTGATCCAAGATTGGCAACTGCGACCTTCCGGCAACAAGCAGTCTTGAGCAGCAAGCACTGCTATCTTGTAAGCCGCTGGAAAGATAGGTCTCTAAAAATGGCACGCTCTGAAAATTGTCTGTATACCGATCGACACGTTCGATTGTCACAGCTTGCAAGTCTTCCTATTCTGCAGCCCCCATGCTGGCGGCTCGAGCTCTTGGAAACGAAATATATAAGCAGCTAGAAGCATGGTCCATCGAGGTGTGTGAATAAGTCTACAGCGCTCGCGACGTGGGACGCGCCGCCGGCTGCTATATATTCTCAGCGGAACGTTCAACGCATCGTCCTCAGGTGCATCATTGTTGCAGCGCATGTGCAGCATCACGCTAGCTCTGGATGCACATGCTTTTCCTTAATGCATTTCCCAAGTACATTACTTCGAATCATACGCGCATCGTGTATTACCCACGTTGAAAAGTTCATGCCACTTGGAGGTTCTACTGCGAATTTCCCTAGCTTGTTGCGGGCTGGCATGTTGATACGAAGACGGCATCAGTTAGATTACTTTGCTCAATTGACTGATGGCCTTTCGAGTACGTGTACCTGGTGCACTCTATACGCGCGTACCGTCATGAACCCTAGCTAGTCGTGAAAGTCTAACGACCATCTCATCGACTGTCTTAAGTTTCCCGTTCGTAATTGCATAATATTCTCGTGCAACAACGAGACGATCAAGCTATCCAAATCAAAGCAAGGTTCTCCTACCTGAGCTGCCAAGCTGCATAATTGTGCATGATCGAACATCAAAGCGCTTCGACGCGCGTAAAGCAGGTGCATTCAAATATTGCTTGTTCGGTATAGCAGAGGGGAGTCTGCCGAAATCAAATTCGCGGGACATATGCGAATTTAATGCTTGACCCGTCGCTCTAACTGCGCAGCCGCATAAGTAGGATCGGACCGGACTTTTTGTCGAGTTTGCAGCTTTCACCTCTCAATCTGAATGTCTCTCTCTATCTAGTTGCCGCCCGCCAGCTTCCGACAGCCGTCGGGTCAGGGTGGCCAGTTCGAAGACCTGACCGACTTCACTTGCTGAAAGAAGACCGTCACTTGTCCAGACCAAAACCTCAGGGATCTGCTTTTGTTCCTGGGCCTTGCGTGACATACACCGAAACAGCAGAAACACCGCCAGCACACCACGTCGGCGGCCAGGCCAACCAGTGAACCGATATCCGCATCTCGTACCCCTAATATATCTTGAAATGTATGTGATTATGCTCTAAGTCTCGGGTTACAACGTCCCTTCGTTTGCCCGATGGTCCTTGCAGTGGACTTTGTGGGTCGTCCAGTGCAACTTCTGGTGCTCTTTACTGCAAACAGAAACGCGTTCTGTGGTTCATATGATTGGATGCAAAACTGACTTCCATCGATCTTGTAAGAGAGTCGATCTCCAACAGAATACTGATGTGCAGCAAGGACTGCGAAGCATCCGAATTTGATTTTGGAACTTTACGTACAACCGAGTAGGTCTTTTCGTGGTACAGAACGGCTCAGTATTAGTACTCTCGGTCCAACTTATTGTCGAAGGGGAAAACTGTCCTTGATTAACCCGGACTTCCGTTTGAAGAAACCGAACAACGGGTAACGCCTACACAATCATAGCATTGCTGTCCTCTTGTTTCCGGTACAAGATCGTCTTACTCAGATCTTGCCAGGACCTAGACAGGCGTTTGAAAGGACCTTTGGACACAAAGGCCTTGATTCGGAAGCCTAATACTGGAGTCTGATCTCTAACACCTTGTGTCAATATGTAGGCGAATCTCTGCCATATCGACTTGTTGTCAAATCAACCCCAATGGCGAAGAGGTTATCAAAAGGGACAGCAGCTCGTCGTTTGCTTGTCGAGCGGACTCAAGGCTACCACAGTGGGATAGAGAATTTTGCAAAGGAGAGCCGAGACGCAAGACTCAAAAAGAAGAGGAACTGGATAAAGTTTGTCATCTGCGTCAAGAGCAGTTTCGAACTTCCGAAATAGATAAAGGCCGTGAACCAGGACGATCAACTTGTGGATCTCAATGACCCAACTTCTAGTGTATGGCCCGCCGAGACTCTTGCGCCTACCTGCAGTAGCGCGCCACGTGGCAGCGCCCGCACTTGCGAAACCCTTCTCCGACGGCGGGCTCGCGGCCGGCCGCGCACCCCTTCCACGAGCAAACGACACGGGCCAAGACGAGTCCACCACAGTCTTCTTCCACGGATCTCCAGTCCTCATCAGAAAATTGTGGCCTATCGGCTTTGAATGTCACGCCCCGCAGCCTCTTCTCAAAGAAGTCCCAAAGGTTGCATTCCGGGTCCGCGTCGTCAATCTTCCGCCGGTGGGGCCGGAATTTTGAGAGCGCCTTGTGCGCGCAGAGCTTTTCCGCAGTGGAATCTGACACAAGCAAGCGGAGCAGGACTATGTTGCAGCGGAACGCAGGAACCATTCGCCGCTGGCTCTGATTGGAGGCCTCCTGAGGAGGGGACGCATCGTAGATTGCCGCTACCAATTTGAGCAAGCCCATGTCGATAGCCCACGACTGAATGTCAGATGAGAACGCTAGACAGACCGCGAGACTGGAAAGCCGGAGCCGGATCTTCCGCGCATTTGAAGCGGACAGGCTGTCGAGAAACTCTGCTTTCAGAAGGTCTTTGAACTGTTCGAAGACGCTCCCTTCATCCAATGTGTCTCTCAAGGCGCCTCGGAACCTCTTGGAACTTCGTGCAAAGTTGACGAGGCACTCCAAGGAGTCAACTACCACAAATTCGCTCAGTTTCCGGGGAGTGTCGCTCTCCGGGAGAACCCTCACTTTGCCCATAAGCTGGTGGATCAGCGCTGAGGAGATCTTCCGGGCATGTTCCGGTTCCGCCCTCGTTCCGCCTGTTCTCAGGCAGCGCTCCACAACAACCTTGCTCGATGAGAGGATCACGAGCGCAAAGGTGCGATAAGCCTCAAGCTATGTCGACGATTCAGTTTCATTGCCTTGCTTCAGCAGGGGTAGCAACAGCCGCTCTAGGACCACCCCCCCGCGATACGCGGCAATCTCCTGGACGAACCTGGAAAAGTGCTCCGCACCTAGGGTTTGAACTATTTGCAAGGGATTGAGCATGTCAATCGCCGTTAAGACCTCGTCTTGGTCTGTCGATATTAGCAAGGAGGCACAGCGCTCGACAGTCTGGTCCAGGTCTTCCTCCATCTTTCCAGGAAAGCAGGCATGTGTGTGGCGCCAAAGCTTCTGCTGTAGATACTAAAGTACAGAGACTGATTCTCTTCTTTCTTCCTCTCTCCATTGACCTATGCGTGCATCGCCCGCCAATATTAGACCAGCCCGGTATCCTGCTCGAAAAGCAAAGCGCTCTGCTTCTCTTCGAAGATAGTCATGCGCGGTGCGATGCGAGCAGTGGAAGGCACCGTTTGATTTACTATTTCTACAGTCTTTTCGCCTCTAGTTCCGACATGCACTCAAATCGTGCGGCGCCTTGATGCATCCTGCATGCATGATGGAGTCGAAGCTGGAGCTCCAGGTTCAAGAACGTCACGCTTCGAACCCGACAACTAGTGTCAGGCGTCGCGCGCGCCATGTCGGTGTATTTAGTGCACATGCACAGATTGCACACTGGTCTGCTTTCATCGGCCGCGTACATCCTCCTCTACAGTCTCCATGTTCGTAACAGACGCCTTAATTGCGTCGAGTGGCGCATGCATGCATACCTGGCATGCTGTGTATGTACGCTTTCATTTGAATTTGATATTGTCCTCGAAGTCCATCTTTTGAAAGATTTGCGCTCCTAGCTCGATCGGCACAAAGTTGACGGGTATGCACAAACGCACATACTCATGACAAGCGAAGATATGCACACGACACGCGTGCTCGAGGTCAATTCAGGTCAAGACAACATTAATCGTGCAACATTCACAATCCTTGATCCAATGGTCGAGCTTGTCGCAGCGATTTGAAGAGCGTCCTCATGCCACCACGTACCTAATGTGCAGCCATATAAGCAGCTCTCTCTCACCGTCAACTTTAAGACGCCCCTTAAACAACAAGGAGCACTAGCTATATCTAACTTTGTAGAAGAGCATGTCTCTCTCTTTTTCAAGAGCGGTCAGCTTGAGCAGACCTTTACCAAGTCAAAACACCTGCGATTGAGAGAGGGGCTGAGATCCCGACATCCCCGGCGACTCAGACGCCCGGCAGGGCGACGCCGTAAGAGCGGGTTCGCGGCCAAGAGACGCCTTCTCCTGACCGCACCCCTGCTCCTCGGTTTCTTCCTCCGTCTCCTCAGTTTCTGGCACTAGTTCCGTTTCACCCGACTCCGATGCCGTTTCGGCACCATCTCCTGAATTCGCTTCCCTTCCTATGCCAACAGCAGCGCTTGCCCGGTTGTACATCAACCGGTCAGCCCCAGTTGAAGTTCCTTCCTTCGGCAGCAACTCCCCGCCCCGTTCCGGCAAGTCGTCACGCGAGCAACTCTTGCTGGAGGGGGGTGGCGTTGCCCCCGGATCGACGCCCCTCCCGCTGGATTGGCTGCCCCCCTCTTCAGAATCAGGCACAGCGGCGGTACAGACCGCGTCAGCCTGCGCTTTGCCGCCCGGCAACGAGTGGCTCTGGTTGGACGGCTTTCCACGAGCAGCGGACGCCGTTTCCCGCCACTCCGGCTCGCAGGCGCGTACTCCTGCGTAGCTTGGAGGCCGTTTATTTGCTGCCACGGCTAATGAAAGCGCTCCTTCTTTCTTACCCGCGTTCGCGGCATCTTCGTCAAAATCGTGCGTCTTCCGCTCCGCTGTGACGTTCCGCCCACGAGACAGCGCTCCGCTGATCCGCTCTCCCGTGCGCAGAGCTTCCGGCCCGCCGGACTTCTCTACTGCTGGCCTGTCACCGTTATTAAGGGCACGCGACACAAACCCCTCCGTCAATTCAAGACCCCTTCCGACGTGTGCGTGCCTGGTTTCGAACAGCAAGTTGTGCTCAGCAGAAGCAGCTCTTGCGGCTCCATCGGCTGCAAACGACGGCATCTCCGTTATTCCGCGCTCCCTTTCCGTCATTCCGTCCTCGATTTCTGCAGACCCGCCCTCTGCTGCCATACTTTTACTTTGCAGTCCTGCTATTCCGCTCTCTACTTGCGCCGTTCCGCCTTCCCAGACCCCTTTTCCGTCTTCCGGCCCCCCCGCCGTTCCGCCCGCCAATTCCACCGTTTCGCCCGCAACTCTCGCTACTTCACCCTCCGTCCTTCCACTTCCGCCCTCTAGTTCCGTTGTTCCGCCCTCCAGAAGTGAACCCCCGCTCTGGCTGAAGGTAGCAATTCGCCAACTCGCGCGTTCACTTTGGCTCCGTAACTCGACTCCCAAGGCACCCAAACCTTGGTTTAGCGTCTCCGTTCCGGCCTCCAGTTCCGTCGTTCCGCCCTCGAGAACCGCACGCCCGCTTTCGCTGTGAGCCATAACCCGACTCTGTTTTCGCAACCCGTTCTCAAACAACAACCCGCCCCCGGTTTGGCTCAGCTTTTCCGACCCGGGCGACTTTGACGGTGACGAAGACGAACCGGAGAGCCGCAGCTGAAAGGCGAGATTGCTCGGAGGACTCCCGTGATGCCCGTCATTTCCGCCGCTCTTTCCGGGCGAGAGCTTTGAACCGGGTGTCCGCTGGCTCCCCGCCTGCTCTGCCTGGCTCTGGAAGAGAGACTGGGTCTGACTACCGGGGGAGTGCTCCGGGGGCGTTGCTTCCTGGGACGCCACTTGTCCAGACTTCACCGGGTCCTGATGCGAGGAACTTTCAAGGGTCCTCTCCTCTTTCTCTAAACCAGAGCGAGGATCGGGTCCTTCGCCCGCTTCTCGGTCGAAGCTGAATTCAGCGCTGGCGTGATGTGAGGTCGGCAAAATGTTTGGAGGCTGCATTGCGCGCGGTCCGATAACGACAGTCGTCGGGTATGACCTCCGCTGGAGACCACCGTCTAGCGTTACAAAACCGTCCAGCTTTCTTTGGAAAGTGCCCCGACCTGTCAAAGACCGCTCGTCGACGCCCGCAAGGCCGCCACTGCTGCCCAGGGGTGAATCACCGGGCACTTTCTTCGAAGGCGACTGAGTAAAACGAAGGCTGCCCTGAGGAACGGGACTTGAGGCGGGGGGAATGTTCCCGAGTCCTTCTTCGCTGCCTGGGGAGGGATTTCCGAATCTTTTTCCGCTGCTGAGAGGAGTGTTTTTGGGAGTTTTCCCGCTGCTTGGAGGGGTGTCTCCGGCTCCCTTTCCGCTGCTGGGGGGCGACTGGGTGGCGTGAAACATGCCCCGGGAGACGGAACTCGAGCCCGGGGTGAGCTTCTCATCGGTCAGCAGCTGGCGTTCTCGCGACGAGATGGAGGCATCCTGCAAACCAAAATTTCAGACTATGAAGGATTTTAGGTCGGAGCTCCCGAGGCTTTCTGGGTCGAGGCGCGAAGCGGAGGTGAGAGTTTAGTGTTGAATGAAAGCTCTGATGATCTCCATGGATGCCGCACGGAAGAGGAAGGGATGCAGTTAGTGGAAGCAGACTCAACGAGACGGGCCGTGCAACACAACCATCCGGGTCGCCAGCAGCAAGTATAACAGAAAGGGACACACAACTGTAGCGATGCGAAGTGTTGCAGCTACGAGGTTCCACCATGAACTTCCTACATCACTTTGAAAGCCCAGAGGATACGGTGTGATGTTTAACCACGAACGTATTGTTATAACGTAGGAGAATGAAGAGGCAGATTTAACGGCATTAATCTTCGAAAGCGATGCCGTCGCGATGGTCACACCCGCCCGCCATACCAGCTGGCTAACCGTCAAGTAACAAACCGTACTTCCCTCTTGACCACGGGCTTGCAAGCCGCGGTGGGCAAATCCACAAAGCATGTAAGATCAAGGTCAACACGTTACCTGCTCTCGTCGTTGCTCCGTCTCTGAGCCGAGCCTTTCGTCCCCACTTTCCGCCCCCCTAGAGCCTTCCTCCGCGGAAGCAGCGGGAGCGCTCGCGTCACCCTGACTGCCCCCCCTTCGGTTTCGCACCTTTCCCCAGTCAATCTCGTCGCTGCCAGGCGCCTCCTTCGAGCCACTCTCATCAGGCCACTCCTCTTCCGGTCCGTTCGCTTCCAGTCTCTCCTCTTCCGGTCTCTCCTCTTCCAGTCTTTTGCCTTCCGGTCTATCTTCCGGTCTCTCCTCTTCCGGTCTTTTCCCTTCAGGTCTAACTTCCGGTCTCTCCTCTTCCGATCTTCCTCGCCCCGCTCTCTTCTCTCCGGGTCTGTCTCCTTCCGGTCTCTCCTCTTCCGATCCCTTCGTTTCCGCATTCTCCTGCTCCATTTTCTCCTCCTCCGGTCTCTCCTGTTCCGGCGCTTCTCCTTCCGGTCTCTCCTCCAGCTGAAACGACGCCGCCAGGTTAGGCGAGAAGGGGCCCGGCCGGGTCAGCTCTTGTTCCAATGTCCCCGTAATCTGCCCGTCACCAATCGGATGTTCCGCTCGACGCCCGGGGCTGGCTTGCCCCGCCCCGGCACCGATCCGCGGATCGTCTTCATAGCCGGCACCGACGTCATTCCCCCTCAACCGCTTTGAAAGACCCGACTTCTCGATACCAAGTGATAATTGCTCCTGCTCCCTTTTACCCTCAGCGTCATCTTCTCTCAAACGCTTCCTCGAACCCACACCTAGTTCCAGCCTGTCCGTCTCATCTGTTCCTTTCTCAGCCAACCCGTTCCGGCTGCCTGCGCCGGCCTTCTCTGCGTGCAACTCATCGCTCAACCCCACTGGTTTTTCTGCCACTCCCACAGGAGTCGACTCATTCTCAGCCTGTTCCATTGCGTTATCTTCCTGGGTCTCTTCCCTGACCGCAATCCCTGCTTCCTCTCCTCGGGACATCCTCTCTACGCCATCCACTAGCAACTCGTTCCTGCCCCGAATCCCGGCCTTCTCCGTTTCCGTTCCCGTTTCCCTTTCGACCGTCTCGCCTGCAAAACCGTCCCGTTCCGTTCCCACTGCCGTCAAGCCGACGGCGTGACCGCCAGGCTCTACTCCGCTCCGGCGCTCTTCAGCACCGGTTCGCTCTGCTGGCCGGGGGTTCGGCTTTGGGGAGGTAAGAAGTGAGGCTTTCATCTGTTGGACGACGTCACAAAGTGGGCGCAGGCCGGCCAGCCCACCTCCGCCGCAGATGCGGGTAATTCGTGCCGATAGCTCCTGCTCGATGTCGCACCTGAAAGAGGGCGGATGGGATGCGGTTGAAATTCGGTGTCACTGAGAGAGATTTTAATCGAAACGGGTTGATCACAATTACTATGACGATTACGGACTTGAATTTAAATCCAGAATCGGTATGAGTCGGTACTCTTGACCAGGACGAAGTCTGAGCTTTTCGATCCCAGCAGAAGGACGGTACGTAAGATGGAAGTATGATGATAAGCCAAGCACTCTGGCCTTGCCAAGATGGTGGACGACAAACGGAGCTTGGGAACCGAACCAACAACTCGAAACACTTAGCCAAATTTTCGTACGGCTTTGACAGGAAATGCGGACATACAAACTTACAGCAGGAGCTTCTCCGCAGCCAGCTTGCCGAGCCCCTCTGCGCTGAGTTCGCGGGCGTAGCTCCGGTGCATGTCCGCAAACTGAACGAGCGCCGTCGCTTGCTGCTGAAGGGTTGCGACCAGGTCCTCGATCTGCTGGATTACATGGCCCCGTGCGGCGTTTTGTTGAGACATGGCTTGGCCTGCACTTTAAGCAGGTTAGAAAGTGGTTAGAAAGTGTTTAGAAAGTGTTAAAAGTCAGAAAGCTGGTTAAGCAGCTAATATTTGGTCATACCGCCGAGCTTGAGAGGACCTACTTTTCATATATCTGCAAGTCATATGATCCGAAAGCTCTGGTGGATTGGAATAGAGAGAGGGTGGTGTCAAAAACCGACCGCCGTTTGCTGTGAACTGGCTAGAGCCATGACAAGGGATCGCTGCGCATATCGAGTAATCCGGTTTCAGGTTAGTCGGATTGATAATAAGGACGACCAGAGGGGGCATACAAAGGGCGCATAAATGTCCATCGCTTGGTAGATGACAGAACCGCCTAGCAAACATCAACACACCCTTGAGGGAGAAGTGAGAAGTGGCACCCACCCAACTCAGGAACAAATCAGATTCAGGATCTTCTTCGATCAAATTCCAGCCCTCAAATAAAATGAAGCCCCATGAATAATCATGTACAGGTATAAAGCGCAATGTTTCCTCACCAACGAGGGGTATGCCAGGGTTCAAGAACGCCTCGTCGCTGAGCCACAAGGCATCCCATCCCTCCTTCAGTTCCTCAATTTTCAGGGCCAGGACCTCGTAGACAGAGACGGCGGACTCAAAGTTGCTGGCGGTGGAAGAGACTTGGAGAAGGAGCTCTGCTTCTCGCACGTTGCGCACCCTGCCGATAAGAGGTGATTTGGGAGTTTATGACTAGTTTCGGGCAACAGAATGAACAGTCGAGTTTAAATGAAAACCAAAACAAGTTGCAAGTGCAATTATTGGGCCTGCAACAAACGGGGCAAATTTGACTGCAGGGGCATAAGCACTGCGGCAGCGACGTCTTCCAAGAGCAAGCTGTGCTGCTTCGCAACCCACTGCTTCCAGAGATCATCGTTTGCATTGCATGCCTTCTGTGCGCCTTGTCAGATGATTTTCGTTTTGACAGCCAGGGGCTTGATTGCAGCAATTTGTCTGATCCATTGCAATCTCTCACCTTCTCACAACAATGTCAACGGGCAATGTAAGAACACTTGAGATGGAAGAAGGTGAGGGATCGTCCTGCTCTGCCTCTTTTGCCATCTCAACCTCTGACTACAGAAAGAACACGTCAGCAGCGAAAGCCACAACCGCACATAAAAGACATGGGCAATACAAGCTACCCATTTGCCGACTCCGCCACGTCGGCGGAAGATAAATTGTAGAAGTCCGCTGGCTGTCTGTGGACTTGTGCTGACTTCAGCAGATTGTTTTGCCGCCTTCTCTGAGTCTGAGGCTTCTGCCTTCTCCAGAGTGCGCTTGAGCAAAATGCTGTGGCCGCACAGATGGGCCGTCGTCGTAATTGGCTGCTCTTCGCGTCCCTCCCAATAAATACAGATAATTACAATTTTCTAAGATAATTTGTGACATTTGAAGGGGAGAAACTAAGAGAACCGCTTGTCGCCCTGTTGCAGCCTGGCATGTTTTCGCCTGTGTCATGCTCAGAAAACGGCAAAGCCGCCGGCTATTCACCCTTTGCCGTTGGAGTCTCGAACTTTTTGCTGCGGATATTCGGACAGCCAGCAGAGAAAGTACTTGATTCTAGAGCAAGCAGCACGCAGCCTTTCTGAAGTTGAACTCCTGAAGATCCTGTCGCGCTCAAAGAAAATGGTCGCACTAGTCAGGCACGCTCAACCTCTTCCAACCCTGCTGATAAAATATCATTACCATCATCTACTTAGCTTGATTGAAAGGTGTCCGCTATCCCTTTCAACCAAGATCACACAGCCACCGGCCTTAGCTACACCACCATTTGAAGGGACACCTGCAGGTTTTGTTTTCTTCACTGCCACATTCACGTTTGCAGCATAGACAACTGTGCTCTTAACGATAGCTTATGCCCTTGTAACCTCAGGAAGAACAGCGAAGCCAATGGCTCTGCGGAGGGCTGTTTTGGCTGGCCAGAGTTTAGCCCCAGCAACATTGACACAGTCGCTTGTCAATTGCCGAAGGGCACAACGCTCATCGATCGCTGCATCGCTGGCCCAGAACATCTTTGGCAAAAGGGGCTTCACTGATTGTGACCAAATCCCCTTTCTGCTTGGTGGTACGTTGATGGGTGAGAAGGTTGCAAGCAGTGCAAGACATAGGCAAAGAACTTCTCGAGTCAGCGCTGTGACGTGCTTTGCAAGAACTTTGACACAAACTCCCAGAGCACAAGGAGCGGCCAGTCAAGCCGCCAGCTTGGTGAAGGGACTGGAACCAGATTATGAGGGGGAGGTTTCCTCGCAAATGAAAGGAGAGCGGCTGGATGCGTTTCTGGTGGCGAATCTACCACAGGTGCGTGTCTTCTGCTGGAGAGGAGCAAGGGCTACAAGAATAAGTGCTGATTTTGCAAATAGTTGACGCCTCCTCGAATGCTGAATCCAGACTGGCTCATTCATGTAGAACGAGTTGCGCATAACGCTGAGCTTTTTGATATCTGCAGCAATTTGGCTGCTTTGAAAGCTAGAGGCTCATCCAGATCTCATGTTCACTGTGCGCTCTTCTGAGACTTGTTATCCTTGAATGTCTACAGGCCAGCCGGTCCAAGATTCAGACAAGCATCAAAAGTGGTTTTGTGCTTGTTGATGGGCAGCCCCAGCTCAAGCCGTCCCTCCTGCTTCGGGGGGGTGAGTTTGTCAGGTGCTCACTGCCCCCTCCCCCACCAAGTGATGCTATACCCGAGGTACAGGCCACCGCCCCATTATCCTTTCAATTGCAGATTGTCAAGCTGATTGGTAGAATTCAAGAGTTGGTTCCTCAAATACGCAATCAAAACTGTCTGGTAGCATATTTACTGTACCCGAATTGCAACCCAGCATACGAAATGGGATTTGACAGGGTATTTGCTTTGTCTCTCTTCACCCCCTTCTGGCCAGTCTTCTCCGGATGTATATGGAACAATCCTCCATCCATCCAATCTTGTAGAGACACACTTTGTAAAGGAGAAGTCTCACAAGGGTATCAAGCAGAAGTCTCATAATTGACCTTCTTCAGGACATTCCGCTCGACATTGTGTACGAAGACGACCACGTGGTCGTGATAAACAAGCGGGCCGACATGGTAGTCCATCCTGCTGCGGGGCACAGCTCGGGCACGCTCGTCAACGCACTTCTCTTCCACTGCGACCTCCCGACAGCGGTGCTATCTGAAGCAGGTTAGTCTGGCTCATCTGGTTGATACATTTGCTCGCGGAAGGCTGGGTTACCTTCTAAATCTGAGAAGAAATCGATGATGAATTGTGAGTTAGCTGCAAGCTCGGAGCTGGAGTACACGAAATGTCTGAGACTCTACAGGCAGCATAGTAGATCTTAGCGATTTGACTAAACTTGGTTGCAACATGAAGTTGCACACTTCTCATGTACAGAGTCAACGAGTTCAGATTTTCTGATCAGTTGCAATCTGATCTAGGCAAAGTCCGTGGCCAGGTTTTCAAATACCATGGCGCGAACCCGTGCCATACCCCTATCAACACACCCTCTCCTGCAGACGAGTACTCGGATGAGTTGGACGAAGATGTTGAGCTCGACGACACCGGAACCAATGCGGCGGCGACAAGCACCTCCGCTTCTGGCTCCAGTGGGGGCGCCGCTCCTCACGTGCGTCCCGGCATTGTGCACCGGTTGGATAAGGGCACCAGCGGGCTGCTCGTGGTGGCCAAGGACGAGCGGAGTTTGAAGGGGCTGAGTAAGCAGTTCAAGGTGAGGCGTCGACTGAGCCGCGAGGCGTTTTTTATCTTCATCATCACTTTCTTGTAGTAAGGTGATCGAAGGGTGCCATCAGTCGGGGGGTCTCGGGCGAATATAAGCAGCCCTCAAATTTCCAGGAGCAAATGCAACGATGCTTCCCCGTTAACTTCAGCTGCAAATGTTGGGAGGAAGCAAGCGCATCAAGGTGAGGCGTCGGGTCTCTGCATTGGCTTGAGGAAGGTGGCGAGGATTGAAAGGATTGGGAATGGCGAAAAACAACTTAGGAGACTTTCGGCGTAGCTGCGGTCGCAACTTTGCTCTCGCTGACACAGCGAGGTCATGTAACGGTGGCAAGTGGGCTAAGTACTCGGTTTGGACCTCAAGGAGGGGCCTCCGACTGAATCAAAGACGACTGTGGTGAGGGGCCATTGCGTTGCCGTATGGTGGCGCAGTCAGTCTGCGCACCACTTGACTGAACTGAAGATTGTGAGGGAAAGATTTTGACAAGGTCAGCAAGTCAAGCACATCGAATCGTTGCCTGCCCGGTGTTGACGATGATAAGGCCGAAGCATGTTGAGGTCGTTTGTGTGCGCTAAGGGCAGAAGCTGAAGGAGCGGGTTTTACAATCAACATACTTACGAGAGCGCTCTCAAAGAGCGCTGTACGTCACTCACGAAACATGTTGAAAAGCGCTCTTTGATCGCGAAAAGAAGTGATTTGTCTCTTTCAGGATCGAACGGTCAAGCGATCCTACCTGTCGATACTGTGCGGGGTTCCGGACCCTCCCATGGCGCGAATAGACGCCCCCATCGGTCGAGACCCCCGGGACCGAAAGCGGCAAACCGTGATCGAGGGGCTGAGCAACGCCAGTCGGAATCGGTCACGTCACGCCGCTAGCAAGTACCGGGTTAGGGAGTGGTTAGCCGGGGGGGCGTGCGGGTTGGTCGAGTGGCGGTTAGAAACGGGTCGAACGCACCAGGTATGTGGGGGAATTTCGAGCAGATTGTCGTCGTTTGAAGCCGGATCTGTCGCTTCGAGCTTTCATCTGCCTGGATTGCAGAACAAGGGTCTGGAAGTGATCTGGAAGAAAGCTGTTGATTGCCTTCTCCTGTCGTGAGTTGGACTTCAGACGAACATCTCAGAGGCGGCTTGTCCCGCGCACGATCCAGAGAAGAGAGCCTTTGAGATATGCACTAGCCAAGAGAAGAGAGCTTTTGAGAATCTAAACTGAGCAACCTTCGAGAACGGGAATGCGGAACTTGCGAGTGCACTGACCACGACATCTTTCTATCAAGTGTGATGCGATTGAGTGACTAGCTGCGCACTAGAAGTGTCACCGTTGGTCGAGACATTGCAACCTCGGATGATATGTTTTGCCTTTGCAAAGGGGATGTGCCATCGAGCAAGGTTTTCTCGAAACGGTCCTGACATCGGACCCCCTCTTTCCTCGCAGATTCGGGTGCACGCGAAATACGTTGGTCATCCGGTTTTGGGGGACGAGACCTACGGCTGTACATCCGGCCTGGTGTTGAACTCTTTCCAGAGGACGCTGGGACCGCCAGCGCAATCGAAAGCGAAGCAGCTACTGGCGGCGCTGAGAAGACCGATGCTGCATGCCAAGACTTTAGGGTGAGTGGGCTTCTCAACTGTGACACAAGTTCTGTGATTCTTCTCCTCGCTTGACGTATTATGATGCATTGGCAGCTATATGAGAGAGGGAATTGTGATGCGTGTTTCTTTTGGTCTTCATTGCGCATCGCAATTCTTTCTTGGCTGTGATACGGATGCTAGCTTTATTCACAGAGCCTCTATTGTACGCTTCCGTCTCAGTCAGCGTCCTCGAGAGCTTGAGAAAGTTGCTTCTCTCCAAACGAGGAGGTGGGAAAGGACTGGAGTTGGGTTGCTGCGCTTGGTCAATATGTATCACCTCGGCGATTTTAAGCGCTGATGTTTGCCCCTCGTTTTGCAGCTTCGTCCATCCGTGGACGGGCGAAGAGCTATTGTTTACATCAGACCTTCCTTCCGACTTCGAGGAAGTACTAGATACATTGAAAAGCATGAATCCGGACCTGTGATATTTGCAAATCATTCTCAGTTTGGCTTACTAAGCTCGAGTTCATGGGAGACGCGCTCGAGCTCTTGTCTGAATACAATATCACTCAAGGGGTAGCCTAGACATACTCGACTCGAAGGATGCAATCGGATATGAATTGCTTCAGTTGACCAGCTCAAAAAATTTGCACCCTGAAGATTGGTCTGCGCGTACGGGAAACATGATCAGGAGTGGACGGATAGATTACTAGCTAACGGCCAGCCGCCAAGTAGGCTTCAAAGGACACCTTGATGAAAATGATGCAGCTACGGAACGAATATCTATTTAGCAGCCTTGCAGGCTGATCGTGGAGCGTACATTAAGTTTCCCGAAAACCGTCGTGTGCAGTTGTGTCGCGATCAAACAGGTGTTGCTTTACATATGTAGACATGGATATGCTGCAGCCAATACACTATCACATGGGCCGGTTGGCATGTCATGAACTAAGCACGCCGAGCTGGTACTTCGTATGGATGAGTCCAAGAAACCCTCAATCACTTTGTTCCTTGGGCAAGTCATTCTGCAATAAACAAAGCACGTGGACTTATATGACCTGATTGATAAACACTTGCACACACATGTGTCGATCCGACCATGTAAGTTTGCGGAATGTAGGAGAGCAGCTCCTAAATCATGCCGGAGCAGCTTAGCATGCTTTGCCAAGCTCATCTCGTAACTTCGACCCGCATACTCTGAAGGGCCTCAGCGTCATGGTATGGCATGAGGCGGCCTGCCTGGGCTATATCTACCCACGATGGTTACACAAGTTCGTCGTCTTTTGGTTCTAAGTGGTCGACCTTGCGGGCTGCAACATGCACCAAACTCGTCATGTTGCACCAGCATGATCATGTAATGTTTATTATGAATCTACGCCACGGAAGCCGCCTCTCGCGCCCGCCGCAAGCGCCCCAGGTGCCCGGTTTGGTCATCTTGAGTGTGTAAGCCTAACCCAGAGTCTGACCAGCTTTCTAAGCTCCACAGCCCAGACGTGACTTTGAAGCCATCAATTTCTGTGAGTGGGTTTGACAATCGCTTGGACTTGGATTGTGAGGCATTGACATTCAGGTTTGCAAAATTTGATCCGTATTCTTCCAGTGTGAGGTCTCGAGTTTCAGGTGTGCTGCCAGATTCGACTTGGCTTTGACCATGCATTTCCGCCCCGCTGCTTTCCCAACCATTAAAGAGCAGCAAGGCAGACACGAGCACAGGTGTGTTCACCACAAAAGTAGGTGAGGTGCGGCTCGTATCCAGGCAGCTTATCGGCTGAAGCGTGTATTCGAAGCACGCTGGAGAAGGAGGATGCAACAAAAACCGGGTCTGGTCCCCCGGGCCGTGTGCGCGCTTTCCTGGAGAATCTTCCTCGGCTTCTGGCTATGACTCATGCAGAGGTTCCCCCAAGCCTGCGCGGTTTCGTGGGGAATCTTCCCCGGCTTTTGAGTTTGACTCTCTAGGAAGAGATGGCGGCGACATAGGAGTGACGCTTAATCTGATGAAGCCGGAAGACTCCCCGTGGCTGAAGGAGATCCTGAACGAAGTCAACTCAACTGATGAAGGCCGCAGGATGTTTGCCGTTTGGCGTTTCAAAGAAACCCTACAGCAGTTTGTACGAGGAGGACCTGAGCGAACCAAGGCTGTAAATGTTTCCATCTTCCTGCTGACGCACGGGTTTGCGAAGGAGATCCACAGGGGGCTCACAGATGCAGTTCAGACCGGCCGGTGGTACTTTGTAGCAAAGGACTACTTTGAGGCGATGGCTGTGACTGGAACACCTGATTCTGGAGTGTTTAGCCGGGTCTCTATCTATGCAACAGCAATCGAGGCTCTCATAGTGGATACCCGAACGCTCAGGTACCTGCTAGCAGAGATGCCGGATCTATTTCAAGTCCTCCCCAGCCTCTTCTTGAAAGCACAAACCTTATTCCCAGAAGAAGGCCGTCAGCCGAGTCCGGACTCCGATCCAGGTCTGGTGACAAAAAAGATGCTTCTAAAAGCTCTGGGGGCTCTCTTTCTCTTCGACACCAAAGGAAAACACGCAAAGAGAGTAGCATCCTTTCCTGGATTCACATCGGGTCTCGTCAAGCTCGCCCTTGAAAACGTCGAAGAGGCGGGGGCTGTTGATGTAGCGGTGAAAATGCTTGACACCTTGGAGTGCTTCTTTGACATCAAAGCCATGTCGGACGACATTCTAGGGCTGGTTGTCGAGCTTCTGAACCACGGAATCAGACCGAGAACTATCTACGACGCCTGCAGAGTGATGATTCGGCTCCTTGAAAGCTACGAGTCTCCTTTGGAATTGGTGCCACATCTGATAACAAGGGAAAGCTCTTTGCGGAATCCCTTCCTAGCATTAGCGGTGTGTCACGAAGCGGAGCCTATTATCCGAGAGTACGCTCAAATGATGTCCTGTCTCTTTTGCGGCGAAGCGCTGCTTGATTTACAACTACCAGTTGACGGAAGTATTTCTCCTGACCTCGTGAAAGCACTGGAGCTGGTAGCAATGAAGGATGAAAAAGTGACGCAGAAGGCACGTCAGCTGACAGCGATGTGGAAGACACCGCCTCAAGGCAGAGAACTGTATCTCGGGCCCATCCAGCCCCTGCCGTTGGAGAAGGGGATGGCTGAGACATTGCAAAAGCTGAAGAGCCTGGACAAGAAGCCGTGCAGAAAGTGCTCACGGGCTGGCTGTGATCGAGTGGAAGCCTGTTACAAGGAGTTCAAGATCTGCTCGGGATGCAAGCTTGCTTGTTATTGCAGCCGCGGTGAGTTTGCGCATGCTCTGACCCTCAGGCGCGTTGTGATTAGCTAACTCAAATAAATCTATCTTTTCATTTGGTACAAGAGGATGGGCACGTCGCGAGTATGCCTTTACTTCACTGTTTGCTTGTGTCAGGTGGTCCTAAATGCGATATTAAATAGCTTAGGCATCGTCAATAGAGTTTCTGCCGCAAGAGTATATTGAGATGCGGATGGATGTAAGTTGGTATTCTCGTCGCACATTCAGTAAGCACCCCACTCATAGATTGTTCGAGGGCTCGAGCCGTGTCAATTCATGATTGACGCAAATTTTGTATCTCTTCGCAGAATGCCAGAAGAATTCCTGGAAGGAGGGTCACAAGGAGGTCTGCCGGAGAGGATCTAGAAAAGCGACGGGATCATGATGACAGGTGAAACCATTTGTCATTCTTCCAGCTTCAAGGCAGCCATGATTCAAGTTTAAAGGCTGCCTTGTTAACCCAAGGGAAGTCCGATGCTGTGGCTGGAGTACGTTCGCATGCACAATCGTTTGGTCAAGACAAGATCGACTGGCTTGTTTTGTCAGTACAGAGACGCCAACGATTGAATAAAGTTGCGTCAAAACTCTGCTTGTGATGAATTAAAGATTGACAGGCCGCAGGAATTCTGGCCTCCTTGACGGAGTTCAAAGTCTTCATTTGGGGCTCTATGGTGATCAGAATGCGTGAAAGTTGAGTAAGAGCTTGAAAGTTCTCCTACTAATTTGGTCGCCTCCTCGCTTCTTTGGATTTGACATCCGAGCTCCAAGAAGCTGGCTCTGCCATCGAGTCCGCCTAATATCGAATCTACGTGCTGATCAAGAAGAGTTTTGACCATGAAACGCAGGAATCTCGCAAGCCAGAAGCAAAACAGAATACTGGCAGTCAACGATCCAAACTATTGTTGCAATACTCGTAGTCTGCTGCAGAACATTGATCCAAGCTAAAATTACGACTGGTCAAAAGCTTACCCGTCTTTCTTTTGCAGGAGAGCGTCTCCTCGCTGGCACTGAGAGGGTATGATTCTGCGACTAAGCGCCTCTAGGGAAGGTACAGCCGTTCGGAAATGTTTCTCTGGTGCTTTTGCGTTCGTACACTAGGTACTGGTGAAAAGTCGTGCGGTTCGTTCGACTTTTCGAGCATGACAAATTGGGCACGAGCGCAACGTTTTCGGATGATCCGCTCGTCCAGAATACAAAGAGGATAGTGCTTCCTTGCCCGTTTAACGCGGTGCTATCTCATCCGGTTCAGGATGAGCCTGTAGAATTAAGCATATGCATGACATCACAGACAATCTGGCTCATGACCATGGGGCCCCTTCGAACGGCTGACCATCTGTACGCGTTGCATCATAAGTTGGCTATGCTAGTGCGAGACTCAACATAACATGCGCATGCTTTGAGGGCAGACACTTACACCAGACAACAAAGCTGGCTGCACATCAATGATTCGGGTACAATTATCTGGCATTCCCACCTTTTATCGAGTCTCCTTAAGATTACGAAATCAAGTGCTGAACCAGTGAAGGTCTGGCCCGCAGCTTGACGTATACTTGATGTGAGTAACAGTTACATCGGATCCCGCTTCATTTCGTCAGAGTTGCATGTTTCTGTCGGATGCGGGCCCGATGACACTTGAAGTTAATGCAGATCTCTGAATTTGGAAGAGCCTTATTCAAATCTAGTGCCTTATGCGAATCATAACTGAAAACTGTTCCGAACTGGCCTATAACACCCTATAACAACCCACACAGACAAGACCTGCTGATTCGACCTGCAATTCCACCTCCGATTGCTGCTGACGCAAGCTTGACGATCTGCGCGCGCGTATTTCGGCCTCGTATGCTGACGCAGGGCGTGTAATCGGGTGGGAGGAATCGTGCACGGGAGTCAAGCGGTGCTTCTGTCGAGCTGACCTAAGGCTACAGTAGCTATGCTCATCTAGTTAGGTCGACAGATCTGTTTACCGTCAACTAGCAACTGCAGCCTCAACCAGCGGCTGCCGTCCTTCAAAACGACAGCGCTACTGTGCGCATGCACGAGTGACTGGTTTATTCTCCATCTCCATTTCTATCTCCATCTGCAGATGGTCGTGCAATGGCGGACCTCAGGAAGACTTGATGCGCAGCAAGCCGCCATGTAGAGGCGCAAGAGGCGGCAGGAACTGCACTAGAAGCTGATTGAGTTGCTTGGGTCCCAACAGAATGAGCAAGATGGCAAGAAAGGCGATGAAGCCCCTTCCAACGTCCGCTCCCTCCGAGAACGTCCCGCTGTTGTCCACCCTGACTTGCGAGGAGATGTCCACCTTAAGAAAAAGTGGCCTTGAACCCAACATAAAACTTGACTTCCTCAAGCCGGAGGCCTCTCCATGGCTCCAGGAGATACTTCAAGAGCTCAGATCGGATGATGAAAGCAGGCGCATGTTTGCTATCTGGCGCTTTAAAGAGAGTTACGCGTATCTTCTGTGGAAGCAAAGCTCAAGAACGGATGGGGTCAATGTCTCAAACTTCATCCTGAGCAACGGAATTGGAAGGGAGATTCGGTTGGGATTGGACGATGCCATATCAAGTGGCCGCTGGTACTGGCTTCCTAAGGATTTCATCGCAGCTACTTTGGCTGGAAAGAAAGCCGAGATCTTCAGCAAAGTGTCCATCTACTGCTGCGCCCTCGACACGCTGGCAGTTGACTTCAGGTCGTTCAAGTATATCCTCAAAGAGATCCCAGATGTCTTTCAGGTTCTGGCCAACCTCTTTCAACGGGCCCGTGACGTGGTCTCACCAGGAGGGCGACTGTTTCAGAACTGCAGACAACCAGGGTTGGAGACAAGGAAGTCCATTCTTCGGCCCTTCAAGGGCCCTTCAACTCAATTCTTCAGTGGGCCAAATTAGAGTGCGTGGAAGAAGTAGCTTCCATGCAAGGCTTCATCATATGCGTTCTGGAGCACTGCACAGAGAATGTTGACGACATTGAGCTTGTTGAGACTACTTCAAGGGCACTGGACATCCTCGGAGATCTCCCTTTCTCTAAAGCCTTCTCCAACAAGCTGATCAACCTCATAGGTGCTCTTTTCATTCGAGGAACAAGACCAAGGGTTCTACACCATGCCTGTCAGCATCTTCTATCGCTGTTATGCACAGCCAAAGGCACAGAAAAAGAGGCCCTTCTCGACAGAGTGGAGACCTTCCGTCTGTACGTTCTTGCTTTGGCTGCTTGCAAGGAAGCAGAACCCAGAGAGCGTGCCCAGAGCGTGAGTGTGCTCAGTCCCTAGTCTGTCTACTATATTGCGAAGAATCAGTTCAGGATATCCTTCTTGAAGCAAACGGCCTGGTGACGGTGGAACTGGTTGAGGCAATCGAGGCTCTAGCAAAGAAGGATAAGGTAGTGTTGAGAAGGTGCCGCGAGATATCGATCATGTACAGGACACCAGCCGACGGACTGGAGGCAAGCTTTCAGCCGCTTGGCGCTTTTGGACGGCCAGATCGGTGGGCGCTGTTCAGAACTCGGTCTTCTCGGCGGCAACTGGAAGAGCAGATCAAGTCGGTCCGAAAGTGTTCCAGGGCAGGGTGTGAGAAAATCGAAGCGGCAGAGGGGACCTTCAAGCTGTGTGGAGGTTGCAGGCTCGCCTGCTACTGCAGCCGTGGTAAGTGCTCTTTGCGCGTTTGTGTGAAAAAGTTCGAGAACATTGCGAAGCAGACAGTAAGCGTGGGTATGTCCAAAGGCAACTTTGTGCTCCGATCTTTTCGGCGGACACCTAAACCTTGCCAAGCAATCAACGCGCAAAACTATCCGTCAGGAGTGAAGTGTAGGTTGCTTCACGCGGACTAAAGCCCAGTCCTTGATCTTCACCTCCTTCAAGGCCTTGCTTGCATCCTCTGGAACGACATCAGTCAGTTTCATTCTTCATCCACGTCTCCTTTCTGTGCAGAGTGTCAAAAAATGGCATGGAAGCAGGGCCACAGAGACCAATGCTGCGGGAAGCAAGAAAACGCGCCTGGGAGGCAGAAGTCGAAGGTGAGCAGCTAACACGTGAGACGCGTAGGGACACTGAGCCTAAGGAGCCTCCTCAACGTAGGCTTAAAAAAGCTCTTTGAGCAAAAATCACCCTTTCTGATTGTAAAAGTTGAAATTTCAATCAGGCCAGCGGTGATGGCCTGCTTGGCGAAATGTGACCTCGTGCTCTGAAACAATGATCAGTTGCGATGAGAAAAGTCTCCATACGTAGCGCGCCTAACGGTTGAATCTAGAAGAATTCAGATCCTTCAAGATTACGTATCTTAATGAGCACAAACAGTGAAGTACAACCACGAGCGAACGAGCTGTTCTAGTAACCAATTTGCTGATCAAGGTTGTTTTGTTTGTCCACGCACAGTGAGCAGATCAATTGAGCGCCAAAGAGGAGAACACGGTGAATTCACAAAGCGAAGTCTTTCGTAAGCATGAAGCTTTGTTGTGCGAGCATGATGAGTTGGGGTTTGGCAGCAGGTCGGTGGAAACTTATATTTGTCATGTACGCGGAGCAACAGGCCTTTGATAAGAATCCCTAGTCCAGTCATGATTCCGTTCAAAAGTGATCTGAGCTGTTAGGTTCAGAGGTACATGTCGCAGGCTTAGGAAAGCGACGCACATGAGTAATTGACGCGGCCCAGGTCGCATGCGTAGAGCTCGAGCTCTCGATCTTTGCACAGACTCAAGCATACGCATGAGCTAGAATTAGCGCGTAGGCGGCCTCATCTAATTGTGCGACTGCCATAATAACGCTCGACATTTGCTGGCGTCCCGCTCATGCTGATCATGCGATTTGCATAAAGCCTGGCAATCCCAGACCCAATATGGATCTTGATCAAGGATGTGGTGCGTTATAACCCGCCAATCAACTCGTCTGCCAAATATGAGCTGGCAGTAAACAGTGAATGCAATATACCAGACGGTCTTGGCCCTCAACTATATGCGCATCTGTAGTTTGATGTGGACTTCCAACATGGCAAGAAAGGACGGCGACAAGATGCTCGTACATGCCTTTCGCAGCAAAACAAGTTGCAGGACGGCTGCACGGCCTGCGAGTCAATCAGCTGACCCACACGTAGAAATGCATTGTCACTTCAAACAATTCCTGCGGCGATCGAGCTAAGATTAAGCACGTATGTCTGAAACGAAGAGCACTCAATGGAATCAGTTCTTGATTGGACTTTCTAGATGCTAAGCTGGTATGTGTTGTAGCTTTCGATGGTTGCGAGCTGTTCTCGAAAGGAGCAGTATTTCTTTCAGCTCCAGCTTGCGTGTTTAGTCCACCGTCTATATTAGGAGCGCGCTTCAACGACATGCCGCGAACGGCGCATAGTAGGTTCGGTGTCATCTAATCTGCACCCCTTGCTCTTGCCGCGCCTCTCCAATCTTGCTCCGCTTCTCTATGCACCACCGCCTGTAATCCTCGACAAGGCCCCTCCTCAATGCGGATTCCATCGCTATCAGAATCCCCTCGAGAATCGCCGTCCCCACTGCATTTACCGCAGGCGCCGGGATGAATGCAAGAGGCGCCGGCAGGTCCACCCCGACCCCTAAGTCTACTGAGCCGTCCAAGGCGCAATTCGAGGATCCTCTGGGGGAAGTTTTGACCCGGGTTAAGGAACCGCGAAGGTTTAGCCGTAGATCAATGTTATGGAACTGGGGCGGGAGACCAGCTAGGTCGAGGACGACCCGGTCAGAGGCGATCTGGAGGGCGCCGTTTTCATACCAAGTCCTGGGCACAAAATGGAAGAAGTCAGCTTTTTCCGAGGGGCTCAGATACGTTTCGTAAGGGGCCAATTCGATCAACGGCAAAACGGGGAGCCGAAACCGAAGCGGCGAGCACAGGAGTGCCTATCTACGCTTTCTCCGAGAGCTCTTCCGGAAGTGACTTTTGCGAGGAGGAAGACAGGAGCGAGAAATTAGATGCAGCAGTTTGAGAGTGGATCAGATCTGAGTTGGGCGTAGTTCCTTCCTATGCGCTGCACTGAACCGGCCAATCGCATCTGGACAGAGTCGGTAAGTGTCATTCGAAAGACCTCGCAGTAGCTCGTTGGAGAGAATCACGCAGTTCAAAACCTGATCAGCTGCGTTTGAAAGGGGGTACGAGACAGAAAGCAATGGCCTCACTGCAGAATATACGCCAGACGCGTTGACATGTCTTGGGTCTACATATGGCTGTGCAGAGGTTTCGACCATCCTCCACACGAGGAGGCTCTGTACGCCGGCCTAGCATCCTCGGAACGAGTATCATTTTAATGGATTCTGGAGGTTTCATAATTCCCGAAGCTGGACAGCTATGGAAGCTGGTCAAGGTGCCCGCCACCCTTCAGAGCCCGCCTGATTGTCCGTAGGGCCTCTGTTGCCATGTCCACACATACTTACCTAACGTCCGTGACAGGGGTTGCTGAAATGGTAAAGAAGGTGACGGGCTTCAGCGTAGCCCGCCAGAGGCCGTCCCCTCGGTACTGCAACCGCCGGCGGTCGGGGAAGGCGATGTGGACGATGCGCTCAGTGTCCTGATATGAAAAGGTACTAACCCGATTTCGACATTGTGGTTTATACTTGGACAAGAAAGCTTTTGCTCAAACCTGGATGGGGCAATTGCTACAAGGACGGATGGGGTATGGGCAGACATAATGATGGAGGCCATGAATTGAAGCTCAGACAAAAAGGAGCTTGGGATAGCTCAACATGCGACTGTTGTGCAGGCTGCCGTAATGCGTCTTTCAACTCCCATCAACGTGCGGAAATTTATGCCTGAGTTTCTTGCCGTTCTTGAAGTCCATTCAATAACACTTTGTCAAGATAGCTGCGTGTGTTCAGCTGCGCAGTATGTAGCTGCCACAGAAAACATCTCTTTTGCCACCATGAAAAGCATCTCTAAGGGCCTCTTCCCATTTATGAAGTGCCAACGAGCGAAAAGAAAACATCGGATGCACAGCAGTCATGCCAAAACCAAAGCAGAGTGTTGAAGAACTCTACCATGCTTAAAGTTGTACGGGACCAGACTAAATGAAGAAGCTCACCCGCAGGTATTCGTCTACCCCAGGTATGCCCTCTTGCAGCGAGACATTCAGTGACTTCCTCGAGTTGAAGTGGAACCACTGCGCCGTCACCTTCCCTTGGCCCTTCCCCGCAGTCTGCCCCCCCGCACGCAGACTTTGCCCCTGGTCCCAAACCCTCTGATCTCCAGCCAGGAACCGATTGCTGCAGCTCTCGCACACCCAATCTGAGCTCGCCACTTGGTGCGCACTCCTTCCAAGTCTCCTGAACGCTTTTGACTGCGTTGGGGCATAAGTGGACTGAAACCTTGGCTGTATCATTGGGGGTACTCTGTTTAAGCTGTCACTGTTGGTAGCCACTGTACTATCGGCGATGTATGGAGGACTTGCGTGGCTCAGCGTCCTAGCGGACGCGTGCACACTCTGCATTGATCTTGCTTGATGGAAGCAGTACCAGATCAAACCCTGCGTAGACGGAGCGGTGCACATGTCAGTCCGTCACCCATCATCCCTCTAACTCAACGAGCGTCAAGAGGCTGCTATCTGCAGTTTGCTTGAAGCATATGTGAAAGCGCAATGCTGCTCCCCTTGATGTACGAAGTAAGTTCCTGCGACCAATAGAGAGGGCATGCATGCAAGATGGAAGCCTGACTTTGCTGTTTTGAGACTTGCTGGCGGTTCAGGCTGAGCCCATCGAAACCAAACGGAAGAGAGAAGGACACTGGTCCAGCAAAGAGAATGCTGCAGGCCATGAAGAGCATCAGAAGATGGCTGACAGGATGACAGCATTGCTCAACAAGGTTGCTACTTACAGGCTTAGCGCTGATCTGCGTGCGAAAACAAACAGGCCACCTGCGAGCACTTTAGGTATGCGGCGCTGTTTTCAAGGGTCGGCTGAAGGGGATTTTGCCCTTGCCAAGCAGCGCCCTCCTGCTCTCCCTGCAAGATCAGCTAGCAGCACCGCCTCAAACTCGAAGCTCCACGTCCTGAACAGCAAATTGGGCGTGGACGCCTGGCTATGTACCCTGAAAGCACTTTTAGGGTTTGCTAACTCACGGTCGTCATGCATTTTAGGGAAGCATAACGCAGCATGCTGCGGCGACCAAATGCCTTGAAGTTGTAGCCCGGTAATAGTATTCGAGTCGCTAAACGTGGTAGTACGTGATCGACATCTCGGCGACACAAGAGCAGGTTCTGCTGGGCAGAGGCCGCCGCAGGCGGCAGAAGCACGTCGTTAGAACTTGGAGCACAGAGCATCGGACTCAGAGTTGTGTGGACCGAAGTAGAAAGTGACCAACTTGCAAGTACTAGTAGTCATGAGCTAGTAGATTAAAGTAATGTTGCAATGCTGCAGCCTCATGGGAAATGCTGAGAAGAATGTTTGTAATTGGCGGCCACTCAATGGGAAGCAAGTTCATGCAGGCGTGGGTGACTGACTTTCCTCTGAAGTCTGTAAAAGTCTCTTGAATTGGTGGCGCGCTCTCAGGGCTGAAATATCTGGGCGCCAACGCTGTTGACACTCGCGCTGATAGAGTTCAGGTAAAAAGCACCTCTTGCTGATGCCAATCTTTCTTAGCGATCATGTGCCTGATCCTTGTTCTTGTATGATTTCTCAGGCCAGGAATACTCAGTCCCACCATCAGTCCCACCATCGTTGATGGATTCGACAGCATGTCCTGATGGTTTTGCTCGAAAAGACTCTGGCACCATTCACTCTCATCAAGTTGTTTCGTCAATGGTGGTAGTCAGCTTGCATCTGAAGCTCTTGGGGAAAGTTTTCTGAACTTACACCTCAGAAGAGTATGGACACCCAGGGACTTTCTACCACCATCTTAAAATTGCGTGTTTCAGCTTCAACCCTTTAAGATGCTGACTTTGATTAGATTCTCAATGGACTCACCTTCATTAGAATCAAGCCACGGACATCCCTGCCGCGCGACTTGACGAAACAGACTGTCTCAGAATGGACGACTGGTTGACACCACCTAGCTTTTCAGCAATTCAATTGTGGACTGGTACAGGTCCTGCCAGCCAAAGTCATCTGAACTGTTTCTTGTGTATGGCAGATGCACCAATGCAAGGTGGACATCTCCTCTTCCCCGCCCTGCGCCAACTCCGGCAAGGGCCACACACTCGGTCACCTCTCCGCTTCCTTTCTTCACTCCATGCCCTTCCCGCCAAAACCCGAGACTCACAGCGCATTGAGTATGTAGACCTGCAAGAGACAACGGCGCTATATGGAGAGTCAGGGAAGGAGGATGATGAAATTCAGGGCAGGTTTAGCGGTCAGAAGTTGGTGCTAAGCCAGGAACTAGAGGAGGAGGACAGTGGGACAGGGCAGGAACTAGAGGCGGGCCAGAGCAGCCCCGGGGCGGTGGCGGTGCCGGCGGAGCTATCGGAGGCCATCAGCAAGGCAGTGGCAGGTAGGAGCTGGTGATAGAGATGCTGTGACTTGTTTGCATGAAAGACCACTAAGAGAAGGACAGTGGACAGTTGCACACTCAGTACCCTCTCTTACGATGTGGCGTGTGGATCCATCTGGGGGCTCAAGCCTTCATGGGAATGGGAATTATGTTCAGCTGGTCGTTTGAGATTCTCACTGCACTCAACACCATCTCTCTGCTGCTACACCATAGATCCTTCCTCCAGGTTGATTCAAGCTCTTATCTTAACGACTTTCCTGACGCTCGCGGATGCGACAAAGAACGGACACCAGCTGAATCTGTATATTCTGGCCTGCCAAATCCGGCTGTCAATCACACCCTCATCGTACACTCAACGGTTCCTGCGTTTGGATCAGGAGACAATTAACACACTGGGTTGAAATCAGAAACTGTGAGCATATTACTTGTTCAGATACATCCTTGCGAAGTTGACCAAAGCTCTTTGGCCAGGCTACTCCACCCGCTCGCTGCGCCACCTCACCCGCCAACTTTCCGAGGGGCTCCACGACCACTCCCGGGGGTGGCTCTCGGACCCCCCTAAAAGGGTCAACCTAGACACCGAATCATCTCGGGGGGGACTTCTAGCAAGCTGGAAGCAGGCCTCCAAAGCCCGTTTCCCGAAATATGAGAACTGGAAAAACGACGAAAAGGATCGGCGAGCGCCCCAGTACTCAGATGGACAGGTGGCGGCGTACGCCGCAGCGAGGATGCCGGCGACGTACGCCGCACTGGTGCACGTGCTGGAAGAGGTGAGGCGTAAGAGCCCCCAGGGAAGAACGGTTGGATCATCTTCAAAAAGGATTCGTTGTTTTAAGATCTTGCATCGTCAAGTGAGCCACAAGCTGTGAATGTGCAATCAACGAAGTTTATGCTCGCATGGAGTTGCAGATTGTCTGCGATTAGAAACCACCGTGGATTTCCGTCTGCAGTTGAAATGGCAGCGGCCGGAGTTCGTCCCAGAACGCGTGCTGGATTTCGGATCGGGGCTCGGCTCTGCGCTCTGGTAGGTGGGCTTCCTATAAAGCACCGCATGTGTTCCTCAGCTTCAACGGACGTGGCAGTGCTCCAGCGATGACACGTGGGACCTTTAGGACCCGCACCTCACGTGGTTGCAACACGTTCTCTTCGATACGAGTAGCCATTGGAAGTCCGTTCCCTTTGATGTAACGCAAAATGCTTTTTGCCGGATTCCATGAGGGCTCAACCCTACATAACCATGACCCGCTTTGGACCGCACATGAGTCCAGTACATGGGAAAGGGCAGACTTATAAGCATGTCTTGTCGGTTGCTTCTGAGAATAGCTCCTCAGCCCATGCCTTGCGCGTCGTTCCATCACTTTTATCTCGATCGAACTACCCTCTGGCAGGGCCGCGAGCTCGGTGTGGAACACGTGGCCAAAGCAGGCGGTGGCTGTCGAGCAGGCACGTGGCATGACACAGCTGGCAGATGTCATTCTCCGAGGTATGCACAAGAATACTCACATAGCAAAGCGTTTTCTCTGGATTGCTCACCTGCTTCTTGCTCTGCCGTCCCCTCCTTCCCTTGACTTCAGTTGTGAGCTTCATCATGGCACATACGAGGGAAGTTTTGCGCGGGCTTCAGAACCTGCTGCGGTCAAAGACACTCTCTAAGAATCTTAAAGTGGGCGTCGGGGTTTGCCTGACGTCAGCCGCTATCTCCGACGGCGTCACCAATCCAACGGTCCCGGTTTCGGACGGCAATTTTGTGAGGGTTGTAGCACCGTGCGAGCGGCTTTGTCCATGCATGGCTTACGCCCACTTTAAAGCTTTTCCGATCCTGTTCATTGTGAGAAGCTGAAGCCGTTATTAAGACAGGCAACCGGATTCCTAGGGAAAGATTGTGTAAGCAGGAAGCGAGTCAAGCAAGGGTTTTGACGTTCGCTCCTTCGTCGGGAAGTTCACAAGCTGCTCTATGCAGGCGCCGAGGACGCGCCACCTGTCCACCGTTTCCGGTCGCTGGATGCGCTTCTGAAGGGAAAGACGGGAGGCCACCAGCACTTCGACTTGGTTATCGCGGTACGTCTTTGAGGACAATTCTGCGACAACTTTCAGGCAAAACAGAAGTTCGAGGCACAGCGCTTGTAATTGGTCGATGCGTATTGTCCCTACTCTGCTGGACAGATCGTTGCGCAAATATGAAGTACATCCACCTGTTTTCTTTTCGTTTGACCATCGAAACGAATAACAACGAATGATAGGTCGTATGACAATTTCAGAGCCGCCAAGAACGGAAAGTTCTCCGCTTACGTGATCTCTGCAGGCCTATGCTTTGGGCGAGCAAGGGACTGCGGAAGAGCGGAAGCGAGTGCTACGGAAGCTGTGGGCGCGCACCAAGTCAATACTGGTGAGACCGCAATCTTACAACGACTCTCAGCATCTTAAGCCATGCCATAAGAGTCTCCCCCAGATCTTTCAACAAAAGGCGTTCTGCTTCTGGTGGGCACAAGCACTCGTTGTTCTACTTTCGGTGCCGTCAGATGTGTTGAGCTTGCGGAGTAAGGAATTGTTAGCAGAGTCCCGTTGTTTGTATTCCCGGTTTGGCTAGTGTTGGGTGTCTACTGTGCTCAACAGGACACACGATGGACCTTGAGTCTGGTTTTCGCGGTCTGGTCGACGCGTTTACGATCGGGGCAGTCTGTTGTCTGCTGAGCCTGTACTTATCGGGATGCTCTCTCCAAAAGCTCGAGGCCTTTTCGTCTCAGAAGGAGCTCCTCCGACTCCAGCGTCTCACCGAGCACTTTCTCTGTGATGGGCACCCGAATGCTATCTCTGGTTTGTCGTACTTGCTCTACTCCCTCCTCACCCGACCTGGCCCTTTGTGTCAGGTGATTGTGGAAGCAGGCACGCCCCGCGGTTTTGAGATCGTCTTGGAAGCGCGGGAGGCGCTGATAATCCGCGAGGACAAGGTGGGTGCCAGCTCACAGGAAGAAGGTGTGTTTCTCGATATGTGGAAGCCGTTCGGGTTTCCATCGTTGGATAGCGGCTAGTCTTTATAAACTGTCCGTAGGCAGACCCGCTGACTCTAGAAAGGTAGGTGGTAGGCATCGCGTTTCGGCGGTTTGAATAACGACTTCACGCACTGGATCGCTTAAAGCCACAAAGCGTTCGGGTTCCTGCTTGAGAGCACGGTCCGGTGAACCGTCCTCTGTCCGTACATATGATGCACCAAAAGTAGCGGCATATGATCCTGACGTCATCCTTTCTCCGTTGCCTCTCCCTGGTGCAGCGCGTCTCACGTCAGCGTAGCAGCGAGAAGGACGTGGGAGCTCACGTCGTCGCACCGGTGAAGCCCCGTCACAAGCCCAATTGCTATGCTCTTGTACACGTGTTATTACACTCTTCTGGCATCGCCTTTTGTCTCTTCTAATTCCGGTCCACATCGTTCCATTCGCTGCCTTTTTCCGCCCTTATTCTTTTCAAGGCAATAAGAAGGAGCAAATGGAGAGCAAATGGCGTGCAAAAGGAGTTCAAGGCCTGGGAGATGAGACGGTTGATCGGTTTTCGCGGTTTGTATCAGTGAGTTCCAATCTTAGTTGGGTGTAGGGACTTCTTTAGGGCTAGGAAACGTGACTCCACATCAAACTATCTCACCCACGCTTGAGACTCTGATCTGTAAGGAAGCCATGATAAATTTGGGTTTCTTAGGGAGCCATAATACCAGGTATTTCCCTGGAATAACTCTTCCACCCCTCATCTTATGATGAGGATCAAGGGGAAACAATAAACTCTAACCCCAACCTTTACCTGCTCCGCCCCGGTGCCTACCCCAAACCCTCCTTACTACCACCTCCCGTACCAAGCAGGCTAGCTCATTAGAACGTGAGCTAACTGGTGATGATTATTCAACTAGATTAGAGAAGAATCGATACATGTCCTCAGCTCGGAGTAACCTGGTGTTGGTCCGTGCAGTGTCCGCACGACGGCGCCTGTCCGATGTCCGGGACCAAGCAGTGGTGCCACTTCGCGCAGCGACTGCAGCGGACCGGCCTCCAGCGCGTCGCAAAGGTGGCTGCTCTCGTATTTCTTTCTTTGCAGCATGAAATAGTCGCTTCGTTTGTGTTTTCGTCTGCGTGTCTCAAAGTGAAGGCGAAGGCGAAAGGGCCCATTGCGGAGGTGGCTTTCTTTTGAAGTCTCTCCTCTTTCTTACGTGAGTCTCGAGTGGTTTTGCATTGCCAAAAGGAACTCGAAGGAGCACAAAACAAGGTGGCACTCTTTAAAGGAGTTGATAACAAGGTGACAATTGTCAAACATTGCCCGCTCGTCTCCGGGCAATCTGCCATCCTTGTTTTCAGTCGCGTCGGGATTCGTTGCGCGAGGTTCGTTGACCGACTGGGCTCCTCACTTGGCGCCAGGGGTCAATTTCATGAAGAGTCGGCTCCGCTTACGGTTGTTTTGACGCGCACCAATCTGTTCCCTACAGCGCGCTGATGCCGCTCTCCGCGCGCATGAGGACGAGAAGTTCTCGTATGTCGTCATCCAGAGGGGCCCACGTGGCAGGTGAGTGACGTCAGCATCCTTGACGCTGAAACACTTGTAGGATATTCTGGACTCGGCTGATACTGCCGTGAATGGCCTGACCTTAAAATTGCGATTACTCCTGCACGTCCAGACTTTGAGAATATAAGTTGTTGATGGCGGTGTTCGGCAAGGGCACTTGTTCCTTAGGAGGAACGATTTGATCCTGTGATTGAGCTAACGTCGTTGAACACTCGCAGCGCTCCAGGGTTGGTTGGCAAAGATTGCTCACACTGCACTTGTTTCTCTGCAGCTCGGCACACATGAACGTTGGGGAAGGCGCGTCTCGGCCATCTGCTGGTGAGGCAAACGCTACGTCGCCCGCTCTACTTTTTTGCCAGCCTCTTGCATACGTGCGCCTCGCGTTTCGTAGTCGGTTTGCTGTTTGAAGGTTCGTCCGGTCGCATGCTGATAAAGCTTGCCCAATGTATGGTTTTGAGTCACGTCGCTTTTGCATATCTTCGGAGTCTTCGAAACTTCCGGAGCCACTCCTGGTAAGCAATCTGGCGTTATGCGAGACTTCCGTTGATAAATACAATGGTGGCCGATCCAATTTGTTTTATCCGGCCCTCCAACTTAACGGTTATCTTCCCTCTTCTATCTCCGCCAGAAGCTTGGGCGACGCTCGATGCTGGAGCTGCTTCGAAAAACGAGGGCAGGGGAAGTCGTGAGCTTGGAGGGCGGCCGCCTGACGGAGAAGAACGTCAAGCGGTCGGTCAGCCGGCCGAAAGCTCGGCTGCTCAGATAGACACGGACGATACGCAGAGAAAGTTCGTTGGGTCCGTCCATTTGAAGCGGGCGGATATCGCCATGAACGGATTGCCGGAAGCTGAGCCCTCGGTGGTTGCCGACGCGGAGTCGTCTTCGGAAATTGGGGCCATCGACAATGAAACCACCGAAGGTCGCGAAACCGACGGGGTTGAAAACGGAAAAGGTAGCCGCCCGCCCGCTAGACACTTTCCCCGGCAGTGGGCCCGGTTGATCAGTCCCCCGAGGCAGCGGCACGGGCACGTGATCCTAGATCTGTGCTGCCCGGGGGAGGAACGGACCGGGAACTTAGAGCGGTGGACAGTGTCAAAAGGGCTAGGGGGCGAATTGGGTTCTAAAGAACGGTACAGCAACGCGAGAAAAGCGCGATGGGGCAGCCGGTGGCATTGGGACATCGGTTAGGGTGACAACGTACTTGGTCGGGTGTGAAACTGCAAAATCTGGATAAGGTTGCATTGGACGACTTCGGGTCTGAGCCACCGATATGAAAACACGCTTGGCTCGGTTTACTTCTCAGTCCCTCTCTGCAAATGCAGAATGTCTCCGAAGGATGACATGCCGACCCACTGATACTGTTTCAGAAGCAGGTTCTTGGAGTGCCTTCAAGCGTGGAAGGACGTGACGTTGCAACATATACTTGCAAGGGGTCCACGATGCCTCATTTGCTACTTACCAGGCTTACGAAACCATCGCATCAAGTTTTAGCCGAGCGCTTGAATGATACTATGCATTGATCGAGAGAAGCTAAGGTTGGAGAAACTAGTGAAAGCGAGGACAAGCGAATACACGCATGGCGTATAGTACAGTAGATTTTGATGAGTTCTCTTTTTAGGACCGTCGCCGTAGTCACATGGACCATATGCACTTCCATGGCATCCACATGAGGTCATGATGTTTAAGTCTTGAGCGTCTAGCTACCCTACCGAATCTGACTCATGCGTGCTGCCCTAGTTTTGATTTTGATTTGATTAAATTCTACGTCGCTTCGGAGCCGTGGTCGGCTAAGTCGACGAACATAGCTACTCTAGTGTCTGCACTAAGGTTGCCCTAACTAAAAAGCTTAGATGCAAGAACTTTCCTATAGTGCGTACTTATCCTGTAGATTGAGTCTTTCTCCTCGTTGTCCTCAAACATGTCGAAGGAGATCTCTCCTAACCTGTCCAACCTAGCTTGGCGACAGCCTATCAACGTCGTTAAACATTTAGCGAACCACCTGAGTGAGATACTACACTTTCGTAGCAACAGACCAGCAGATCGTCGGCGCCATACTTCGCACTAGCTATAGCGGGTGGTGATCTCGGAACCGATGTTGACCGGAGAAGTGCGCAGACTGAGCTCTTGCAGTTTATTGGTAAAGGTACATCAGCCTGCCGTTTACCCTTGCCCCGTACTCCATAACTTAAGAGGATCTTTAAGGGAATCGTATCTATGATCTTACCCCCCTTTTAAGCTCTGAGTTTCGTCGACAAAAAATTCACTTACAACAACCGGAGTATCAAAGTCAATAGGAGGATTCTGAGTGGTGGAGATTCCTCCGCCGTCAGATTTCACTAACGGGCCATAATTTGAGCAATGAAAGTGCTTTCAAACAACCAAGCGTTCCTTCCACCTAAAACGGTTGAAGTTGCAATCTGTCGCTGTGAGGCTCGTTGTATCATAGTCCTCATCGGCGCCTTCAACATACTCGCGATGATTAAAACCTTCTAAGGTGCCCATAGCCAAGCGCTCCTCGATCGCACCCGGAGCCCACATCTGGCCGAGAAACTGCAAGCAAAAGATTTCGGAATGCTTCACCAGGTCACGGTCTAGCGTTGAAATCCTTTTAAGACAACGACTTCCGTGACAAGTGCACTGCACGGTGAAGAAAGGGACGAGCGCCAACCAACGAACCATCAAAGAGTCTTACGAGCTAGTCGGAAGCAGCTAGCAAGCTTGGGCCATGAGAGACAACGAAAGGGCAATCATAACAAAGATCTGAGAAGGAAAGATCGAGATGATTACCCCGTGTACATCCTCCGAGGTGGAGATTTTCCTCAGCTCGAAGTTGAGAAAGTACACCGGTGGATCCACAATCAGTTCCGTCTCTGTGTCAATGGTCACCATGAGAGACAACCAAAGGGCAACCATAACAGAATTTTTGAGAAGGAAAGTTCGAGATCAGTACCCCGTGTATATCCTCCGAGATGGAGATCTTCCTCAGTTCGAAGTTGAGAAAGTACACCGGTGGATCCACAATAAGTTCCGTCTCTGTGTCAATGGTCACCACCATGACGAGCAGGTCACCAACTGTGATGCTTAGAGAGCTTCCGAGCCCTCCCTGTGCCGACCTTTCGAGGATGGCGAGGCCATCTGGGGAAGTCCATGGCTTTTCTTCATCCAGGTTCTAGGAAAGGAAGTGGAAAGACATTAGTCACTAGCAGGCTTTGTGGACAAGACAACAAGGATTAGTTACTAGCAGGCTGTGGGTACACGGCAAGGGTTTGCAGGGAAGCGCGGCAGAACTCTTGATGTAATATTCTCGGAGCGTGTGGTCTCTTCTAGCGGATCCAACAAGCAATGTCTTCCTGAGCTGAAAGTTGTATGAGGCATGTTAGGCTCACGATGATGGCACCGTCTGTGAAGGTTGTGCTCAGCGACTGCTGCCCGTTGAACCCCTCGCCTTGGTCAAGCTCAACAGTGATGCTTTGCTTGTGCCCCGCCCCGTTGGCATACACAATCCCAAAACCCGACATCCATGTACCATTGAAAAAGGAGTTTGCATCGTCTGAACGCTGTTAGAGTACACGGGAGGTTGGCGGTAGACCGAACATCCTCACATTCACCTACAATCCACCCGATTTTGAGATTCACCAATCCGTAGTACCGAGAGGGTACATTTGCTAACCCTCGATCCGATCAGTCCTCCTAAGATCTTTACAGCTCACACCAAGGCTACCAGCTCGCACAAGGGCTACCAACTGCGGTTGCAATCATGCACTTGCTGAAAAGGGTCACAGACGCATCACTAAAAGCAAGCCCTGTCCAGCTGACAACCAAGCTCTTTTCGAAAACCTACTGAGCCTTAGTGGAGGTACCCGCAGGAGGAGAACTTGAAGACCGGCGAGACAACTCACTACGAAATCCGCACTCTGGTAGATCCAATGGCACAAGCTGCACCAGCATGAGGCAGCTAGAGAGCAACGACTTGAAGGGAGCAGAGACTCGAGTACTGACTCGGCTCCAAGATACTCTTTAGAATAGGTTTAGTAAGCTCAAGTTTAACAAGAACGAAGCTAACACTAAGAACCTAAACCTAAATAATCACCCGCTCCGCACCCGTACCCACCCTAACCACCATACTAACCCTACCCATCCCCGTGCTCAGAGTTGCGCTTACTAAACCTATTCTAGAAAACGATGGCTCCAAGCTCACCTGGATGGCCGGGCTGGTAATCATGCAATAAGAATGCCGGTCCTGTCCATGGAAGTCGAATTTGAAATCCTGATTGGAGATGCCAACGAGCGAGAAATGTGGATCATGCTCGCCTGTGGCAACTGCACGAAGAAGGACCAACCGCTTTCTTGTCACTTGGGTTACGTAAGTAAGCTTCGATTTAAGCAAGCGCACTCAGAGGTTCATATACAAGAACCTGCTGTAATAACTCAAATTTAATCCGGCACGAAATGTTGACTAATATCATTTGCAGGGGTAGGAGTTAAGATTGTTCAATCTGCAACAAGAGCTTTGACTCACAGTCCATGCACCAACAAGCTGGCGGGGTCAATTCTAATACGTATGCAACACTGCAGGCCAATGACTTATCCTGAGTGGTAGTACTCAATGCTGTTTTCTCAGGGCTTTGTGCAATTGAACCGACTGGACGGAAGATAACCGTGAGCAGAATCCAAGTCCTTCGAAGGTTGGCACACGTCTGGTGCTGACCTCTCCGGTTTTCGACGATAAAACCTTTTGAATTCAGACCGGTCCTGCAGAAGCCAGGGGTCTTATTTCACTCACTATATGCTGATATGAGAGCGGCCGTAGTGGTTACGTCCGGCAGGGCTCCAGCGCCGATGACTCTCGGCCCGTCCGCGAACAGGGGGGGCTGCATGACTGGCGACACATAGGCGCCGGTCTGCGTTCCTTCGCGGCAGCCGGACCCCCCCCCGGCGTCGTAGACGATCTTTCCAGTGTCGTTGAGAAGACGACAAACGGGCACTCCGTTTGCGTTCCCGGTGGTGAAGTAGTTCTGGTACGTCGCGCCGAACGTGTTGGGGCCAATGGTGGTGCTCCACGTGGTGCGGCCCGTGCGCTGCACCGACATGCCCACGGGCTCGACGCCACGCTCCTGGGTGGTGATGACGTCACTGCAGAGGGATACGAAATCAGTGCGGCAAACAGAGCCCAACCTGCTTCAGACACTCTTTTGTGTATAGAGGAGAGCGTCGAGTTTTGTCGGTCTTGTGGAGAATTAAGGACGTGCAGCGCTTCGATGTTTCCTATGGTCGTGTCCCGAGCCTTGGTAAGGCTGATGTCACCATTCGCAGCGAGGCAGACTTCTAGCTGACGTCACCCCAAACAAGTCAGGCTGATGGTGAGTGAAACGAGCTGGGGACTTAAACGAGCTGACCACAGTAGATTCTCTCAGGCAGCCTCTGAAATGCTCTCGAGACGACAAGGAGGAAGAGAAAGAGGACGAGAGTGCTGATAGACTCACCCTAAAGGACAAGCAGACCCTTGAAAGAAAACAGAAATTGAAGGAAACAGCTGCCCAAAGTCATTCGTTTTCACCCAGCTCTGCCAATGATTTCGAGAGGCAGAACCGGTAGCGGCGACAGCTTTGGATATGTAGCATAGTGCACCAGTTCTTCAGTTGAATGATTCTCTTTCTTAGGCGAGTTTGCCCCTGGAGTGCAGTTTTGAGACTCACGGGGTAAGCCCCATGGCGGCTCCCACGGAGGCGGGAGTGGTGCGCGGTACGTTGCCCGCTGTGGCATACGCCAGGTAATCCAGGACCTTTCGAGAAGCATCCGAAAGAGCAATCTGGGCTCCGTTGACGGGCAGGCCGTTGGTGGAAAAGACAACCACCACGGTGCCAGCGCCAGACTGCAAATGATAAATATGGGAACGTATGAGTACGCGAGCATTTGCTTTGTAAATCGAAAACATGGAATAAAAGCACAGACTCGAGGCCCCACAGTGCAAATCTGGGAGATGAGGCAGAACAGAAGTGCTGCGTGACGATTAAGAGCAGGGTGCGCAGCGGCACTGCCCGGCGCAGTTAACTTATGTTGCAGCACCGCTGACAAGACTGGCCTGCTGGGTAAAGCCGTTGCACGGCGTTTGCCTCTCACAAGGACAAGTCGTTCCTTCCAAGGGACCAATAGAGTGAACTCAGGAAGCTTGGGGCAGATCATGATATTGCAAAACATGCAGCGTCTAAACCGTGAGATACATCCTGGAAAAGATCCCCTTGAGTGAACAAGCTCGAGCGCAGCTAGGTGGGGGGCAGCTTGCTTGTCTCAGAGAGCACGAATACCCAAAGCCAAGAAGGATCATCCTCAATCTCCGCGTGACAGTGCAAGTCAACCACAGAAGACCTTGGTTTTCGCAGACCTGCGAAGTCGTTATATTCTGGTTATTAAAACAATGTCCTTCAATATTGCGGGCTGCGACGTCAATCGCTAGAAGTAACTCGCCATAAATGCCACAGGTGCAAGTATGCCCAATCTAGAATGGAAGGGGGCAGACACACTCTACCAACAGACCACAGGGCTAAAGCTGGCTGTAGTGCATGCAGATTGCACTTCCCGCAGGTTGAAAAAGACACGGTGTCTCTGCAGCCTTACCCCGGTGTTGGCTGGATCAGTGAGAATGGTGCCAGGAGGGAAGGTGAACTCAAACCCCGCCAACATGCAGTCACGGGTGTTGCATGCCTGGCCCCCGCCAGTGTAGCGCGTCAGAGCGTACCCGCCAATGTCCAGCCCTACAGGCCCGAAGATCTCAACTGCCTCGCCTGAGCAAGGGAGAAAAGGGATAGCTTTTGAGATAGGCTGACAGTCTGTTGGTGCATGGATCAAGGTCAGAAGATGCTCCTGACAGTAGAGGGTATGAAGCAGCTATTGGTCTGTTTGAAGATCTAAGTGATCATGGAAACATCTTCTGCACTGTTTTGGAGCTCACCAGCCCTCTGCCAGTTTCACCTCGCACTGTCCCTGTCTATACTTGTCTCAAGGTTTATCTCAGCAAAGAGGTAGGGGAGCATATAATTATTGCCGCTTGACAGCACTCCACTCCCAAAGGGATTCTGATTGCTGTTCCCAAGTCAATTGGCCGTCGATATTTTGACACAATGAGTGACCTGTACAGATGCTTCAGGGCTGCGCTTCATGATTATGTTGTCAAAGGACCAAAACCCCCTATTCTCCTATCAGATTCTCCCATAAGAGCTGCCAAGCTTGCGAACCCCGACACATCGAGCTGTCCTTCTGAGCCCAGGCCGAGAAATGATCAGTTTGCCACAACTTGTAGGGCTCTGGCAGGACTTGCTTCAACGAGGAAAAGCAAAGGTCGTTCTATAAGAAGTTCAGGACGGACCTTAGCTCAATCCTGATTACACCAAAGAATTTCCATGCAAGCCTCACCAAAGTCAAGGACCTGGTTTCTTAGTGGATCTCATCGATGAACACCGCAATGGCCCCGGTCTGTGCCAGCAGGCGCCGTTCAGTCAGGGTCCTGCTTCATGGAAAAAAGTGATGGATCAGGGGGAGCGCGCTCAGTTTGTCAGTCTAGAATCAGGGCGGTCGTAACAGAGTCGGAGCTTCTTACAATCCAGCTTCAGTGGGGCTCTAGCAGTCAGATCAGCCCATGGAACACCATATAGAAGGACTTGACTGGACATGAGGTGCCAAAGAATGTATATGGAAGTGTACTTGTTTTTGAAGGCTAAAGGCAGAAGGCAGAGTCAAGAAGTCATAGTGCGAGCTGGAAAGGTACAACCTTTAGAGTTGAAGATGGGGGAGGAAAGGGAAGTTTGAGGATTTTGAGGAGGAGGATTGCAAACACTAAAAAAACTTGAGGCTTGCGGAAGAGAAACCAAAAGCCCTCCTTTCATGTTAGATCAAACCTGTTCCCACAGCACTAGAACGGCACCGCTATAATGGCAGAGAGTGGCTACAAGTCCAGCTTACAATCATCTCTACTTTAGAGGAATTTGTTGAAAGATAGCCCCTGTCACACAGAAAAAGACTTGCTTCCGAAGTTTTAAAATATCCAGCATTCTGCCCCACCTTGGCCCAATCAGACCACAGATTGTATGAGCTCTACAGCACTAAGCTGTACAGTTGATAACTAAGACTGTCTAGAGAATAGCCCTGAATATCACGAAGCAGCTGCAGCTTTGTGGGCAGCCCTGTCGTTCACATGATTCAGTAGTAGTTGTCCATATTCTCCACATTCTCCACAAACAGGAAAGCTCTCAGCACAGAATGTCTTTGCGAAAACAGGTGCAACTGACAAGGTTTTGAGCCAGCATTCCAAAATGCTGTACTCGGGGCCCCTTTGGGGCGCTGGTAATATTTGCCCATTTTCAGTATTCCAAACACGCTGATGTAAAGCCAGCGATATTCACCCTGGCTTGGCATCACTTGTGCAGTGTGCAGTCTGCGGTCTTCCAGCATTATGTCCGACTGCAAACTTACCAGCCTAGATCTAAAGGCCTGAAAAGCTGCAGCAACACTGGAATAAAGGGCAAACTTCTTTCCATGTTTCTCGAAGTTAGATGCTGGGTTCAAAGACAGATTGACCACAATGTGACAAGCACCAGGACCCTCACCTGGCATCTACACCAGCTGTCGCCAGAAGAACCATCATCAGCAAAGGAAGCCCCCATGAAGCCATCGCTGCACTTTGCCTGAACGCCCAGGCCGGATGCCGCTCTCTCTCTTCAGATTCAGCTGACTACCTGGCAGTGGTAGTAGGTAGCTCGGAATTAGCTCCGACACTGCGGCGACAGCTTTGTGACAACAATGTCAACATTGTCAATGTCAAGATCATTGCACTTGATCAGCAATGAGCATTGTGCAATGTGCATTGTGGACCGTCCCGCCAAGGCCATTTACCACCTTTTTGTGTGGATAATCACTTATGATTCAACCGAGATTTGGATAATTATTCTTCATTTCGCACAAAGCAAGTTTTTGTTTCTTTTCACCAGGCATTTCAGCAGGAGAAAGCTATTTTTGTATATTTTCTTCATCTCGCCATTTCGATCACGTTCTCGAGTCTCAGGTTCCAATTTAGTTTCCAACTTTTCACACCGACCCCAAAATATTTATTTTTAGCTGAATTGCCTTGGCGGTACGGGAATTTGTGACCGCTCACATAAGAATTATCGTCCACTTTGTTGCAACGACGGCAAGACCGCAAGAGGAAGAAGCCGGGGGGCTCGGGGGGGCGGCAGCCCCAAAGATTGCTGGGGTAAAAGAGAGGGCGGTGACTTACACCGGGTAAAGAGTCCTCTAAAATATCGTCGAACCTTCATTCGAGAGGATTAAAGAGGGCGTTGTGGTTGAAGGAACCCATGTGGCTCTCGCAGCGTCCTCTATACGGTAAAAGTCACCCTCAATGTCGCTGCCAAATTTAGCACGTTCGGTTCTCAGGTGCGGTTCGTGGCGACAGAAACTGCCGCATCCTGGGGTTTGAAAGCGACGGATCGAAGAAAAACGGAAGTGTAGATATCTTCGGAGCTGACTCTGGATGACCAGCGCAGAATATCGACTAAGCGTACCGAACCGCGTCGAACGTTGAAACTGCTCTCGTGCTGTTGCGATCTCAGGGCAAGAACATAGGAATCTGCCACGTGTAAGGAATGACGGTCGTCGATATCGGTTCCAGGATTTACGGCTGTACACTGCCGAAGACTTTTATTATATAGATTTGGAAGGTTCCGTAAACGTACGCGCTCTTTTTTAATAGCCCAGTG